AACACCCTGCAACATTTGCTCCAGCTGATGGATGAAGTCTGGCAAAACGAATACCCACCACAACAATGGAAAGATGGTGTAATCTTCAAATTACCTAAAAAAGGTGATTTATCCGATTGTAACAACTGGAGAGGCATCACCCTGCTTTCGATACCAGGGAAACTATTTTGTAGTATGCTACTAGAAAGATTGAAAAAATCCATAGATGAAAGATTAAGGGAAGAACAAGCCGGTTTTAGATCCAAGCGGTCATGCATAGACCACATCTTTACTCTTAGAATAATTGTTGAAGATTCTACAGAATTCCAGTCGAAATTATTGATCAACTTTGTCGACTTTCAAAAAGCCTTCGACAGTATCCATCGTCCAACACTCTGGAAATTGCTTAACATCTATGGTTTCCCCATCAAATATATCAACATCATAAAATCTTTTTATAATGAAACACGATGCTGTGTAAGAACTGATTCCGGCAATTCTGACTGGTTCCCGGTGGAAACAGGAGTGAAGCAAGGCTGTGTCCTATCGCCGATGCTTTTTGGTATAGCAATCGACTGGGTCATGCGCAAGTGCATAAATAACGCAAATTTAGGCATTACATGGGTTGACAAAATTCTGGAAGGCCTAGACTTCGCCGACGACATAGCACTCCTGAGTTCAGAACACACAGACGCCCAAGAACAAATCAATCGACTCCAGAATTTCTCAGAACAAATTGGACTCCAAATTAACACCGCAAAAACAAAAATTCTAGACCTTACCAACAGTTCAGTTGATATCACGCTGAACAACAACAGCCTTGAAAAAGTCAACAGTTTCACTTATCTAGGGAGCAAGATGTCATCTACAGGAGATACCGCACCAGAAATATCATTTAGAATAGCACTGGCATCTAGTGCCTTCAATAAACTGTCTAACATCTGGAAATCAAAGACACTTAGCAAACACACAAAACTCAAGATCTTCAATTCTTGTGTGATTCCAGTACTAACCTATGGATGCGAGAGCTGGAAATCAACGAAAACCCTAGACACAAAATTAGACAGTTTTGAAAATAAATGCCTTAGAAGAATACTAAATTTCAAATGGTCAGATTTCCGAACCAATACACAAATAAGGCAAGAATCCAGGCAAGAGTATGTGTCTAATTTTATACGAAAACGCCGCTGGAACTATGTCGGCCACGCCCTTAGAATGGATAAATCAAGACTTCCTTACCAAGCCCTCATTTGGACACCACAGGGGAAAAGATCTCGTGGAAGACCAAGGGAAACCCTACGTAGAACTATCATCAGGGAAGGCTCGCTCATGGGCCACTCAAACATCCAAGACCTACAACGGATTGCAACGGACCGCCGTGCATGGAGAGTCGCGACCTCTGCCCTATGTGCCGCACTCGACACAAGAGGAAAGACTAACTAACCCCTTGGAGGATGAACGCGCGTCTAATAGTCAACCAAGGACGCTTTCGTAACGTAACCACTCTCTTCCTCTGCATTGTGCCTCCTCATACCTTGTTAATTCCGAAGACATCTGACTTTTTTTTGGCGTAGAGTTTATATTCTTATTAATTAATCTTCGCCGTCGAGGTAGGCGCAAGAGGTCTTATCTCTACTTCCATGTACAATATGCTAAAGCAGCTGAACTTGCAAGGAAACGAGTGCAAACGGTCACTAAAACAACTGGACGAAGCTGCTGAAAGAGCTTCGAGCTGGCTATGGACGCAACTGAACGTCGTGGGGGATGGGCCTTGTAGACTGGCCGAGTCCCTAGTAGAAAAGAACGTCTTATCCCTTAAGAGCCAAAGTGTCCGATATATGTCTGTCAATGTCCCTCTGTCGACTGCCAGAGTCTAAAGGCCAAGTCTAACACCCGTCCGATGAACCAACCGAAAGCTTGTCACTATGGTCGTAAGGCAGTCGGCTGATCTAATTTGCTACCGCAGCGACAATATCGATAATTCTCACAACACATGTTGCAAATCACCATATCGTCTTGTCCCTGTCCGAGAACATGCGGTAAAGTGCAGCAGGGGAAGATCGAGGCCTGGCGTCATGACCCAGGTCGGCCCACCTCTCTAGATTGTTTAGGAAGTTATGGGCCGAAACAATTGTCGACGAGGGATCTTTCTACTGATGATCGGTGGACCCCTGGTGTACTTGCTTCCCTGTGGAGTTCTCATTATTATTACTCATGTTTTACCGCAAGGTTTTGACTTGCATCCTGGCACACAGCCGTTATCGTTTGTATAATTTAACGTTGTATAATGCTGAGATTAGGCGAAGCGTTCACGATTCAGAGTCTTCATTTTCTTATAGTCCATAGTATCAGGTGGTGGCAATCATGACTTCCTCAGCCTGATGTCTCATGTATTTCTGTTATTCATTTCTGATATGATACATATGTTCACCCATGCCATGATGCCAAATTGCCCAGCAACTTCCCTCTCTCTACTCTCTTTTTTACATTAACACGTGCCGCCTCCCTTCCCCGCACACACACGCGAATATATATATACATATTCGTTTTATTTACGCATTGGCCACATTAACACGACTGCAGTTCCAACAAACCAACAGCTCGCATACACTTTAATATTTTAAAGCAGTTATCATGATATCTTCATCAACAGGGCTGCACTTAATCTGGAATTTATGATCGATAAAAGCAGTAAAGCCGAAGTGGTGTGGCGACTACACGCACGCCTGAGGTTCGGAAGTGGTGTGGTGGCTACACGCTTGACTGAGGTTCGGAAGGTTGTGTTCAGGTTCTGACGCAGCCGGACTTTCCCCCCCCCCCCGAAAATAACAATGGCTCTCAGGTTGACCCAGTCTTGAGTGGGTACCAGGTACAGTCTTGGGGAAGTAAAGGCGACCGTTATAATGCTGACCATAGCACCGACCCAGGTGCTGATCTATAGAATATCGGTCTGTATGCCCGATTTCACTGAAGGCGCGGTAAAGGGTCCTTTACTTCTTAAAGCAGTAGACACGAGAAAAACCCGCCGCCTGCACATGCTTCATTGCATAATTATGTTAGCCAAATGACCATAATGTATATTTATACAAACTAATAAGCACTAAATAAATGATGTAATCAATATCACATTGGCCATCTTTACTTCTCGTCACATTTTCTGACAACCATTGAGGCGAATCAACATGGAAACCCTGGTCACTAACTTGAAGAAATCCTTTAGACGTAGGAAATGGATTTCAGCGGGTATTAAGTAATTCACAAGGCATTGTTTATGACAAAAACTGAGAGATTATCAATAGGCAACAACCGCGTTTGACCCCGGTTTTATCGGCGCAATATTTAGTAAGAACGTTCAATACAGATATACGCCTGTTTCATAGACCACACCTAAGATTCCCGGGCTTCTTGAATAGAGCGTGTTTACTGACGGGACAAGTACCAATTGATTAGCTGAATATCTCTTAGGATCTCTAGAATACCCCTATAGATTTACTTTCTTTCAAGTGACTCCTAGCTTTCTCACTGTAATTGAGCCGGCTGGTTCTTCATTGTCCTCCTCCCCCGCCCCCCCCCTTTTTTTTGCATTCAGTTTTTCTTTGGAATTTTATGTCACTGTTTCTTGTCCACTACATGTCATTTAGTGTATTGCCCTCCTCCCCCCCCCCCCGTTCTTTTCTGCACTGGTTTGTTTGGTTCTGTCTTTTTCTGTTCTGTCTATCTGTGTCTATCCGCGTCTTCGTTCGTTAGATGTACTGATTATTTTACCTTAAGCGTTGTTCTGTCTGTTTTCATATCTGTTGTGTTATCTTTAATGTTAGTAGTTGTGCATCGAACCGTCCTGCCATGTCCCGGCCTGTTTTGTCCTGTCTAGTTCTGCTCTGATTGTCTGTATGTCCATCCACGGTCTGTTCGTCAGTTGAAGCAGTTATTTTACCTAATGCATTAGTCTGTCTGTTGTCATATCCGTGGTGTTATCTTTGTTGTTGTTAGTGTTTCATTTTGACGATTTTATTAGTTAATTATTTTATGAAACCGATACTCTATGTACAACTAAAAGAGGTTTTCGGAAACATTCTTACGACGAATCTTTGGACCCATCAAAGTTGTAAGCAGCGGGGAATGGAGAATGAGAAGCAACAACGACATTCACAACCTATTTAAATTACCATTGATCACAGGCATCATGAGAGCTAATAGACTGAAATGGTTGGGGCATATCGAAAGAATGTCAGATAACAAAGAAGTAAAAACTGTATACACAAGGGATATGAATGGTCGTAGACCTCGAGGCAGACCAAGAAGAAAATGGAGAGATAATGCCTAGAGAGACATGCAAACACTACGTGTCACCAACTGAAAAGAAAGTGGAGGTTGGTGATCAGCTGTCTTCTCAACAGTGCAATCTTCTTCTTCTTCTTCTTCTTCTTCTTCTTCTTCTTCTTCTTCTTCTTCTTCTTCTTCTTCTTCTTCTTCTTCTTCTTCTTCTTCTTCTTCTTCTTCTTCTTCTTCTTCTTCTTCTTCTTCTTCTTCTTCTTCTTCTTCTTCTTCTTCTTCTTCTTCTTCTTCTTCTTCTTCTTCTTCTTCTTCTTCTTCTTCTAATCCTCCTCATCCTTCTTCTTCTTTTTCTTTACCCCCTTCCTCTTCTGCTGCTGCTGCTCCTCCTCCACATCCTACTTTTTGTTTGTTGCTAAGGGCAGGTAGCCCCATGCTTTGTGGTTTTCAGCAAGGATGTGACATCTGCTTTTTTTAATGCCCGGCGCATTCGATTTCATCAGAATCCATAATTAGTCGCCATTGACGACATGCTTTATTTGGAGGCGACTGGTCCTGATCTGTTCTTGTTCTCTCCTGATCTGTTCTTGTTCCCTCCTGATCTGTTCTTGTTCCCGCCTGATCTGTTCTTGTTCCCTCCTGATCTGTTCTTGTTCCCGCCTGATCTGTTCTTGTTCCCTCCTGACCTGTTCTTGTTCCCTCCTGACCTGTTCTTGTTCCCTCCTGACCTGTTCTTGTTCCCTCCTGACCTGTTCTTGTTCCCTCCTGATCTGTTCTTGTTCCCTCCTGATATGTTCTTGTTCCCTCCTGATCTGTTCTTGTTCCCTCCTGATCTGTTCTTGTTCCCTCCTGATATGTTCTTGTTCCCTCCAGCTCTGTTCTTGTTCCCTCCTGATCTGTTCTTGTTCCCTCCAGCTCTGTTCTTGTTCCCTCCTGATCTGTTCTTGTTCCCCCCAGCTCTGTTCATGTTCCCTCCAGCTCTGTTCTTGTTCCATCCTGATCTGTTCTTGTTCCCTCCTTATCTGTTCTTGTTCCCTCCAGCTCTGTTCTTGTTCCCTCCTGATCTGTTCTTGTTCCCTCCTGATCTGTTCTTGTTCTCTCCTGATCTGTTCTTGTTCCCTCCAGATCTGTTCTTGTTCCCTCCAGATCTGTTCTTGTTCCCCTCTGATCTGTTCTTGTTCCCTCCAGCTCTGTATCCCGCTGAAATGGGGCTCCGGAACCCACACGGGTTGGAAAGGCAGACTTTTTTTTTCCATTGTGAGACAATATCTTCTTGCTATAAATGTTTATTCCGAAACCCATTCCATCCCTGTGTTGAAGTGAGATTCCCGCAAGGAATCTTTATACAACAAGAAGAGAGAAGATCAGAAACGATTAAATCTGAAGGAAAACATGGGTAGCCTTTAGCACTTAACTGTAAATCCGGGTAATCTTTTGACTCTCAGCTGCGGACGATACCTAGACGTAATCGTTCACCTCTTCGAATCTATACAAATCTCTGGCATTTTGACGTCAAAGAAAAAATCTCACGACTGCAAATTAATATTCGATAGTATTCCTTATCCGCCTAAGACAGCAGAATCATCATTTTGTAGTTGGTCCTTTGCAGAACGTCGCTGTCATCACTGAATGCCTGAAAGAAACTCGCCAGCTCTTTCTCCTCGTGTACTTTCATATTCGAGGAGTCACTTATATCCTGTGCCCATCTTCGTGTTGGTCGGCCCCTGCCCCTCTGTCCTGACAGCAGAGAACATACAGGTAATACTTGGTGAAGCTGGTAGTTAGTTTGTCCGCTCCAGGATTGCAGTCTATCGGATTAACACCTCAAGGATGAGAATCAAACAGGTGCAAATTCCGTAATCCCCGTTCAGCCGTATATCAGTTATACTGGGGTCCTTGACGACAGTCACATAGTAACCTGAGCTCCCGACGGAGCTATTGGCAGTGGTGTAGCCGTTACGGGTGTCTCAATTGTTGCAGTACCGGGCAATTAAAATTTTAACTCGTTTTAACGGAATCAGCTACAGAATTAGTTTAACAGAATCTTAAAACTAATAAATGTTACGTCAAATGAAGGCAGAGTATTAACCTTACTGAACAGACAGTGTAAAGAAACAATGGGGGAGAGGGGGAAGGGGTAAGTTGGATAATGTAACAGACTGGCCGTGACTGCACTGGTTGAATAACATAATGTAACCCTTGACCCGTTAGGGTCGTGGAGGTATATCGTTGAAAGCACTAAGACACACCAACGCTAACCATCTCTGTCTTCCGCTTGTTTTACAAGTATATAATAATTGAGTCCGGTCCGTTTCTTGATGTTGTCACTCCAGGTTTATCTTTGTCCCCTCTTCTTTAAATACCCTTAAGGTTCACCGAAGTATAATGTTTGCAGTCAAATCTTCTCTCTTCATGTCCTTCCCGAACCAAGCTAGCCCGCTACGTTTTACCACTGCCAAAATAGTCATGCATATTTGTTTATTTTGCCTTTTACATATTTGTTTGTTCTGAAAAGCTAATTCGTAAAATTCGCCTTTTGCATTTGTCATCGAAAGCCTAAACCATCCTTTTTATTTCCGCAGTGAGAGTCCAACACTCACATCCGCAATAAGAAGATAGACAATACATGTGATATGCATATATTGCCCTTTACTGCTGTGCTGATTTTGCACTGAATTCAGCCGAGACACGCGGTCTTGTCATATTAAGTCTTCTCCTGATCTCTTTGGTACAACTGCCATTCTTACCTATGTGAAAGCGGAGGTATTTAAAAGGTTTCATCTTCTTCTTGTTTCTCCCCTTCTGTCTGTATGTTGGTAGGTACTTGATTGACATGGCTATTTACCAGTATCTTGATTCGCTTTTTCCCCGTCTTCAGTTTTATGTCACAGACAGTGCGCAATACGTTAATTACACAGTGGTCTTTCGCGAGGGAAAAAAAATGTAAATAAATATTTATGTTTAATGATTTCCTAGTGTTTCTCACATGATGTATTCCAAGCATACATTGAAAAGCACGAGGAATAATATGTAGCCCTGTCTCAATCCAACGCTGGTTTTGAAAAGTGTTCCCACTGCACTGAGTCCCAGAGACGTTGAGTTGATTCAAGAACCGACATCACAACATTGGGGGCATTTCCATAAGCTCTCCGTCCCCATCTGAGCAGCCAGTATAGAGTTCCGATACTAATGGTGCCAGTACCATTGTGATTAAACGTTCCTCTTGCCTTTCCTCTGAGCATCTGCCAGAATCTCTCGTAACCCCCCTCCCCCTCCCCCTGCCCCTGCATCAATCTGACCAGACTGGTGATCCATCTGCTCCTCCAAACTATACATGCTCTCCCACAAGGCACTAACCACGTCTGCCTTATCATCATCAGTATTTCACCAAGTTGTGCAGAGCCAGCCAGACTGTCCGCCTGTTCTTCATTTCTCCGGCGTTTACCAAAGAATAAATCCAGACAATACTCCTCACCCGTGTCCTCCGCAGTGAAGCATGACACGCTACACGAAGCATGCCTGTCCTGACCTTCCCCAGCATGCTTTCTGAGTCAGTTACAATCACGGTGTGTGTGTGTGTGTGTGTGTGTGTGTCGTGTTATCTAACCAGCAGAAAGCTGCAGTGACCGCCTCCACCTCCATTCTTAAGCTAGATGTTGTGGTATCATATGCTAGGCTCTCCTGCACCAAACGTCGACCATTAACTTTCGCTTAGAAACTCCAAGCACTTCTTTTGCCTCTTGACACTGAACCGTCTGAGTGAATAATCAAATCCTCTGAGCGAGCACTATTTGGAATTAATTACTGAATTTCAACCTCTGTGGCACCTGCTGGCCAGTCTCTGCATTTCCGACTCTATGTGATTATGACCCTACACAAGTCTGACTGTTCAGGTGGCACTTTGACCCACTCCTCTCCTTGTCTAATGTTCTCAAGAATGCAAACCTGTCTATGCTTTCTGCCTGAGCCATCCGTGACTTTTCTCTTATTAGCCGCTGTCCCTTAACTGCACCCAGAGCTTCGTGCAAAGGGTGGTCCGTGTCTGCAGCTACCTTGAGATATGACTTCGCCTGCAGCACCTTGTGCATACCTGCAACAGTCGGTAAACCAAGAATGTATCGCATAAACACCACTGGGGTGTCTCTGGTGCAATCCAGAAGGACCCGCAAAGCTGTGTTCTGTATGCGCTCTAGTTTGTCCATGTGACTCTTTGAGACGGTAAGCAGTCCCAGGCCATAATCAACCACTGACAGGATGGGTGCTGGTATAGTGTGAAAAGCTTTCTCTGCTCTATGTCAATTGCAGCCATAGTCTTTAGTGCACTGAGGCCTTTTTTGTTATCTTGTCACAACACTCTCCACGAGGTCCTTAAAGGACAGGCTCCTGTCAACTGTATATAGTGCCAGAGACGTTAAAACAAGGGAGTCAAAGAACGAGTTGCTTGTTGGGAATGGGTATTAAATATGCAAAAACCGGTTGCAGGGCAAAGCAAGGAGATATTCCCGTCATCTCCTACTGGATACGTTAAGCACGGAGACAAGGAGATGGCTGCTGCACCGGTGGTCGGAGCATAAATGGATCGGACCGATGTGTCAGGATATGATGAGTTTGAACTGGCTAGTTGTGACTTGTGGATTACCATTCAGAATGCGACTTGCAGGAGTGGTCACAGCGGCCCCTGGGAAACCAATATGTATGTAAGTTGTAACCCACCAGGACATCACGCAAGCGATAAACACCCGGTGACACAAAGTGCCACCATGCGGATGAGGATCACCCGTGGAAAGGTTCCAAAAACCCCTTTCAGCAGTTAGAGCCACAATTGTTGCGCAGCTGTATTCAGAGCTCCCGGCAAAAGCCAGGATGGGGCTTCAAATAACGAAAAAGTGCATCTCACAAGTGGGTGACTATGTATTAATAAAAATCATTAGACCGATAGTCTGTTAAGTTCACTGTGATTAATCATAAAGAGATTATGCTGGATCAGCCTCGAAACTCCCTAATAGGGACGGAACCATTTAGCGTTGTGGTGGCTAGCAGGCTTGCGTCTCAAGCTGACTAACATTGGTTAAATCTCGCATCTAGGCGGATTTTGTGGGAGCAAGAATACAATCGGAACTATCAGGGCCACCAAGCCTAAGAGCGATTTACATTAAATGTGCTGGCACATATGTACAGGAAATGTAAGGCTGTATTGACGCTTTGATTAGTTGAATAACTGATAGTTTTATTTAGTATCCTTTTCAATAAACAGCTTTTTATTTTGGGCAGTTTAATATTTACCCCCTCCTACTCTCTCCTCTTCCTTCTCCTTCTATCTTAACGAAGTGTGTGTATGTGGGTGGGTATTAAAAATCGTCTGTGATTTTTTTTTCTAAAGCGGTGTATAAGTTGGTGTTCATTTATTTGAGGTTTTCTTGGGGCCGTTATTTGAACGCACTTTATCAGCTTGGTGCTGGCAGGGGTTAAGACTTGTATTGTCACTGTGGATCAAAGACTTTCTATGGAGAACTAGCTGCACTTACTGTCAACGTCCCGAATGGTTAGTTTGATGGGGTCAGAGGTGAAGGTAATGGGCGGGGCTGAGTTTTGTAACTCTGTTTGCGTAAATATAATGGTTACAGCGGGGGGTCCTCTGAGTTACGTTCCGGTACCGGGTTTTTAAAGTCGATATAAAATAAGCAGTATAGCCTGCGCAGAGAAAGGATATAGGACTTTTATTTCACAGGCATGAAAGGATGTGTAGTGCACCAGACTAAAGATATTCGGTTAGAGTCCAGTTATGGACTTTCGTTTCAACCTGGTAAATTTTAGGAAGTTACACTCGTTTCCTTCCTCTGTTCTCTGACCCAGTGGCAATGTTTTAGAAGACAATCAGATAAGGGCGATTTTAAAAGGAGATCTACATCTTGTGGCACTTGGAGATCGTAAGTAGTAGGTTCTAGTTTACCACTGACGTGTGAGTGAGTGGGCAAAGTGCCCTTATGACGCCAGTGGCGCATCGTCAACATGATGCCGAGCTCAGATTTGTGCAGACCAACTGGCAGTCGCACAGTAGCCTATCTCATCAACATAAGTCTGAGGGTTTCTCTCGAGGGTTCTTATTTCCTTAGTCTCTTGGTTTCCAAATGTGAGAAGATATACCCACAGTAATCTATCTCATCAACATATATTGAGGGTTTCTCTTGAGAGTTCTTAGTCTCTTGGTTTTAAAATGCAAGAAGATATACCGACAGTAGCCTATCTCATCAACATATATTGAGGGTTTCTCTTGAGAGTTCTTATTTTCTTAGTCTCTTGGTTTGCAATTGCAAGAAGATACACCCACAGTAGCCTATCTCATCAATATAAGTCTGAGGGTTTCACTCGAGAGTTCTTATTTTCTTAGTCTCTTGGTTTCCAAATGCAAGAAGATTTACCCACAGTAATCTATCTCATCAACATATATTGAGGGTTTCTCTTAAGAGTCCTTTTTCCTAGGTCTCTTATTTTCCAAATGCGAGAAGATATACCTACAGTAGCTTATCTCATCAATAAACTATGATGGTTTTTTCTTTTAAAAGTTCCTAGGTTTTCAAATGCGAGAATGTTGAATGAGAAATCGCCATCACAGCACTGGGACACTCCCTTAAGTGCTTTGTCCTCATCTTCAGCAGCAAGCTAAGAAAGAGTTCCACTTCCGATGATACCAGTAAATGTCTGATTGTCTATCCATCTAGCCATTCCCTTGAGTGTTGAGCTCAGCAAGATTCCCTGTTAACATCCCGCAGTGCCATTCTCCTCAGACCATAATCACCTATTTGTGCCTCTGCACCGCTCACTTGCTCCCAAAGGACGCTCACAACATCTAGCTTGTCATAAATCAGTTCACTACCAAGTTGTGCAGAACCAGCCAGTCTAACTGCCTGTTAATTTCTGAATACACCGGCATACCTGGAGAAAAATTCAAATGATAACTTTCCGAGACCTCTTAAGTGATGCTTGCCACTCTGCACGGACCATATCTGTCTCCACCTTTCTCAGCATGCTTATGATCATGACATGCTTGTATAGCTGATTCTCAAGCCAGCGGAAGGCAGCAGTGACTGTCTCCATTCTCATACTAGACGTTGTGATATCATGTGCCTCCATTCTCAAACTAGTCATTGTGATATCATGTGCCAGACTTTGTTGTATTAAGCGACGTCCATTTGCATTTGCTACGAACCCCCATGCACTTCGTATGCCCCTCAATACAGAGACTGTATAGATAATCACATCACCTGGGTGGGAAGTGTCACGAATCATCTGTTCAACGTCTGATTCGGCAGCACCTGCTGGCCATTCCCTGCACTCACAACCTAAAGGGATAAGAACCCTACACAAGTCTGAAACTTGTTCAGATACTTTGACCCACTGCTCTCCTCACCCAAATTGATTAAGCCTACATACATGTCTTCTTCTTCTTCTGCCTTTCTATCCCCCAATGGAGCATAGGCCCTCAACCAACTCACGCCAAGTCGTTCTATCCTTCGCCATTGCATGGAGCTCTCCCCATGTCCTCCCAATCTTTCTAACCTCGTTCTCCAGCTCTCTTCTCCATGTGTTTTTTGGCCTTCCTTTATTCCTATGCCCCTGTGGGTTCCAATGCAAAGACATTCTAGTAATGCTGTTCTCCTGTTTTCTCAGTGTGTGCCCTATCCAACGCCAGCGTCTTTTCCTCACTTCCTGATCCACTGGAGCCTGTTTAGTTCTCTCCCAAAGTTCTACATTAGTTATTCTATCATACCATTTTATTCCCTCTATTCTGCGCAGGCACCAGTTAATGAATGCCTGTAATTTATTAGTAATTGCCTTGGTTGTTCTCCATGTTTCCGCCCCATACAATAGTACTGATTTGACATCAGAATTAAAAATTTTTAGTTTAGTATTTCTTTTAATTTCTTTTGACCTCCACAAATTCCCCAGTGCTATGAAAGCCCCTCTTGCCTGTTGTATTCTTATTTTAATATCTCTATCAGTTCCTCCATCTTTGTCTACATTACTGCCTAAATAGGTGTACGACTCCACGTCTTGGAGTGGGGTGCCATTAAGAGAAACCACATTACTATTTGCCTGATTTATTCTCATTATCTTTGTCTTTCCTTTATGGATTTTCAGACCAAGCTGCTTTGATCTGGCATTAAGTATATTTAATTTATCTTGCATCTGATTCCGTGAATGGGACAGAAGAGCAATATCATCAGCGAAGTCCAGATCATCAAGCTGTTTTGTAGGGGTCCACTGAATTCCATTCTTGGTGTTAGCAGTTACTGTTTTCATAGTCCAGTCTATAGCCAGTAAAAATAAGAGAGGCGACAAAAGACATCCCTGTCGCACACCTGTTTTTATTTCAAATGCATCTGTTAGCTTTCCCTCATGAAGAACTCGACATTTCATGTCTTTATATGTTGCCTTTACTAAGTTGATAATTTTCTGTGGGATTCCATAGTGCCCCATCAATTTCCAGAGAGATTCCCTATCTATGCTGTCAAATGCTTTTTCATAGTCTATAAATCCAATGTAAAGTGGTGAGTTCAGTTCAATGCTTTGCTCTATTATAATACGTAATGTGGCTATCTGATCAGTACAGCATACATGTCTAATTGTCTCTTTAGATTGTGCCATTTGATACATACGAGTCACTGGTTTCATGTCTGGAATTAGATGTCACATGATACACATGAGTCATTGATTTTTATGATTTAATGATATGTTACGTGATACACAATAGTCACTGATTTTATGTCTGGAAATGGATGTTACATGATACATATGAATCACTGATTTTATGATTAATAGTAGATGTTACATGATACTCATGAGTCACTAATTTCTTATCTGGAATTAGATATTATATGATACATATGAGTCACTGATTTTGTGTGTGTCTGGAATTAGATGTTACACGATACATATGAGTCACTGCTTTTATGATTGGTAGTAGATGTTTCATACATAATACACACAAGTCACTGATTTCATGTCTGGAATTAGATGTTACATGATACACACAAGTCACTGATTTCATGTCTGGAATTAGATGTTACATGATGCATATGAGTCACTGATTTTACGATTGGTAGTAAATGTTACTATGTTGATACAAGTCACTGATTTAACATCTAGAAGTACAACTTACATGACATGATAGGAGTCATTGATTTCATATCTAGATGATGTTACATAATACACATATCATTGATTTATTGTCTCGAAGTAGATATTCTATGGTACACTTGAGTCACTGATTTTTTGTATGGAACTAGATATTATGTGATAGACATGAGTCACTAATATCATTTCTGGAAGTAGATGTTATATGATATACAGGAGTAACTGATTTCGTGTCTGGAAGTAGATGTTACATGATTCACTGATTTTGTATCTGGAAGGATTCATATTTGGAGGTAGATTTAATTGTGAGATAGTAGATGCTGGTATATGTAAGTGATGTATGATTGATTTTCTCTAAACAGAATATAGCTGAAGGATGATAAACTGTTTCAGCTGATTTCACATTTACTTATATTTGAAGGGGAATAAACTGTTTCAGCTAATTTCACATTTACTTATAGCTGAAGGATGATAAACTGTTTCAGCTGATTTCACATCTACTTTCAGATGTGATGTAGCAGTCAACAGGTGATATTTGTACACATGGTAAGGATTTTACGCATAGAGCTGCCTCGGCGTTTGATACCAAGAAAACTGAAGATGGTTGTTTGCTGCTTGGCCATAGTTTTCAGCCTGACTGGTATGTATATTCCCTGTTATGTCTGTTCTGTAGTTTTTATCTTGAATGGTTTGTCCATTCTCTGTTATCTGTGTATTCTGTATTCATCCTGACTTGTTTGTCCATTCTCTGTTATCTGTACATTCTGTAGTTTTTATCCTAACCAGTTTGTCCATTCTCTGTTATCTGTATATTCTGTAGTTTTTATCCTATCTGGTTTGTCCATTCTCTGTTATCTGTGTATTCTGTATTCATCCTGACTTGTTTGTCCATTCTCTGTTATCTGTACATTCTGTAGTTTTTATCCTAACCAGTTTGTCCATTCTCTGTTATCTGTATATTCTGTAGTTTTTATCCTATCTGGTTTGTCCATTCTCTGTTATCTGTACATTCTGTAGTTTTCATCCTAACTGGTTTGTCCATTCTCTGTTATCTGAACATTCTGTAGTTTTCATCCTAACTGGTTTGTCTATTCTCTGTTATCTGTACATTCTGTAGTTTTTATCCTAACTGGTTTGCCCATTCTCTGTTATCTGAACATTCTGTAGTTTTTAATCCTAACTGTTGTCCATTCTCTGTTATCTGAACATTCTGTAGTTTTTATCCTAACTGGTTTGTCCATTCTCTGTTATCTGAACATTCTGTAGTTTTCATCCTAACTGGTTTGTCCATTCTCTGTTATCTGTGTATTCTATAGTTTTTATCCTAACTTGTTTGTCCATTTTCTGTTTTCTGAAAATTCTGTAGTTTTTATCTTAACTGGTTTGTCTATTTTCTGTTATCTAAACATTCTGTAGTTTTCATCCTAACTGGTTTGTCCATTCTCTGTTATCTGTGTATTCTGTAGTTTTTATCCTCTGGTTTGTCCATTCTCTGTTATCTGTACATTCTGTAGTTTTTATCCTAACTGGTTTGTCCATTCTCTGTTATCTGTACATTCTGTAGATTTTATCCTAACTGATTTTTTCTGTTATCTGCACATTCTGTAGTTTTTATCTTAACTGGTTTGTCCATTCTCTGTTTTCTGAACATTCTGTAGTTTTTATCCTAACTGGTTTGCCCATTCTCTGTTATCTGAACATTCTGTAGTTTTTATCCTAACTGGTTTGTTCATTCTCTGTTATCTGTACATTCTGTAGTTTTTATCCTAACTGTTTTGCCCATTCTCTGTTATCTGAACATTCTGTAGTTTTTATCCTAACTGGGTTGTCCATTCTCTGTTATCTGAACATTCTGTAGTTTTCATCCTAACTGGTTTGTCAATTCTCTGTTATCTGAACATTCTGTAGTTTTCATCCTAACTGGTTTGTCCATTCTCTGTTATCTGTGTATTATGTAGTTTTCATCCTAACTGGTTTGTCAATTCTCTGTTATCTGAACATTCTGTAGTTTTCATCCTAACTGGTTTGTCCATTCTCTGTTATCTAAACATTCTGTAGTTTTCATCCTAACTGGTTTGTCTATTCTCTGTTATCTGTCCATTCTGTAGTTTTCATCCTAACTGGTTTGTCCGTTCTCTGTTATCTGTATATTCTGTAGTTTTCAGCCTGACTGGTATGCTCATTCCCTGTTATGTCTGTTCTTTAGTTGTCAACCTCTCTGTTATGTTAATTCTCTTTTCATTTTTTTTGGTAGTTTTCAGCTTGTCTGGTAGGCTCATTCCCTGTTATATGTCTGTTCTGTAAGTTAATGCTGTGAATGTACTTCTTACCTGTATAGTCATTCAAGAGCAGACATTTGATCACTGCCCTGACCACTAACTTATCCATTGTTAGGACAAATGTTTTAGCAAAACATCTGGTGAATAGGGTATGCAGCATACTGAGATGGTTAAAGTTGTGTATCCTTTACTGGATTAGAAACAATTATAGCAGAAGGCGTGGTACCAGGAAGGAGGGGCAGGGGCCAACCGAAACGAAGATGGCCACAGGATATAAATTACATCTTGATTATGAAAGTACATGAGGCGGGAGAACTGGCGAGAGATCAAGTTTCTTTCAGGTAGACCGTGATGAGAGCGACGTTCTGCAAAAGACCTGCTACATGATGATCCTTTACCGGACATTGCAGAACCAACCACAGCATTTGTTGGCTGTTGTGGTTTTTCTAAAAAAAATTTTACTTTCATTAGTTTGCCATTGCTTTCTAAGCGGTCAGCTCTCGGTACCGCTGTCGAAACCAGCGCAAGACAAACTGTCTGCAGCTGGGATTGAACCCGACACCCCAGCATTACGAAGCACATTATATTGAGAGAACTCTTGAATAAATTAATGCTTATTTCAACACCTCTTCTTCTTCTTATATAGTCCATGCCATGTATAGTTGTTAATCATAGTCTTCTGTCTTGAGTACTGCCAGTCATTTCTGGAGCATGTTCTTCCAGCAATAATGCCAAACTGTCCAGTATCTTCTCTCTTCATCTCCCTCTGTCTCTCTTCCACTCCAAATCTCTTATAGTCACATCTATTCTAGTTATCCCCTTCTCACTGTGCACCCACAAAATATAGACTGCCTTTCTTTTCAGTTCTCTTCTTCTTTTTCCTCTTCTTTTCTTCCTCTTTTACCACTTCTGTTGTCGAGGCGGATATATTGTTGTACTTCTGGCTCTTCTGCCTGCCTTGACCATAGACACCCCTTGCTGTTGTAGAGTTTCTCTGATGTTATTCTTTTATCTTGTTCTTGGTTGACCTGGTGCTCAGCGACCCTTCTCTTTTGTTGTGTGCCTTGAATGATATGGCATCACAAGGTATTCTGTCTAAGTATGAATCAGTTCTTTTAATGAGTTCATTTTTTTCCATACATCTTTATTACATTTTAAATCTACCTATTGTGTCCTCATCATTCTTGTTTAAACAGCTGTCATCATTTTTTCGCACATTCAATGCAAACATGAGTAGCTTTAATTGTGACAGCTTGAAACTTTCTCCTGTTGCTCATTCATATTATGTGTAAAGACTTACAGAAAGCCCTTTGTATAAGGCACACTCCAGAACTCGTTCCAGAATGTTAATATACTTACACTAGGAGGTAGTTATACTAGAGTGAGAGAGAGAGAGATGAGAGAGAGAGAGAGAGAGAGAGAGAGAGGAGAGAGAGAGAGAGAGAGAGAGAGAGAGAGAGAGAGAGAGAGAGAGAGAGAGAGAGAGAGAGAGAGAGAGAGAGAGAGAGAGAGAGAGAGAGAGAGAGAGAGAGAGAGAGAGAGAGAGAGAGAGAGAGAGGAGGAGAGAGAGAGAGAGAGAGAGAGAGAGAGAGAGAGAGAGAGAGAGAGAGAGAGAGAGAGAGAGAGAGAGAGAGAGAGAGAGAGAGAGAGAGAGAGAGAGAGAGAGAGAGAGAGAGAGAGAGAGAGAGAGAGAGAGAGAGAGAGAGAGAGAGAGAGAGAGAGAGAGAGAGAGAGAGAGAGAGAGAGAGAGAGAGAGAGAGAGAGAGGAGAGAGAGAGAGAGAGAGAGGAGAGAGAGAGAGAGAGAGAGAGAGAGAGAGGAGAGAGAGAGAGAGAGAGAGAGAGGAGAGAGAGAGAGAGAGAGAGAGAGAGAGAGAGAGGAGAGAGAGAGAGCAGAACTAAAAATAATCCGGCTGTAAAATTACATATTAAAAAAAAAAACAGTGAAAGATAGATTGTAAGTAGATTTATGTGGAAAGATAGATTGTAAGTAGATTTATGTGTGCTGAAAAAATAATTGATCTGGCCTGACTAGAACATGTCAAGAATATGTCAAGAATGTGTTGAGACTCATTGGGGGCTGAAGTTGGCAGGGAGAATAATTCTGGCTGAAGCCTAAATAAACACATTAAAACTTGAGTTTGTTAGGGCATAAATTATGCGATTACCCTGAACTAACAGTGAACTGGCAACAGTTCTTTAAAGTGATTAAATTGTATCAGATCTGCAAGGATAGGTGAGTCAGTCTGCTATCCTGCTACCATGATCTTTCTCTGACTGATATTTGTCTATGCATATCTGTATTCTGCCCACCTACCTACCTACCTCTCTGCTATCTGCTTAACTGCCTGCCTGCTTAACTGCCTACCTGCTTAACTGCCTGCCTAACTACTGTCTACTTATCTACCAATCTAACTACCTGTCTGCCTACGTGCCTGTCTACCTGTCTGCCTACGTGCCTGTCTACTTGCTGCCTATTTACTTACCTGTCTGTCTACCTGTCTGCCTATCTCTTTGTCTGTCTACCTGTCTCTTTGTCTGTCCACCTTCCTACTTGCTGCCTACCTGCCTACATCCCTACCTGCCTGTCTACTACTTACATATCTTCCTGTCAATATACTAATTACTTAGCTATCTGTCTGCCTGTCTACCTTGCTGTCAACATACCAACCTGTCAGTCTACCTACCTACCTACTTACCTGCCTGTCTGTCCACTACCTACTTAGCTAACCACCTGCCTACTTACTTACTTACTTACCTGTCTCTCTACTACTTAGTGACTACATATTTGCCTATCTACTTACCTAACTACCTGTCTGTCTCCTATCTGGTAGTAGACCTGTTGTTTACTGACTACTTATCTACCTACCTTAAGCTACCTACTTACCCACCTGTCTACTTGCTATCTACCTAACTGTTTGCCTACCTACCTGCTTATATATACATATACCTATATATACCTATATGCCTACTTACCTAAGTGTTGGCCTACCTACCTACCTACCTACCTACCTACCTACCTACCTACCTACCTACTACCTACCTACCTACCTACCTACCTACCTACCTACCTACCTACCAACCAACCAACCAACCAACCTACCTACCTACCTACCAACCTACCTACCTACCTACCTACCTACCTACCTACCTACCTACCTACCTACCTACCTACCTACCTACCTACCTGTCATGGTCGCCCATTTAGGTTAACACAACAGACCACTTTATCTCTCTCTCTCTCTCTCCTCCCTCTCTCTCTCTCTCTCTTCTCTCTCTCACACACACACACACACACACACACATACACACATGCATGCATACAGACACACTGTATTATGCCGTTTAACACGGTTTCTGGGTGTTGCTTCCAGGTTTCTGGGTGTTGCTTCCAGGTTTCTGGGTGTTGCTTCCAGGTTTCTGGGTGTTGCTTCCAGGTTTCTGGGTGTTGCTTCCAGGTTTCTTGGTGTTGCTTCCATGTTTCTGGGTGTTGCTTCCAGGTTTCTGGGTGTTGCTTCCAGGTTTCTGGGTGTTGCTTCCAGGTTTCTGGGTGTTGCTTCCATAAGATTCTTATTGATAACTCTTTAAATCACTGGGTGTAACTCTTTCAGATAATAAAAATGTGGTTCCTTCATCTATCTGTTTACTGTCACCTGCTGTGAAATTCTCTATAATTGAAATACGGGTAAATGAGTGAGGATATATGCTGGACAAAGACTAAACGGAAGGCGGAGTAAGATGAATCACCCCCGGCCAAGAAAATGCAACAAAACACCAGAGGCAAAGAACATGGGTAGGTCACTTTTCTGAGGGCAGGGTGGCTCCTGAGGAAGTAACCTCAGTAATGATCAAGATGAGATTGGTGATAAACGCACATGTTTTTTTTAAATTTCAAAGGCAAGATTCAGCCGCAATGCAGGAATCTGCCACCGCCATCTCCATTGAAGGAAGGTAAAAGGGCCAAAACATTCAAAGAGAGGGGGACTGCTGATGATCACAAGACTTCTGTTATGCTAGCTCCTCTGAAGAGTTTCTGCTAAATTTATTTTTAGTTCCTGTTCATGTGATATCAGCCATAGTCACATTGCGGCGAAACACTTGCCTGCCAGTCCGAAGGGCTTGGTTCCAAATTAAAATTGAGATCGGGCCTTTTAAAAAAAATTGACCTTGGCTTCTGGGTTGACCCAGGCTAAGATGGGTACCAGGTAATGTCCAGAGAATCCCCATATGGGTTCAGAGGCCCTATTATAGGAAAAACAAGAATTGACCCACTGCCTACCCAAAAGCATGTCGTAAGAGTCGTGTAATTGAGAGCTTCCTTTGAAATCAGAGTGCATCTGCCTGAGAGGCAAGGAACCAGCAGTCTGCATACAAATAAGTCAGATCTGTAAAACAGATGCACACGCAACACTCAGGTTCTAGAACAGGACTGTAGTCTAAAAGTGGATGAACAACCAGAACTTTCCGCCAGATTTTAAAGCTGGTGAACAAAAAGAAAAAGATGTCCAGAGAAGCAAAGATGGATGTTGTGATTTTGATTCACATCACACATGGAATGCCGATTCATCTGTGAAAACAGATTTAGCACAGTAATGCCCAAAAGTGTTTAATGGGTCCAAAACTGTTAATTCACTTATGTGATATTCAAACGGACTGTCTCATGTTATCTTTTTACAGTGGTGTATTATAGTATCACAGGCACAGCAGCAGTTCCACATAAGAGGTATGTATACACACATTAATTTGTGGCTTTGTCTTGTAAATTTTTTCACTGATATTCATGTTGGAACCTACACATATATGAGTCCGTCACAATGAGATGGTACACACTTCAGCTAATGAAAACCCTATATACACAATTGAAGTAAAGTAAAGATCACTTTTAACGCCTTTAGGCGCATCGGGCATATGGGAAGAGCACCCATATTTTTACAGACCAATTGGCACTTGGTGGGTAATGTGGTCAACATTACGCCGGCCGTCTTTACTTCCCCAGGACAGCCATCCTGGTACCCATTTGAGGCTGGGTCGGCCTGCGAGGTCCCATACCATGATAAAAATTCACGCAGCCCGCAGTGGGTTTTGATCGCGGTAGGTTGGATTATGAGTCAGACTTGCAAGGCCTTAGCCACGGACGCCGTACAATTGAATATGATAAATGAATACAGGCATCATGGGATACTTACAGGCATCAAGGGATGAATACAGGCATTGAGGGGTAAATACAGGCATCAAGGGATGAATAAAGGCATCAAGGGATAAACACAAGCATCAAGGGATGAATACAGGCATCAAGGGATGGAATACAGGACTTGAGGGATGAACACAGGCATCAAGGGATGAACACAAGCATCAAGGGATGAATACATGCATATAGGGATGAACACAAGCATCAAGGGATGAATACAGGCATCAAGGGATGGAATACAGGACTTGAGGGATGAACACAGGCATCAAGGGATGAACACAAGCATCAAGGGATGAATACATGCATATAGGGATGAACACAAGCATCAAGGGATGAATACAGGCATCAAGGGATCAATACAGGACTTGAGGGATGAACACAGGCATCAAGGGATGAACGCAAGCATCAAGGGATGAATACAGGCATCAAGGGATGAATACAGGAATTGAGGGATGAACACAAGCATCAAGGGATGAATGCAAGCATCAAGGGATGAATACATGCATATAGGGATGAATACAGGAATTGAGGGATGAACGCAAGCATCAAGGGATGAATACATGCATATAGGGATGAATACAGGAATTGAGGGATGAACGCAAGTATCAAGGGATGAATACATGCATATAGGGATGAATACAGGAATTGAGGGATGAACGCAAGCATCAAGGGATGAATACCGGCATCAAGGGATGAATACTGGCATCAAGGGATGAATACAGGAATCAAGAAATAAATTCAGGCATCAGGGGATGAATACAGGCATCAAGGGATAAATACAGGCATCAAGGGATGAATACAGGAATTGAGGGATGAATACAGGCATCAAGAAATAAATACAGGCATCAGGGGATGAATACAGGCATCAAGGGATGAATACAGGCATCAAGGGATAAATACAGGAATTGAGGGATGAACACAATCATCAAGGGATGAACACAAGCATCAAGGGATGAACACAAGCATCAAGGGATGAACACAAGCATCATGGGATACTTACGGGCATCAAGACATGAATACAGGAATTGAGGGATGAACACAAGCATCAAGGGATGAACACAAGCATCAAGGGATGAATACCGGCATCAAGGGATGAATACAGACATTGAGGGATGAATACATGCATTAAGGGATGAACACAAGCATCAAGGGATGAATACAGACATTGAGGGATGAATACATGCATTAAGGGATGAACACAAGCATCAAGGGATGAATACATGCATTAAGGGATGAACGCAAGCATCAAGGGAAGAATACAGGAATTGAGCGATGAATACAGGCATCAAGGCATAAATATGGGCATCAGGCGATGAATACAGGCATTAGGGGGTGAATATGGGCAGCATGGAATGAACAAGGGCATCAAAGCATAAATACAGGCATTAAGGAATGAATACAGGGATTATGGGATGAACAAGGGCATCCAGGGATGAATACAGGCATCAAGGAATGAATATAGGTATTAAGAGATGAATTTGGGCGTCTTGGGATAAACAAGGGCATCAAGGAATGAAAACAGGCATCAAGGGATGAATACGAGCATTATAGGATGAACAAGGGCATCAAGGGATGAACACAAAGCAACCAGGGATGAACACGGCTATCATGGTATGCATACGGCCATCAAGTGATGAACACAAGCAACCAGGGATGAATACGGCCATCAAGTGATGAACACAAGCAACCAGGGATGAATACGGCCATCAAGTGATAAACACAAGCAACCAGGGATGAATACGGCCATCAAGTGATGAACACAAGCAACCAGGGATGAATACGGCCATCAAGTGATGAACACAAGCATCAAGGTATGAATATAGCCATCAAGTGATGAACACAAGCATCAAGGTATGAATACGGTCATCAAGTGATGAACACAAGCAACCAGGGATGAATACGGGCAACAAGGAACACAAGCAACCAGTGATGAACACAAGCATCAAGGTATGAATACGGCCATCAAGTGATGAATACGGGCATCAAGGGATGAACACAAGCAGCCAGGGATAAATACGGGCATCAAGTGATGAATACAAGATCAAGGTATGAATACGGCCATCAAGTGATGAACACAAGCATCAAGGTATGAATACGGCCATCAAGTGATGAACACAAGCAACCAATGATGAACACAAGCATCAAGATATGAATACGGCCATCAAGTGATGAACGCAAGCAATCAGGGATGAATACGGGCATCAAGGGATGAACACAAGCAACCAGGGATGAACACAAGCATCAAGGTATTAATATGGCCATCAAGTGATGAACGCAAGCAACCAGGGATGAACACAAGCATCAAGGTATTAATATGGCCATCAAGGGATGAACACAAGCAACCAGGGATGAACACAAGCATCAAGGTATGAATACGGCCATCAAGTGATGAACACAAGCAACCAGGGATAAACACAAGCATCAAGATATGAATACGGCCATCAAGCGATGAACGCAAGCAATCAGGGATGAATACGGGCATCAAGGGATGGATACAAGCAACCAGGGATGAATACCGGCATCAAGGGATGAACACAAGCAACCAGTGATGAACACAAGCATCAAGGTATGAATACGGCTATCAAGTTATGAACACAAGCAACTAGGGATGAATACGGGCATCAAGGGATGAACACAAGCAACCAGTGATGAACACAAGCATCAAGGTATTAATATGGCCATCGAGTGATGAACACAAGCAACCATGGGTGAACACGGGCATCATGGTATAAATACGGACATCAAGGGATAAACACAAGCATTAAGGTATGAATATGGCCATCAAGGGATGAGCACAAGCAAGCAGAAATGAACACGGGCATCATGGGATGAATACGGGCATGAAGGGATGAACACAAGCATCAAGGCATGAATACAGGCATTATGGGATGAATACATGTTACTTTGACTTTTACAACTACATGAGATTCTCAGCCTGTATGTCATTTTCACCAAGCAAGTTATCACTGCATAGGAATGTCTGCTGAATCGCTTCTATCCTTAGTTGTAAGAAACAGAAGATGGCAGTATATCAGAGACACCATAAGGAGAAGCAGAGAGGATGTTACTAAACTGACACTGAAAGGGAAACAAATGCAGGATGAAGGAAATGATGACATCCAAGAGAAACCCTTAGATGAATATCGTGGAGAGAGGCCAAAGATGCTGGACTAGATTCCATCCATGATATTGAAAGGATTGCACATGACAGAACTGAAAGGAGGATCAGACTTTGAACCTGTGCGGCACATAAGATCTGTTGTGCATACAACACTCAAGTTCTGGAAGAGGACCTGATTACGGAGATGGACATACAGCCGGAACTTTCCACCATTTACAGCTGGTGACTAAGAAGAAGAAGAAGAAGAAGAAGAAGAAGATATGTCACAGTTTTGAATCGTTTATATCAGTGGCTGTCAACCTTCCTAATGCAGCGACCATTTAATACAGTTCCCTCATGTTGTGGCGACCCCCAAACAATTATTTTCCTTTATAACTTTAATGAATATGTGTTTTCCGATGGTCTTAGAGGACCCCTGTTAAAGGGTCATGTGACCCACTCAGAAATGGGGTTGTGACTGGCAGGTTGAGAACCGCTGGTTTTCATCCTTAAGAGCAAAGTGATCTGTCACTCTGACCAATGTAGAGTGTTATTTAATCCATTGAAAAAAAAAAATTGTTGTATAGTTTAATTGTTGTTTTGTGGCTTCGTATTGTAAGTCATAGTTTAGAATTGTTTATCTCCTTGTTGGGCTAACTGATCTGTTTTCATTTGTTGTTTTGTGGGCGTTGTAATAAAAAAGTGGTATGAGTGGAATTGTTCAGACAGTGGTGGTAAACTAGAGAACATAACAATGTCCCTGCAGTGTGTTTGCAGCATTCTGTTAAGGATATGCAACTATATTTTCATTGTAGAATTGTTTCATTGTTGTTTCCACTCATTTATAGTCTATTTCAGTTTATTTCGGAATATTTATTTTCTTGTTAGTTAAACAGTTCAGTCCTTGTGGCCTAATTTAGGGTGGCATTGAATTCATTTCTCATTGTATAATTGTTTCATTGTTTAAATTTCTTCATAGTGAATATCATAAATTAGGATTGTTTAGTTCCATGTTGTGCTAGCTGATCTTCCATACTGTCTCCAGTATTGCATCCTAAGGTTAGTCATTGTGGGACTATGGCTTCTACATTTTCATGAATTTTTATAAGCGAATAGTTTCTGCCTAGCCCACAATCAAATAAATAAGTCATGTGTGCATGAGCATGTGTCTGTTTGTAAAAGTGTGTGTGTGTGTAAGTATGCATGCGGACATGCACATATAAAGTCTATTTTCTGTCTGTTTCCACAGAAGTAATGATGACCTTGAAGCAGCCATTAGAATAATTGATCACAGGATTTTACATTTAGAGCAAGGGTAGGTCTGTCATCACATAGTTATTGTCTGTGAGAATGTCAGCTGTTTGCTGGTATGTCTCTCTGGTTGTCAGTCTACTTTTAGTGTGTTTATTATGCTGGCTAATGTGCCTTTTTGGCATTTATCTGTTTCTCTCTCCGCCCCCCCCCCCCCTTTTTATCTTTATGTTCTCATTTGATATATCTTTTTATCTTTCTGTTTGGTTTGTCCTATCTCCATTTGTTAATCTCTTACTGTCTTTTCTGTCAGAAGTTCATGTTAGTCACACCAAACAAACAAATGAGTCACATATTAATTGTGAACTTCTGGTGATAATCAGGACATGCCGGGCAACAGCTTGTACTCCAGTTCAATATGTCCAGTCCTGTGCCCTGGAGAAGTTACTCACTAAACAGCTTCTACACAACACTGCAGGCAGCAGTTACCGGTTGTAAGCCTGTACCTCAATTGGCGTAGAGCACATCACCAGGGGTTGCTTCCAGCGGTGGGAGAGATCATTGAAATCTCATTGGACAGCTACGGCCTGCCTCAGCTGGGCAGCCCCCCGTCAGTAAGGTACTGTCTCACTGCAGTCGGTTTGCCTTGCTGGGTGCTCAGGGCTTAGGGAACAACCCCACCTACAGATCTAAAGCTTGATCAACCTACAGAGAACATGACTTTCCTTCTCTGATAAATTCAAGGAGAAGGACTATACATTCTTTTAGCAGTGAAAATAATCTTCGATGTCCAGGGAACAAGGCGTAGGCTTTGCAGTCAGGAACTGTTTGCTTGGAAGTGTCACACCGCCTACATGGGGATCAGAAAGGATCCTTAAAATCCAGATTCAAACAAGAGAAGGACCAGTGACCATTATAGGTCCCTAAGCACCAACGCTTCTTCTTCTTATTCTGATTCAAAAGACAAGTTTTATGAGAAACGTAGTGCTGCACTTCGTGAGGTCCCAGACATGGGTACCTTATTCATTCTAGGGAACATTACTGCAAGAGGGTGAGCTGAGCACAGCTCTTGGCCATCTTGTCTGGGACACTTCGAAGTGGGAAAAATGAATGAAAATGGACTGTGGCTGCTCGAACTCTGCTGTCTCCACCACCTCTGCATCACAAACACCTATGTTGAAAACTGTGCCCCAGCACAGATTCTCTTGGAGGCACCCCAGATCTAACCACTGGCACCTACTCAATTTTATTCTCACTAAACGTAGTTGGTAGTCTGGTAGTCTGGTAGTCTGGTAGTCTGGTAGTCTGGTAGTCTGGTAGTTGGTAGTCTGGTAGTCTGGTAGTCTGGTAGTCTGGTAGTCTGGTAGTTGGTAGTCTGGTAGTCTGGTAGTCTGGTAGTCTGGTAGTCTGGTAGTCTGGTAGTTGGTAGTCTGGTAGTCTGGTAGTCTGGTAGTCTTAGTTTCAGCTTCATAGCAATGAGTCGTCCCATCTTTGCTCCGCTCCTGTGCCAACGAAAAACACCCAGTATGTTTATCACAGTCCCTTGTGGAAAGATTGACAGACTGCTGTCTCAGCATATCTAGCATACACTCGCATTAAAGCATACGGTAGCCATCCGAAGTGCTAACTCAAACAGTCCAACATTAGAAATGCAGTTCATCATTGATGATAGCAGAACTTGTCGCCAACAGTTCAGCAGTTGTCCACGTGATCAATTTTAACCAGATACATGCACCGCCAACATTGCACGCCATTTTCTGAATCTACAATTCACACCACCATGTTGGTCACAGTCGAAAATACATTCCAAATGCAATCCGCAGCTCACAGGGTCACGCCATGCATTCAACTCAGAAGCTGGGCGACGAAACTATATCCAGTCTACAAATGGAGCAAAAATACTTCGGCCACCGTCCGGCAGAAGCAAAAAATTTGCCTCTGCTTTGAACAGCGCTGCTGTCTAGCGTCCATTTTAACCGGAAGTTTAACCGGAAGTTCACTAAACACTACTAAACATAGTTACTTTCACCTTGTGACACAGATCACTCCCTGGTATGCAGCAAAGACACTTCCAATCAGAATGCATTGATCAAACAGGCCAGGACTGCCAGGCATTGACACAGGCCAAACTCGAAACTTGTTTTAAAAAAATGCGGGAGAATTTGTAGAAACTATGAGTACAGTTCTGCCTGGCCTATCAAACACAGATGCTAGCAACACAGGGGAGCACCTTTGTATGATTCTCAGTGTGTGTATTCGGCAAGAAACAAACCCATTCACTAGACTTGTTGAGGCACTGTGGTGTGGAATTCACTTTGTTATATCAAATACACCAGGGGCAGTCTACAGAAGGCAATATACATAATTTCTCCTTTGTTCTATACAAGACAGCAAATGACTGACATGGAGAATACTGCTGTTATGAGATTGACTTCAATTCTACAGCCCAAGAGGCTAGTTAGAAGATGAGACCTCACAAGTAGACAGTATACAGAGGGAATCTCAAACAGTGAAACATCCTAAAAGATCTGATCTATCCCCCAGCCTTGCTGGTTAAAGGAGAGGATCCGAGGTTTGCTCACTTCTGATTCCCTGCTGTTAATAAATGGTATATTTATGTATATTTGAATATTCTAGCTATTGCTCACTGACATACAGATGACTGCTGTTAAAATTAACTTCACAAACTGGAAGAAACGCTAACATATATGACATTTAATTTGGAGTAAACCTAATCATTGGACTGGGGAGATAACTGATGGTCCCGGATTGATGTGGTGTACTGTTGTGTTCATTCATCTGTAGTTTGTGCTCCTTGGGTCATTTTCTGGCTCAGCCTCGAAGACACTTCAGGGCAGGTCAAATTTTCTAGGCCAGTCTAGACAGTCTGACACCTACAGCTACACTGGAACTTCCCCTGGAACTTCCCCTGGAACTTCACCTGGAACTTCCCCTGGAACTTCTCCTGCAACTTCACCTGGAACTTCCCCTGGAACTTCTCCTGCAACTTCACCTGGAACTTCCCCTGGAACTTCTCCTGCAACTTCTCCTGGAACTTCTCCTGGAACTTCCCCTGGAACTTCTCCTGGAACTTTCCCTGGAACTTCACCTGGAACTTCCCCTGGAACTTTCCCTGGAACTCCACCTGGAACTAGAGTAATTTAATAGTCCCTGTAGAAGCAGTTGGGAAAGTTAAGACTGAGAGGCCACAGTGACTTCAGTCCTCATATATTATTTGTTACACTACACACACGTATGAAGTTTTATAGTAACATGTTTTCACATTCTTGTCTGGTATAGAATGTTCTGTTTACAGAGTAGTGTCTATACTCCTGATAGAGCTAATATTTTATAAACAACGGTTTCAAGAATCTTTCATAAACAACAGTTTCAAGAATATTTAATAAACAACGGTCCCAAGAATATTTCAAAAACAACGGTTTCAAGAACATTTTCAAGCACAAGAGTTTAACACCACTCAGAAAGAGAAAACATTTCTCTGTGTAAATTGTTTCAATCTCTTTACAGTAGTACTCCTTTAAGGGGTTAACATGTTTAAACACCCCATCACATTTCACAAGGGATTCTCATTTCAACCACATGGGTTCACATCACAAAGAATAGGAATCGGGGAGTGCATTTACATGGGTGTGAGACTCATAACATGTGAGTTATGCATTCGGAAACCGAATGGGAATTATAAATATCTCAATCAATATAACTAGGTGCTGGTATAGTTGTCTTAACAAAATCATAGATGACAATGGAATTTCCTGTCTGTCACATTTGTAACATTACAAAATATTCAACACTAACTGTAATTGAACACTGAATGAATACCCTGGCTAAATCTTATTCAATGCAGGAAAGAAGTTGACAAGGGTGAAATACAATTATTAAAATTATAGGGCCACACACAGTGGTACTGGAAATATATTCCTAGTAATGGGGACTTAATATAACGATAATTATTACAAACTTGGGCCATACACCTTTCTTCTTTTTTTCTGACAGCCTGAATCTAATAAATGATATTCCTTTTTCGAGCTCTTAAACTAGTCACATAATTCTCTGGACTAAATGTAAATTAAATTCAGGCCGTGATTTATAAAATTAAAATCACAATAAGGTTAAATAAACCTACTAAAGATTGGGTATAGTGAAAACACATCTGTTTCCTTCATTAATCAAATCTCACCATTCTGGAAATCGAGACTGGCCTGAGATATCACATGAGGACATCAAGTGTTAATTATTAAAAATAAGCCTAATAACCAATTACACCAAATCACGTTTCTAGTATCAAAAAAAAAAACATTATTTCAATCAATATATAATTAATATGTTTACATACATGTACATACTAGAGCATAAAAGTGGTTAGTGAGGAGGACACAGAAATTTATCAAGATTTCTCCCAAATGTGGGCTTCGACTAGAGTCCAGCAGATAATAGGAATTTAGAGGCATTAGCAGCAATATATCAAATTAGAAAAATAATAATAACTATTCACCCACCCCTGGTAGGGATTTCAAACACACAGTGGTGACCCGTTATAACCTCCTACTAGGTGCTCTGCTAACCTACACAAATCTGCCAAATGACAGAAATCTACAACTTCTTAGAAACCTCTGGGCCAGAGTCTACAAGATTGCATGATGCTGTGCAGATGGTTACTAGATCGGACTCTATGAGCAGAGTCAGTTAGCAGCTAACATTGGCAACATAAGAACTATGTATGATGGCATCAAGAAGACTATTGGACCAATAAAAAGAAAAGTTGCCACAAATCAGCCACAGATGAGGTCATAAAGGATCACAACGTTGGTGGAGCATTACTCAGAGCTCTACTTTACAAGCACTGGACTCTATGAGCAGAGTCAGTTAGCAGCTAACATTGGCAACATAAGAACTATGTATGATGGCATCAAGAAGACTATTGGACCAATAAAAAGAAAAGTTGCCACAAATCAGCCACAGATGAGGTCATAAAGGATCACAACGTTGGTGGAGCATTACTCAGAGCTCTACTTTACAAGCACCTATGTGATTGATGAGGCTTTAAATGCAGTTGGGCGTCTGCCCACCTGGAATGAACTAGACATTGAGCCTACTGTCACAGAAATCAGCAAAGCATTGAATGGGCTTCCCTCGGGCAAGACTCCAGACAACAGTAGTATCCTGCCTGAGATTCGAAGTGCTTGAAGCACGTTATCCTTCTGGAGCTACACAAGATTCTCTGTAAATACTGGGAAGAAAAATTGATACTCTAAGAATTGAGAAATGCTAACATTATAACACTCTACAAAAACAAGGGAGATGGAAATGATTGTACTATCGCGTATCTCTCCATTACACTACGTTGGCAAAGTCTTTCTTTCATGATCCTGAAGAGACTGCAAGTTCTAGCAGATAAGGTGTGTCCAGAATCACAGTGTGGTTTTAGAGCCCAGAGATCAGTAGTAAATATGATCTCCATCAGGCAGCTACAGGAAAAGTGCAGAGAGCAACAGAACTCACTAAGGCTTTTGATTATGTTAACAGAGATGGCCTGTTCAAGATCCTTGCTAAATATGATAGCCCACCCATACTACTATGCTTCATCGAATCTTTCCTTGGGAATATGAAAGAGACAGTCATTTATGAAGATTCATCACAGTCATCCTTTCAGATTTGTAATGGTATAAAGCAAGGCTGCATTTTGGCTCCCACATTGTTTGGCATCTTCTTCACTGCATTGCTTCGGCATGCTTCTGGGATAGCCACTATAGGGATATGTCTCCGAACAAGTTCACATGGCAGCTTTTTCAATCTGTCCAGGTTTCTTGCAAGGATTAAAGTGCAGACAAGATGCCTCAGGGACTTCCTATTTGTGGAGATGCAGCATTACTGTACAAACTGAAAATAGTCTGCAGATTCTAATGATTCGCTTTTCAAATGTATGCAAAGAATTTGGACTGACCATCAGTATTAACAAAACGCAAGTGATGGGGATGAATTTGGTAAACCCATCAAGCATTAACCTTTACGACCATGAGCAGTTGGTTGCATATGAGTTTGAATACTTTCACAGATGATTAGTGCATAACTAAACAGATGAGAAGGAAAGCCTTCTACAGTACTTTCCAAACTCACAACAAGAGTGTGGTCAAACAAGAAGCTTACAGATAGGGCCAGAATGAAAGTTTATGAAGCTTGCATCCTGAGCATGCTCCTTACAGCAGTGAAACTTGACTCTTTATGCTCCTTAAGGAAAAAACCTGAATACCTTCCATGTGCGCTGTATGAGACACAATCTTGGTATATCATGTCGCGACATTGTCCTCAATGAGTGTGTACTCAAAAGAGCAGGAATGCCAACAGTGTACTTTCTAATAAAGCAAAGGCGCCTGCTCTGGTTGGTACGTGTCTCTTGCATGGAGGACGGTCACATTCCAAATCTCCTGTATGATGAACTGGTGACAGGGATAAGACCTTCAGAAAGGCTAAAGCTACGCTATGAGGACATATGCAAATGTGACCTGAAAGAAAACAACATTGACACAGACACTTGGGAGAAATCAGCTGCAGAACAATTCCTTCGGAGGCAGACAGTGAAAGATGGATTGTCAGTTTAAAATAGAGGCCAAATGCAGCAAGCTATAGCGAGAAGGTGTCTGAGAGAAAACCAAGCTTCAGAACGATAGGCATCAACATTTCAACATTTCTATATGGACATTGTGGCAGAGACCGACACTCCCACATCAGACTTTACAGTCATTGCAGATGCTGTTTCCATGACCAGCGACACAACCCCATGGTCCCCAGTGGACTGATAGTTGCCTACTTGAGATACAGCGAAATATGCCTGCTAATAAATTGTGCAACATATTGTTTGTCTCTGTTTTTTAAATGTTTTGTGCTGTTGAATTAATTTCTATAATCTTCTTCTTGTTCCCTGGCATAAGGCTCTGGTTGTTTGTCCAGTTCAGAACTTTAATCCTGTTCCAAAACCTGAGTTTTGCATGCACAACTGTTTCACAGATGTGGATTATTTGTATGTAGAGTGTTGTTTCCTTGCATCTTAGGCAGGTGAACTCTGACTTCACAAGGAACACCCCTAATTAGTCATCTTGTACAACCTGCTTACTAGGGGACATTGAGTTTACCTTATCCCCCCACAACTGTTTCTCCAGATAGGGCCCTGGAAAATACATGGTGAACTTCCCATAATAAAACCTTTTTTCTCCTTATAGAATTACTTTACTACCCAACATAAATATGTGTTTATATTGTTAGAATAGCTATCTAGGATGGTTGCAATGATCCGCATGATCTGCCTCTAATCACATGTTTTGTCCTCAGAAAGAAAACATATCCAGAAGTGAAATTTCTGATGTATAAAGATCGGAAGCGTATTTTGGTAAGTGTTTAAAGAGAAAACTCACAACAACAAAATACACAACAAAGAAGACCGTTTTTTTCTTACCATTTTTTATATTGCTATTTTTTTTGACCCACTTGTCCCTTTTGTTATGATCCATGATTCCCATTGTTTTATTTGTTGTTAAAGACTTTGGTCTCAATCTTTGGAGTATTTGTGCTCACCTTTTCCTTTCTCTTCATTGAACTTGCTAATCCTAGTTTGTGTTGTGTAAAGTTGAATAAATGAATGAATGAATCAGTCAAGAATTGACATCATTGCTTCCTTTACACACACTGCATCCTTCACACACATTACTTCCTTCACACACATTACATCCTTCACACACATTACTTCCTTCACACACATTACATCCTTCACACACATTACATCCTTCACACCCATTACATCCTTCACACACATTACTTCCTTCACACACATTACTTCCTTCACACACATTACTTCCTTCACACCCATTACATCCTTCACACCCATTACATCCTTCACACCCATTACATCCTTCACACACATTACTTCCTTCACACACATTACTTCCTTCACACACATTACATCCTTCACACCCATTACATCCTTCACACACATATTACCTCCTTTACACACATATTACCGCCTTCACACACATTACTTGATTCACACACATTACTTGCTTCACACACATTACTTATTTCACTCACATAACTTCCTTGACACACATTATCTACCTTACACACACATTACCTCCTTCACACACACATTACCTCCTTCACACACACATTACCTCCTTCACACACATTACCTCCTTCACACACATTGACCTCCTTCACACACATTACTTGATTCACGCACATTACTTCTTTCACTCACATTACTTCCTTGACACACATGATCTACTTCACACTCACATCACCTCCTTTACACACATTACTTCTTTCACACACACATTACCTCCTTCACACACACATTCACTCCTTCACACATATTACCTCCTTCACACACACATTACCTCCTTCACACACATTACCTCCTTCACACACACATTACCTCCTTTACACACACATTACCTCCTTCACACACACACACTACCCACACACACATTGCCTCCCTCACATACATTACCTCCTTCACACACATTACCTCCTATACACACACATTACTTCCTTCACATACACATTACCTGCTTCGCACACATTACCTGCTTCACACACATTACCTCCTTCACACACACATTACCTCCTTCACACACACATTATCTGCTTCACACACAATTCCTCTTTCATACACAGCCAAAATGTGTTTTCAAGCCTGTGATTAGAATGTATTTTTGTTCCCACACAGATAACTGGAGGTGCGGGCTTTGTTGGATCTCACCTCGTGGATCGTCTCATGATGCAAGGTCATGAGGTTGCTGTTGTAGACAACTTTTTCACTGGCCGGAAGCGAAATATAGAGCACTGGATCGGCCACGAGAATTTCGAGTTGCTGCACCATGACATAGTCAACCCATTGTATATTGAGGGTGAGATGTTTTTCAGCATTGCAGTGTGTAGTCTTTTACATTTACTGCAGTTACACATAATTTCTTTGAAACAGTATTTAACCATGCACAGGACAGAAACATTGTAGGAGTGGCACAATTCTGACGGGGGGCAGTTATAACTAGTGTCAATAAAACGTTGTCCCTGTTTGTGTTCTGGGACCCCATTGTGGGGGGGGGGGGGGGGCAATTATAACTAGTGTCAATAAAACATTGTGGGGGGGGACCCCCATTGTGGGGGGGGGGGGGGGGGCAATTATAACTAGTGTCAATAAAACATTGTCCCTGTTTGTGTTCTGGATCCCATAGTGGGGGGGGGGGGGGGGCAGTTATAACTAATGTCAATAAAACGTTGTCCCTGTTTGTGTTCTGGGACCCCATGTGGGGGGGGGGGGGGGGGGCAATTATAACTAGTGTCAATAAAACGTTGTCCCTGTTTGTGTTCTGGGACCCCATTGTGGGGGGGGGGGGCAGTTATAACTAATGTCAATAAACGTTGTCCCTGTTTGTGTTCTGGGACCCCATTGGTGGGGGGGGGGGGGGGGGGGGGCATTATAACTAGTGTCAATAAAACATTGTCCCTGTTTGTGTTCCGGAACCCCATTGTGAGGGGGAGGGGGGGGCATTATAACTAGTGTCAATAAAACATTGTCCCCGTTTGGGTTCTGGTGCCCCGTTGGGGGGTGGGGGGAGATAGACCCACTGCCTCCCTGAAGCATGTCTAAAAAGGCGACTAATTAGAATTTTTTTTCTGATGTCGGAGTACATTTACATGAGAGGTGAGGAGCCAACAGTCTGCATACAGGTAAGCTGGATCTGTAAAATGGATGTGCATGCAAAACTGTGATGCAAACGCTAGCAGAAGAAGAAAAGAATGTTAACATTCTTAATTGCTGTTATTGTTATGAAACCCACATTAGATTAGTGCTGTGACATTTAAGTATGCAGTAGTGATACTGAAGTTTAGCTGAGGAAAAACAAGACATAAAATGAATGACTGCACAGGGGTGTCATATATTCTATCTGACCCTGTCATATATTCTGTCTGACCCTGTGTCCTTCACTCGCCATTGTTACGTGATCTCACTATTGCAGACTCATTAGATAGAAATTTTCTTCTTCCCTACTTTCTTTCAGTCCTTTAAATTCACTGTTATTTGTCATGACAATAAGTGTTGGAGGTCATGGCTGGCCATCTTACGTGACGACTAGAATCACAGATCTGGTCACGCGTACACCGTCTGGCAGTAACTAATGAGACTGGTTAAATTATGGTCAAGACAAAAATTCCATCCGTGAAACAAAGAAACTCATTAACACACACTCACACACACACACACACACACACATAATAAAAATTACTCATTCACACACACACACACACAAATTATTTATTCACACACAACAAAAATTATTCACACATTCACAACAAAAATTACTCATTCACACACACACAATAAAAATTACTCATTCACACACACAACAAAAATTACTCATTTACACACACACACAACAAAAATTACTCATTCACACACGCCCAACAAAAATTATCTGTTTTCTGGCAAAATTGTAATGTGGCCCAGTCAGCAGCCATGTGGCTCACCATTTTGATTAGCTAGAGAGATGGGAATGGTTATTTATGCAATGTGGAGCAAATAGTGAACTTTAAATTGTGTCGTAAAACTTGTAAAATGTGCTATTGAGACAGCTAAATTAATGAAACAGGTTTATAGACAAAAGCGTAACGAAGATGTCTTTATAGAAACTGACTCACAAAGAGACCTAATTGCTCGCATCAGAAGGCGAAGTACTTTCATTTTAGCACACCCCAAATAAAGTGAATCCCGGAATTCCCCAAGAAATCCTATTCTATGGTGTTATGGCATTACTTCATTCGATGTTAATACAGTGTGCGAAAACATGTGTGAACCATGTGGACAAACTGTGGCAAAATAGTGTGCCACGCGCGGCAGAAGCGCCTCTGCTGTTCTCTCTGGGAGGCTTGGATGACTTGCTGATGACAGTTGGAATGCTGGCATCTCAAACGGTCCTGGCGTTCAGTCAGTAACACCACCATGACATGATTATTGGAACAGACAGCGTCTGGTAGAATGTAAGATGCCATGCTGCTGCAGAAAAGCAACACTGCTCTGCTTGTCATGCACTATTGCTGGCTGTCAGATCAAGGAAATTCATGGTGAAGTAAGAACCGCCGCTTCCAGGCACTTAGTTACAAAGTGATAATAAACAAAAGAAACGCTGAAAATGATGAGGAACTGAAAAGAACCAACACATAACACGCCTAGAATATTGGACTTTACCAGGGATTCTGGGATTCCCTTTGTTTGGGGTGAGTTAAAATGAAAGTACAAAGGAGACAATCTACATTCTTTAGTCTTGTCATGAGAAGAAGAAAACTGGAGAACATCGTGATTGTGGGAAAGTTGGAACTGAAAAGAGGCAGAGAAGGACCTAGAGAAAAGATGCTGGACAGTTTGACATCAGGGCATGGAAGATCATTTGTGTCAGAATTGATTGAAAGTACATGAGACAGAAGGTTGTGGATAGACATGACTACCACATGGCATGGACTGTAAGAAAAAGAAGAAGAAGAAGAAGAACATATAGTAGATCTGACTGTTGATGGAAGTGTGTCTGTATGCATCTGACCAGAACTTTGTCATTTATAAAAATTGATTTTTCTGTTTTCAGTTGATCAGATCTATCACCTTGCATCACCAGCATCTCCACCTAACTACATGTATAATCCAATCAAAACACTGAAAACAAACACTCTTGGGACTATCAACATGCTGGGTGAGTTTCTGCATAGTCAGTTTTCTAGGTGAGCTTTCTGATGCAGTCATCATGCTAGGTGAGTTTTTCAGATGTACTAGTTATGCTTGGTGAGCTTTCAGACACAATCAGGGGAGTTGAGCCACATTTCTCTCAGATTTACGGTATCTATCATGGAATCGAGGCCGAAGGATTGCGATATCCATAGTACCAAGCCAAAAGGTTAACAACTCATGGTTTCTGGATATTTAAAAAAAAAAAAAAAGAAAAAGAAACACATGAATATTTTTTTTAGCTACCAAACCATCCGTCCTAGCCTCCGTTCATTCACCCATTGAACAGGCTCTCATCCAGCCCTTATCCTTTCAACCAGCTAGCCATCTATTTTGCCACCCGTACATCCTTTAACCCAGCCACCCATACATCCGTTAAGTCATCCACCTAGAAACCCATCAATGCAATGAGTGACCCATTCATCCAGCGAGCCACCCAACCAGCCACCCATCCAGTCACAAACCACACATCCAGTCACACAACCATCCATTCACAGTCCTTCAGTTCAGTCACACATCCACTATCTATTCATCCATTCACCCATCCATCAGTCCACCCATCCAGTCACAATCCACACATCCAACCAAACTTCCATCCAGTCAGACTCCTTCAATTCAGTCACACACCACCACCATCCATATTTCCTTCCATCCATCCATCCACTCTTCCACTCACCCATCCATTGATTTGTGTGTCCCAGACTGGAGGCAGATGTGAGACCAGAGTAGAGGGGCTTCTTTTTGATCTTGAAACAGTCTTAGCCACTTTACAGATCTCAAAAAGAGATATAAAACTTAACGAAAAGTATATTAGCAAGCTTCACAATATAACAGATAAAAATAAAACTAGAACATTGCGGCTATGGAGCCTTCATCAGCACACACAAATCAAACAAAACTACACAAATACACAAAATCACTTAGCTGGTACCTCGAAGCAGCCAGGTCGATGAAATCTCAGCAGAATGCCTACAGGCATCTCAAAAACTTGTTCAAGGCTGTCTTTAGCCACTTTCAGACCTAGTAGCCTGAACTAAGTTAATACATCCTAGTGTGAAAATTTGACCTGATGCTCTACCAATATTTAAGTGGTATTTATAGTTTTTCCTTCAAGCATCTGATTCAGCTTTTGCTGTGTCTTTTGTTTACATTGGGTTAATATTCAAATGTAATCATCCTCCTCACGTAGCAGGTCTTTTGCAGAATGTCACTCTCATCACAGTCTGCCTGAAAGAAACTCGGTCTCTCGCCTGCTCTCCCGCCTCATGTACTTTTATACTCAAGGAGTCAATTATATCCTGTGCCCATCTTATATTCCCGTGTACCGTTTGGAAACTTGGAAATCTTGTGGATTGTTTGTTTCTTTTTTTCAGGTCTGGCCAAGAGGGTCAGAGCACGGTTGTTACTGGCATCTACATCTGAAGTTTATGGAGGTAAGCTTAACTACTGTGGTTAGGGTAATAAGGTGATAAGAGACAAGGAGAAAGAAATTCAAAAGTCTTCATACAAACATTTAATTGTGAAATAAGTTTTTTTCTCTCAATAAGTTCTCTACTGTTGTGTTCAGTGGAACATATGGAAATACACAGAGAGATGGAACCAGTGTTTTAATTTTATGCTTGCCTTTTAAACAGTTAATTTAGAGGAAAAAAAAAAAAAAAAAAACTAGTGAAGACAGCTTATGTTTGACTACTCGGATGTTGCCAATTTAGAAACTGTCCTTGGAGTTAGTTAATTGTATATCCTTCAGAGCACGGGTTCTGAACACATGGGTTATGACCCCAAATAAAGTCACAGATAGTTCTCCATGGGGTTGCTTGACAGTGACTGGCTGTGAACAATTTTTTCAACAAGAAAACAACAAATCATATTAATTATATTGTACTGATAAATTCCTTTTCTGTGTCTTCTAATTTATTCTGTAAATTCATTTTCTGTGTCTTTTCATTTACCCTGTTCAGTGAGTAAAGAACCCTTTTCCACACTTTTAAGCTAAATGGGCATATAGGGCTAGACCTACATTGTATAGATCAATCGGCACTTAGTGAGTGATGTGGTGAACATCATACCAGCCACCTTTGCTTCTGAGGACTTCACATGGTACCCCATTTAAGGCTGGATCGACCTGGCTTGGGGCCAAGGTCATTTATGGAAATAGTCCAGCTCTGCCAGGACCTGAACACATGACCTGAGGATCTGCAGGCAAGCATCTAGCCACTAAACTGCGGCAGCTCTATTTACCCTGTTAAAAAGCCTATTTTTTTTATTGTTGGAGGTCACAGGTCACATTGTAAAAAATGGAGTCGACTCAAAAAAGGTTGAGAGCCACTGCTTTAGAGGATGATGCAAACCAGCCCCACATTTGTTGGCTGTTTGTGGTTTTGCTAGGAAATTTGTACACTCAGAAGTTTGCCATTGCTTTCTGGTTGGTTCTCAATACCATTGTCAAAATCGGTCCAAAGCAGTTAGCTGCCATATTGACTGCAGTTGGAATCAAATGGATGTCTCTTAATCGCAAACCATGTTTTCTCAAGCCACAGATGCCAGTCTCCTTGGAGTGCAGTAATGGAAATGCAGCAGATATGAAGTAAAATGATTTAAATGTTGAAATTCTTTCACACTCAGCTGATTCTCTTGTTATGCTTGGTGAACTTCTATATACAGTTGTTGAAAACAGAGTGGCAGAACATATTCCTAGACTGCCCTTTATACAACTGAGTGGAGATCCTATATGAGACTAGAAGAGAGATCCTAATTCTTTTATAGAACAGCATTTGTTTGACTCTGGGCATGTGTTAGAGATTATGCCTTCAGAGTTATTTATAATAGGCATTTACTAAAACTAGCTGAGGCCGTATCAATAAAACTGAACTTTCCTCTTCTTTGTAAACAATAAGGTCACCTGATAAATTTGAAGTTTCCGTGGTAATCACCGGCTGATAAAAAAATTTATGATGGAGAGTTGTACAGCCTAACTTGACAGTGACAATGTGATTTGGTATTTAGCAAAAAGGATTGACTTTTGTCCGCCACTTTATGTTGATTTAACTCTGCAGTATTTCAACTGTTGGGCTCTGCTCCGAATGATAGGTCTGAACGATCACGTCTAAAAATATACTCTAAAAGGGTCTCAGCCATACGTAAATTGTGGACTCCTTTCCGGCAAGTACATTGCGGCAAAAGTAATATTACTTTCGGGAAATAATTTTGCAAAACTCAAAAATTATCATCATGGCAGGCAGACATTAGCTCTGACACTGGGTCTTAGGTTTAACCTCTCCATGAGTCCTAGGTTTAACCTCTACCCTGGGTCCTAGGTGTAACTTCTCCCCTGGGTCCTAGGTTTAACTTCTCCCCTTAGACCTAGGGTTAGGGTTAGGGTTAGGGCAACGAGTATTACAACACCGCCACCAGAATCTGTAGCAACAGTCCAACCGCGACACTAATGATTGACGGGTTATGCGTGCAAATAACACAGGCACAAGGTTATGAAAGCGTACCTTGTTGCATGATTTGCCGCCCGCTCCTGATGATATTTGCCGGACAGACATCCTAATTTTAATTGTACACACCATTAAGGCCCTGTTGGGATATATTTTAGAAGCGATCATTCAGATTTATCATTCAGAGGAGAGCCAACTGATGAGATGCAGGAAAATGTGCCAGGCAATAAATTGTACAATATATTGTTTGCGTCTGTATTATTTAAATTATTCTCTTGTCATTTCTATGAATCAGATCCTGAGTTGCATCCTCAGAATGAAGATTACTGGGGTCATGTGAACCCTATAGGACCCCGGGCATGTTATGATGAAGGAAAACGAGTGGCTGAGACGATGTGCTATGCCTATGAGAAACAGGTGAGGCTGACAGCGTCAGTCATCATCAAGTGCCTTGCTGGATGGTTTGAGTGATGCTGCTTCTGCACCTCTTTTTGTGCCCATCTGCTTATATCATTTCTTTTGCTGAGAGAACACAATGCACACACACATCATGATTGTAGCTGACTCAGAAAGCATGCTGAGGAAGACCAGGACAGCCATGCTTCGTGCAGAGTGGCATGCCTCGCTGCGGAGGACACGGGTGAAAAGTATTGTCTGGATTTTTTCACCGGCCCATGCCGGTGTGTTGGGAAATAAACAGGCGGACAGACTGGGTGGCTCTGCACAACTTGGTGGAATACACATGCATGATAAAGCAGACGTGGTTAGTGCCTTGTGGGAGAGCGTGTACAGTTAGGAGGAGAAGATGGATCACCACTGTCTGGTGAGATTGATGCAGGGGGGAGTGACGAGAGGTTCTGGCATATGCCCGAGACTCGGAGGAAAGGCAAGACGGACGTTAAATCAGAATGCTGCTGGCACCATTAGCATCGGAACTCTTCATTGGCTGCTGAAGATGGGAATGGAGCGCTTATGGGAATGCCCTGAGTGCTGAGATGTCGGTTCTTGAATCAAATCAAATCAATTATGCTGAGACTTTTGATACCATAACAAAATGTTGTCCACAATCTTCTCTTCATTATCTTTGTTTATTTATCCATAAATCTTTCCAGTTGTCACATGTTTCAGTTTCAAATGTTCTCTTCTCACAGTGTAATGGTCTCTTTATGATTTTTGCCGCGGCACCCCTGGCATACGCACCTAGTTTGAGAACCTCTGCTGTAATGCCTTGGTCGAATCAGCAGGCAAAGACCTTGTCAGCTGCTGTACCACGCAAACCGGGTCGCAGTTTCCCTGGCTGTGACAGTCTTAGGCAACAGCAACTATTGTGTTAATGAGAGAGTTATTTCAGTCCATCGCAGTGTATGCAGAAATGGGTGTAAGGTAACCAGTATTTGTATTTGGCCCTACCGCAAGTATTCGGCTGAATACCGAATAGTTATTAGGTCCACTATTCGGCCCTGAAGCGAATATTCGGTACAGCCCTAATTTTTACTCTTACTTTTGCTTGGTTCTCCAGCTCATGTTTTTGTTGTTTGTTTTCTGTTTTTGCTGATGGTCTGTATTGAATGTGTTTGGGATCATTCACTGTATGCCGTTGCCTCTTTCAGAGCTTGAGCCTTTCCTTGGGTGTTAATTTTTAGGGATCCCTTGAGACTATTTCAATAGCATCCTTAGAGCCGTGGTAGTGTAATGGCTAGCACATTTGTTTACCAGCCCAATGGTCATATTTTAGAAGCCAGGCCGACCCACTGACCCATCCTCAAATAGGTGCTAGAAGGTATTAAAAGTAAAGCCGCCTTTTAGACATTGATCGACATGATCTATTAAATGCCAAAAGCTGTATAAATATTAGGTGCAACACCATACGTTCATTGCTCCTATAAGCGTAAAAACAAATCCTTTCAGCTTATGTCAACGTTTAGTCTACTACATGCAAAACAAATATCAAGAAATGTTTTAGCCAGTGCCGACTCAGTCTAACAATATTGGTTACTAGGAAGTAAAGATAGCCCACCGCTACCAGGTCATTAACATTTTAACCCTCTTGTCTAAGAGGAGTCTACTTTATCAGGGACCCACAAAATCTGCATGTCATTGACATGCAAGCTGACACCAAGGCTAGGATGCTGTCGTAAAATTAGGATTGTTTCTTCAAAGTCAGAGTGCATCTGCCTGAGAGGTGAAGAACCAACAGTCTGCATGCAAATAAGCTAGATCTGTAAAATGGATGTGCACGCACAAGACCAAAGTTTAGAGGTTGATAAACAACCAGAACTTACTGCCTGAGTTTACAGCTCGAGAAGAAAAAGAGGAAGAAATAATGATGATAAAAACAATATATTGCCCAGCCCATTTTGCTGTATCTTATCAAGTATTTTAAGAAACAAACTATAATACAGAAAATATAAATAGTACATTTTCTGACTGCAGGAAAAAGTTGAGGTCAGAGTGGCACGCATCTTTAATACATTTGGACCTCGAATGCACATGAACGATGGAAGGGTGGTCAGCAATTTCATTCTTCAGGCTTTGCAAAATGAATCCATTACAGTAAGTGCTGCCCTTTAAAGAAGTAACATCATTTTCCTCGGCGACTGTTTTGTTAAACAGTCAGCGAGGTGCCATCTCCACAGTGAAGGTTGGCTGTGACATATCTCTAACACACATCTGTCTCTTGTCCTGCTTGCAGATTCTATGAGGCTGCTGTTTATCTGTGTCCTAATATTATCCTTTCATTTGTATCACTGCCTGCCTATTGACTACCTGTCTTTAACTGTTCCATTGTATGGTTTTTAAGACTGCTGTTTGTCCACTTCTTGATGTCATCCTCCAGTTTGTATCACTGCCTGCATTTTGCTTCCTGACCTTCAACTTTTCACTCAAATATGTTTTTTAATAAGAGTAGCATGTTCATTCTGAGGAGAGGGATGATGCGCAGTGGTTCCCAAACCGGGGCTTCGGCCACATGCACTTTCCAGGAGCTTTGTGACAGCCTCAGGAAGATAAATAACAATTGAATGAAATTAAAGGTTAAGAATGAAGTGGTCCTGCCACACACACACACGCACATAGGCACACACGTGTTGTACTTTGATTGATTGCACTTTGGAGGAACGTTTATATATGACCGTGTTTTGACAGTATGTATATTCATAGTAGTTGAAAATAGATGGACTATTATGGTAAATTTCAAAGTTTTAAAAATATAATTTCATGCATGGTCATTGCGCAGCTCTTTAGATGTCTGTTTACTTTAAATTCCCTTGCTTTCTACCCCCTCTTTCCTCACTCCTTAATATTTCTCCTAATCATCATTGTAATGGGGGATATTTTCACCTTGATTGGCAAGGTTGGAGGGAAAGCCCCCAAGCTAACAATAATACCGAGAGAAGCCAGATACTCGGATTAAACAAGGTTTTCAAGATAGGGGATGACCACGAGTTATCATGTGGAAGTAAAGGAGAATGACCACAGGTTGCCACATGGAACCCAAGAACAACCAAGTATTGCCACGTGGAACGAACACTGTGTATAAGTTCAGACCCCAGTCTGATTAGTATGTGTCGACCGTCAGAGCGAAAGGATGTGAGAGTGTTCGGGAGAATGACAACGTGAGACTGATTGTTGAGAGAGGAAGACCAGACGATAACATCTATCGAAGCCAAGTCCAGCCAGGCCAGTCTGTGTGAAGTCGGTGGTAAAAACCAGATCCATCTGTGTGAACTCTGGTCGATGATTGTGTGAGAAACCAGCATGGAGTCTGATAACTGTGGTGCTTGTAAGCTGTAAATTAGGACACGGACAGGACTTTTATGTAAGTGATGAGATGTCAATAGACTGTATCGTACTTTGAAGTCGGTGTCGGCTTGTCCCAGTTATGTCATCCTAAGAATGTGTGCTAAGAGCATTCACTAGACACATCATCTCCTAGACAACGTCTCATTGCATTCATTAAATGGATTCTGTTTGGGCTGTGCAAATTAAAATAGTTGGAAACCGCTGAGTTACAGGGGATATGATTTCGTTCACTTGTGTGTGGAAACTGCTGAATTACAGGGGATATGATTCCGTTCATTTGTGTGTGGAAACCGCTGTGTTACAGGCGATATGATTTCGTTCACTTGTGTGTGGAAAGTGCTGAGTTACAGGGGATATGATTCTGTTCACTTGTGTGTGGAAACTGCTGAGTTACACGGGATATGATTCCATTCACTTGTGTGTGGAAACTTTCGAGTTACAGGGAATATGATTCCGTTCACTTGTGTGTGGAAAGTGCTGAGTTACAGGGGATATGATTACGTTAACTTGTGTGTGGAAACTGCTGAGTTACAGGGGATATGATTGCGTTCACTTGTGTGTGGAAACTGCTGAGTTACAGGGGATATGATTGCGTTCACTTGTGTGTGGAAACTGCTGAGTTACAGGGGATATGATTCCGTTCACTTGTGTGTGGAAACTGCTGAGTTACAGGGGATATGATTCCGTTCACTTGTGTGTGGAAACTGCTGAGTTACAGGGGATATGATTGCGTTCACTTGTGTGTGGAAACTGCTGAGTTACAGGGGATATGATTGCGTTCACTTGTGTGTGGAAACTGCTGAGTTACAGGGGATATGATTCCGTTCACTTGTGTGTGGAAACTGCTGAGTTACAGGGGATATGATTGCGTTCACTTGTGTGTGGAAACTGCTGAGTTACAGGGGATATGATTCCGTTCACTTGTGTGTGGAAAGTGTTGTGTAATTCTGCCATTGTATTCTTCTTTCTTCTACTTTTGTCGCCTCACTGATAGCAGGTTGTGGCCCAGTGTTGTGGTTTTCTGTATTCGTCCTGATCTTCTCGGGTGCTTGGGGGAGGGGTTCGTTCATTGTTTTGCTGGATAAATCTAGACACCCTGTGTGGTGTGTGGGTCATTTCAGTCCCCTGGAGTTTAGCATCAGAGGCCCGAGGGGTAGTACAGATACACATATAGTTGGCACGTCTTGCGTTCATTGGGTGTCTAGGTAGTAACCTATGAATGTATGGTTCGTTCCTTGGGACTGAAAGTTTAAATCCCTTACAGGTTTAGGATCTCCTCACCCCTTCCACTGTAATATTTGTTTTTAAGGAGAGGTTTTAAGATGCCTAAGCCCCCTGGGTTCCCCCTTGTGCTATCATCAGCTCTCGAAGTCATTGGGACAGGCAAGCCCCTCTACCACTACAGAGTTGGGATAACATGAGGGAACATGTAACAAAAGAGAGAAGATGTAACAGTCTGTATATGTATATATGGGTTCTGATCAGTTTACTTGTCAGGGAATTTCATTTATCATTTGCTCATGGAATATATTTTGTGAACATTTGGTAATATCATCAGACTTTAAGTATTTTGGTTCCATAATTATTAGCAGTGGAGACTTTTCAAAAGAAGTAAAACTTAGGTTGGCCATAGCAATACAAAGATTAAATAAGGACTAGCAAAGAAATCAGTCTACATTTTTTTAGCACGAATCTTCCCTGTAGCAACATATGCATGTGAGTCATGGACTATCCCCCAGTCCTTAAGGAAGAAAATAGGGGCTTTTGAGCTGAAATGCTATAGATTCCCAGAATATAAAGGGCAAAGAAGAACAGAAATACAGACATTCTAAAAGATCTGTACGACAAGAAAGACTGGCTGGTAAACAACATCTTGTCTCTGTGGATTGTAAAAAAAACCAGAAGGCATGGTATCAGGAAAGAATGGCAGGGGCCGGCTAGCACAAAGATTGATTGGCACAGGATATAAATGACACCTGGGGTAGGAAAGTTCATGAGGGGAGAAAACTGGCAAGAGACCAAGTTTCTTTCATGCAGGTTGTGATGAGAATGCTATTCTGTGAAGGACCTGCTACATGATGATGATGATGTCATATATTTTTATCTTTGTGCAACAGGTATATGGTGATGGTGACCAGACAAGATCGTTCCAGTACGTGAGTGACCTCGTTGATGGACTGATGGCTTTAATGAATTCAAACTACTCGCAGCCTGTCAATATTGGCAACCCCGAGGAGCACACGATCATGGAGTTTGCAAAAATTATTAATACACTTGTAGGTGAGTTCCACAGTACCTGCTCTCTCTCTCTCTCTCACACACACGCACATACACAGATAGAGATAACTTTTTTGCTGTTGCGGTTTTTCTATTCAAATTTACGCTACTTTGCCATTGCTTCGGAAGTCAGCTCTTAATACCACCGTTGAAATCAAGCTAGTCTGCTGCAAAGTTGCCTGCATCTGGGATCCAATGCAGCATGTAGAGAAAAAAAATGTATTATAAGATATGAAAAAATAGTTATGAATTGTGGAAAAGGGGGGGGGGGGGAATATGAATTAAATGTGGGGGACAAAAGTATGGATTAGATGTAGAAAAAAAAAAGTTATGAATTAGATCTGGATGGCTAAGTTCCACTGCAGAACAACTTGTACTTGCCAGTAACACTAGTGCAGAACAACTTGTACTTGCCAGTAACACTAGTGCAGAACAACTTGTACTTGCCAGTAACACTAGTGCAGAACAACTTGTACTTGCCAGTAACACTAGTGCAGAACAACTTGTACTTGCCAGTAACACTAGTGCAGAACAACTTGTACTTGCCAGTAACAGTACTACAAAACAACTTGTACTTGCCAGTAACACGACTGCAGAACAACTTGTACTTGCCAGTAACACTAGTGCAGAACAACTTGTACTTACCAGTAACACTAGTGCAGAACAACTTGTACTTGCCAGTAACACTAGTGCAGAACAACTTGTACTTGCCAGTAACACTAGTGCAGAACAACTTGTACTTGCCAGTAACACTAGTGCAGAACAACTTGTACTTGCCAGTAACACGACTGCAGAACAACTTGTACTTGCCAGTAACACTAGTGCAGAACAACTTGTACTTGCCAGTAACACTAGTGCAGAACAACTTGTACTTGCCAGTAACACTAGTGCAGAACAACTTGTACTTGCCAGTAACACGACTGCAGAACAACTTGTACTTGCCAGTAACACGACTGCAGAACAACTTGTACTTGCCAGTAACACTAGTGCAGAACAACTTGTACTTGCCAGTAACACTAGTGCAGAACAACTTGTACTTGCCAGTAACACGACTGCAGAACAACTTGTACTTGCCAGTAACACTAGTGCAGAACAACTTGTACTTACCAGTAACACTAGTGCAGAACAACTTGTACTTGCCAGTAACACTAGTGCAGAACAACTTGTACTTGCCAGTAACACGACTGCAGAACAACTTGTACTTGCCAGTAACACTAGTGCAGAACAACTTGTACTTGCCAGTAACACTAGTGCAGAACAACTTGTACTTGCCAGTAACACTAGTGCAGAACAACTTGTACTTGCCAGTAACACTAGTGCAGAACAACTTGTACTTGCCAGTAACACTAGTGCAGAACAACTTGTACTTGCCAGTAACATGACTGCAGAACAACTTGTACTTGCCAGTAACACTAGTGCAGAACAACTTGTACTTGCCAGTAACACTAGTGCAGAACAACTTGTACTTAACCAATAACACTGCTGCAGAACAACTTGAACTAAGTGTTATGTACTGTATAATTAGAGAAGGAGAGATGATGTGACCATAAACACAATGTACTTGGGTGACTTGCTTGAAATCGAAAAAAAAACAGAAAACTTCGGACGGCTTCAACCTGCCTCTGGGGCTTGGTTTTATTTGCGTCCTGGTGTCTTTGCGGTTTTAGCTTCTTTGTTTGTGGGTGACTCCGAATCTTATTGCTTTTATTTCCAGGAGGCCAAGGCCAGATTGTAAAAAAGATGGCGATGGAAGATGACCCACAGAGGAGAAAGCCAGATATTTCCCGTGCTATGAAGTATCTGAATTGGCAGCCAAAGGTAAGATGTCGTCAATCAGTCAGGTGCCATCTTCACAATGAATGCTGCTGGCTGCGGTGGATCTTCACACTGTGTGTTTCTTGTCTTGGCTGTACACTGCCTGTCTCTTGTCTTGGCTGTACACTGTCTGTCTCTTGTCTTGGCTGTACACTGTCTGTCTCTTGTCTTGGCTGTACACTGTCTGTCTCTTGTCTTGGCTGTACACTGTCTGAGACTGCAGTGATGATTAACAATGGACAAGAGCAACCAGCTGGGAACAACACAGTCAATGGGGAGATTTCAGAATAAGCTCCAAGTTTCTCTTATCTCGGGCACATAATAACAGATAATGGCAGAAGTGAAATAGAAATAAAAAACGAGAGATACAGCATGCAGGATGATGCGCTACCTTCTCGGTCTTTCCAACCATGAAAAACAGAAAACAGATTTCCCGAGCGAGTGCTTACCTCACAGTCAAGGCGGACACACAACATCCATTATATAGTCAAATCAAGAAGACAATTGAATGTTGTATAATTGTTTTTATTTGTCCGATTGAATGCTGTGTACTCTTTTTTTGGCTGTCTTATTGAATGCTGTATACTTGTTTTTGAATGTTGAATTAAGACTCAAAATCACAGCCTTCAGAACACCTCTTTAAGCGATTAGTCCCTATCTTAAGCAGCCTTTGAATAGTTCAAGTTTCAATGGCACCAGTAATTGATTGTATATTTGTCTCATCTTTCCCTTCAGTGTTGATCGTAACTGGTAAATCCTCGAAGCTCCATTCTCAGACCACAATGATCTAATTATTCCTCCCCACTGTTCAATCACTCCCAGAGGGCCCTCACAACATTCATACATCAATTCACCACCAAGTGGTGCAGTGCCGGTTAGTCTACTTGTTTCCCATCACTCTGTCGTGTGGCCTGGAGAAAAAATCCAAAAGACGCTAATTGCTCAGGACCTCTGAAGTGATGCTTGCCACTCTGCATGGAGCATGCCTGTCTGCACGTTTCTCAACATGCTCTGTGAGTCAGTTACAATTACAACATATGTGCACAGCTAATTCTCAAGCCAGCGGAAGGCAGCAGTGACTGCCTCCACCTCCATTCTCAAACTAGACATTGTGATATCATATGCCAGGCTTTGCTGCACCAAACGACGTCCATTCGCTTTTGCGATGAACTCCCATGCACTTGGTCTGCCTCTCAACACAGAGCCATTTGTATAGATAATCACATCACCTGGGCGGGAATTGTCATAAATCATTTATTGAACTGATTCAGCAACACCAGCTGGCCCTGCGCTTATGACCTAAAGTGATTAGAACCCTACACATATCTGATTCTTGCACTGACACTTTGTTTCACTCCTGGCCACTCCCAAATTATTCAAGCTTGCATGCATTTCTGATTGTGTCTTTAGCCTGCACCATCCTCTTTTCAGTCTGTGACCTTTAGCTCTACCTGGGGCTTCATACAGGAGGTACTTCTTGTCTGCAGCTACTCTAAGATATGACTTTGCTTGCAGAAGTTTGAGCCTATCTGCAATAGTAGGCAGTGCAAGTATATATCACATACATAATTTGAACATACCAGAATTACTAGCATGGCTTTATTCTGTGTGTTCAAGGTTCATTAGCTGCCTGTTTGATATGGTAAGCATTCCAAGTCCATAATCTATCACCGACAGGATCACATGCTGGAACATTGTGAACAGCATTCTTTGTTCCATGTCCATTGCTGCCATAATCTTTAGAGCATTGAGTCATTTTGGCATTTCAATGCAACTATCTCTACATGATCTCTGAAGGACAGCCTTCTTTTGAAAATGATACCCTAGTACATCAGTTTACTTTCCCTTTTGATGTTATCCCTCTTAATTATGAGACTTGGGACATCAGCTTTTACAATTCTAATGTCCAGAGAGCACCATAAACAGTTGCCTTTTCAGAGTTGATGACAGCAACCATCTCTGCCCACCGGTCAGTCACTTTGTCTACAGTTGCCTGTAGCTCTTTGGCTGTCGGTTTCCTATTGTTCTCCTGCCAGTATGCAAGAACATCATCTTCAAATGTCAATATCCAACACCTGGTGCTTCAAGTTCTTCAATCCTGCTTTTATACACATTGAAGAGCACTGGTGAAATTGCAGAACCCTGAGGTAGTCCCGGGTGGATGAAATCCTTCTTTTTGATGCCACATTGAGTACCATATTATTTTTTTCTGTGTGGGTCATCTTATTGTGTGCTAAATGTTTTTTGCAGTCTCGTTGAATACTGTGATTGTTTTTGTGTTAACCATTGCATGCTGTATGATTATTTGTGCTGTGTCAGTGAATACTGTAATTAGTTTTGTTGTTTTATTTTATACTGCATGATTGTTGTGTTTACCATTGCAGGCTGTATGTTTTTTTTGGGCCACATTATATGCTGTATGATTGTTTTTTGCAGTCTCATTGAATACTGTAGGTTTATTTTTGTTGCTACTAAATACTGTATGATTGTTTTTGTTGTCACATTGAATACCCTATGATTGTTTTTGTGTGCCATTACATGCTGTACTATTGTTTTTGTTGTGCTGTTGTGTGCTGTACTATTGTTTTTGTTGTTCCATTGTGTGTTGTCTTATTTTTTTGGGGTCACTGAATACTGTATGATTGATTGTTTTTTGTTTGTCTTATAGCATGCTGTATGATTGTTTTCTTTCACATTGCATGCTGTATGCTTGTTTTTGTCACTGAATACTGTGTGATTGTTTTGTTGTCTTATTGTATGCTGTATGATTGTTTTTGTCACATTAAATACAGTATGATTGTTTTTGTTGTGTCATTGAGAACTGTATGATTGTTTTTGTCACATTAAATACAGTATGATTGTTTTTGTTGTGTCATTGAGAACTGTATGATTGTTTTTGTTGTGTCATTGAGAACTGTATGATTGTTTTTGTTGTGTCACTTCCTGCATTATGAAAGTTTTTGTTATGATGGATCATTACACAGTAGTGTATCTTTGCTGTCATTATTGATGATTTATTCATTTGACCAAAAGAGGCACTTTGGAAGCCATCCAGTCTGTTTTGTTCTTGCCATAGACCCCAGCATGTCTAAGACAATAAATTGTCAGTTTTGATAAATTTGTCACATTCACAAAAGGCACTCACACATGGACTAAATAAACAGCCTGTAAATGAACATCCGGTTGAGAGATGACAGAATACTTGTTACCAGCTGCCCGTATCAACATCCTAGCACATTGATCTGATCCTCTCATGCTCTGTCTGCTCATGCAACGGCCATCTCAGTGTCTCCATGCTAAACCTGCCCGGTAGAAGTTGATCGGCATATCATCTATCAATTTCTTTATTCTTGTCCTCATTGAATACCCATTTCCAACAGGTGGTTTATTGTCTTTGACTCCTTCATCCCAAAGTCTGTAGAATGCAGAGCATTCATTATGTCTGCCCTGTCTAAACTTCTTCCTTCACCAAGCGCTGCAGACATGACCAGTCTGTCAGCTCTTTACTCCGGCATGTCTGATTTATACTGCAAGATAGTTTCTTGAGGCAGGATAAAAACAGTATTTAATTTCCAGTGGACTAATGAAAGGATGATGCCCAAGAGAAACCTTCAGATAAACACAGACAAGAGGCCAAAGGTGCTGTTTAATTCCATCCAGATCAGAAGGATTGCACTTCCCATAGGGGTTCCAGAGCTTCCTTTCAAAGGATAAAGAATAGACCTACAGCCTCCCACCCCAACAGACATTTTGTAGGAGGCCACTGGTCAGGGGTGTTTCCTTCAGAGTCAGAGTGCATATGTCTGAAAGGCAAGAAACCAACAGTCTGCATACAAATAGGCCAGAACTGTAAAATGGAAGTACACGCAGTACTCAAGTTCTGGATCAAGACCAAAGTCCAGGTGTGGACGAATAACCAAAATTTTCCACTGAAGTGTACAGCTGGTGAATGCTTAAAAAAATAGACGAAGAAAAGGATTGCACAGGATAAAAGGATGTGGAGGAATGTAATATGAACCGTCTGTGACATATAAATAGCACAGTAGAATGCTGATGAGGATAAATTGTTAATTATACTGTTCTTAACAATTTATTTCAATTTTTCAGATTCCATTGATGGTAGGCTTCAATAAAACCATTGAATATTTCCATGTTTCAAATTTCATTGATGGTAGGCCTCAATAAAACCATTGAATATTTCCATGTTTCAGATTCCATTGATGGTAGGCCTCAATAAAACCATTGAATATTTCCATGTTTCAGATTCCATTGATGGTAGGCCTCTATAAAACTATTGAATATTTCCATGTTTCAGATTCCATTGATGTTAGGCCTCAATAAAACTATTGAATATTTCCATGTTTCAGATTCCATTGATGGTAGGCCTCAATAAAACTATTGAATATTTCCATGTTTCAGATTCCGTTGATGGTAGGCCTCAATAAAACCATTGAATATATCCATGTTTCAGATTCCATTGATGGTAGGCCTCAATAAAACTATTGAATATTTCCGCAATGAGCTGCGACGATCCCAGCACAGTGAGAGAAACTTCCACATGCCAGAAAAATTTCAAGTCTGATGCCTTACTCATATTTCATGATGCACAAGAAAGAAAATGTTGACCCATTGCCTGTTTTTGTTTGTAGCATGTTGTACAATAATTTATTATTTGATTTCTTTGCTACCACACTTTGATAATTTTGTTCATGCAAATGGTTCGTTATTGTATAGTGATTTTTGTTTTGTTTCATTATGCTGTTAAGTCAAATCTCACAGTGTGGAATGAATTCATAGGCTGTAATTTTGCAGCAAAGTCCACTGTAGCCCACACTGATGTGGTTTATCATAATAATCCCTGTATTTCATCATTTTGTGAACAGTAATTCATTGTTACATTATTACCTTCAACATAACAATAATAGTGGTTAGTTGTTACCTTATTTCCCATCGCCGTGGGCTGTAAGTCCCATGTCTTCTCATAGCGCAATAATACACTATCGTCTGGAACGGTGTCAATAATTTCCCTATTCATTATTAACAATAATAATAATTGTATACTGATTCATCACCTTGGGGTGGGGAAAAGTATTATAAATTCAGGGCTTGTGCTGGAACCCACAGGAGCATAGAAATAAAGGAAGACCAAAAAAACACATGGAAAAGGGAACTAGAGAATAAAGTTAAAAAGATGGGGAGAGCTGCATGCGATAGCAAAGGACAGAATGACTTGGCATGAAACATGAGTTGGTTAAGGGCCTATGCTCCACTGGGGGTTAAAGAGGCAGAAAAAGAAGAATTCATCACTTTACTGCCATTATTCCCCCCCCCCCCCCCCCCCCCCCCATGTACATGGTGATTCACTGCTGCATGATTTCCTCCTTGTCATTAACCAATGCCTGTAATGTCACACATCCATTCACAGCGATGCATTGCACTCAAGGAAGCAAGGAAAGGTCAAAGGTCAACACTGTGGACATTTAAATGCATAATGAAAAGTCGTGAAAGAAATTTAAGCCTGTGGTTCCAAGAAGCCACAAAACTAACACAACTGGGTGGGTCCAAATCCCTATATCTGTCCCTTTTCTGACTGCGCAAATGTTTAGGAGGTGGGGGCATGAATATATTAACTAAAAATAGCATTTAAGGTGTTTTTCTGTGAACCATATGGCTTTTTATAGTCAATTTGACATCAGATTTTCAGCTTTATAAAGTCAATTTGACCTCAGATTTTGCCATGAGCCCCAATGATTACAAATATAGATAAGTAATTAAACAAAAAATATATTAGTAACCTTTGTAAGATTTGTTTTTTGCAGGGGACTTCTGTGGAGCTATGCTCCCCCCCCACATTTTTTTAAAAAGCAATCCTGGGGCAACATGGTCAGCTCATAGCATGAACTGATTATAAGTGTCAGAAAAAAAAAACATATTCTACATTCTTTGGGTATGTCACGAGAAGGGGAAAACTGGAGCATGTGATTTTTGGGTTCCAGGGACCATTTGAAAGGTGGGGGGGGGGGGGGAAAGAATCGTCCTGTTGCTTGCCCTGACCAATCATGTCATAAAAAAATGACTAATTAGAAGCTTGATGAAATCAGATATATGTCCTGAAAGTTGTAGACATCACAGCCTAGCTGTAAACTACAACCAGCGTGCCAACCAGCCCTTTAAAGAGTAAACACAGATTCACGATAGACAGATGCCTGCTAATTAATATTGTTTTTAAATTTTAAAAACTTCAAATTCATCTGTGTTTTATAATGGCAGATTCATGACAACAGGAATGTTGAAAAGTTGAGTTGAGTCAAGAATTGACATCACAGCACTCAGGCATTCCCCATGCATGATCCCTCCTCATCTTCAGCAGCCAGCTCAGAGTTCCAATACTGATAGTACTGGTCACAATCTGGTTATATATCTTGCCTTTCCTCTGAGTGTAGTGAGTCGGCCAGACCCTCTGGTTACACCTCATTCTCTCCAGGCCATAATCTTTTTTTCTCTACTGATTCCGTTGTTTGTTCTCAAAGGGCCTTGGCTACAACTGCCTTGTCATGTATCAGTTCACCACCCAGTGGTGCAGATCCAGCCAATCTGTCTATCTGTTCATTACCCACCACACCGTCATGGGGAATGCTGGATAAGAGGAGACCAAGTGAGAAGATGTTGAACAGTTTGACATTGTGTGGATAATAATAATAAGAGAGTTTTTCCGAGTTACCTATGTATTGCATTGGCAGACAGAAAACTCAAAACTAGCATTGGTTCAGTCAGCTCTTCACTTGTTCAATAACATGATTTTAATGTGTCAGATATCCAGATCATCATCTGGATCCTCTTCGTCAAAGTCGTCTACGTCGTCAGGCTGGTAGAAAATTCTTCCACTTGATGCTTCAGAATCGCCACTTCTGGAGAAAAGAAAGAATGCGACCTTGATGAAAGGAGGTTTTGGGGTATTTTAAAGGGATTATAAAGTCTGATGGGAGATTCAGATTAGAATCCTCGGTAAGGCTGGGAATTTTTTTTGTTGGGGTCAAAAATAAAATCCTAAACTGCACAGTCCGTGGCGATAGCACTAGTCATGAGGCCCTAAATCCTCAGGCTCAAATACCCCCCCCCCCCCCCAAATACAGGCAGTAATATAGGTGTATTTTGAGACAGTTTATAAAGTCTGACGTGGGGGGGGGGGGGGGGGGGGGGGCATATTCCTATTTGATGCTAAGACTTGCTAATCATGACTAGAGATTGGACAAAAATACAGCAACACTGCTCTTTTACTCAACTTATTTTGCATATTCCTAGCATTATCACAATCATTTGTAACATATTTATTCCTGCTGATTCTGATCTGAAAACCAGCCTGCACCACGTGCCTGTCACAGACCAGATTTCAGTTATAAATAACTAATCAACATTTATATATTTTATGTACTGTTTTAAGTTTATATACACTATATAGAATAATGGAATACATTACAAAATATTAACTTTGATGTTTCATTAATATCAACTTCCATTATAACTGTCATTCATAAACTGGTGCCTGCACAGAACAGAAGGAATTATATAGTATGGCAAAATCAGCTTGGGAGACAAACAAGTTCCAGTGAATCAAGACACTGTATGCTCCACATAAAACCCCAAGTAATTTTATTTCTACACAAAATCAATATTTTTTATTTGCCCAAAATGTTACTTATTTAATCATTTTTCTGGTTAGTATTTTATATCTTCCTTTAATTCGTTAAAATCTGTGTTAGATACTATAAAGCCCATCATTTATTCTCCGAACACATTTAATATATTTTATTCTCCACCAAACCCATTCCCCCCCTCCCCACACACATATTTTATTCTCCACCAAACCTATTCTCCCCCCTCACCACACACATATTTTATTCTCCACCGAACCCCATTCTCCCCCTCCCCACACAATTTTATTCTCCATACAAACTCATTCTCCCCCTCCCCACACACATATTTTATTCTCCACCAAACTCATTCTCCCCCTCCCCACACACATATTTTATTCTCCACCAAACCCATTCCCCCCTCCCCACACACATATTTTATTCTCCACCAAACTCATTCTCCCCCTCCCCACACACATATTTTATTCTCCACCAAACCCATCCCCCCCCCTCCCCACACACATATTTTATTCTCCACCAAACTCATTCTCCCCCTCCCCACACACATATTTTATTCTCCACCAAACCTATTCTCCCCCCTCACCACACACATATTTTATTCTCCACACAAACCCCATTCTCCCCCCCTCCCCACACACATATTTTATTCTCCATACAAACCCCTAGATGCTTTATTTGCCCAGATGTTATGTTAGTTATGTATTCAATTGTTTTCCTGTTTAGTACGTCAAGCCTTCCTTTATTTCATTCATACAAAGGTGTATTGGATACAGTAATACACATAAGGAGGATACCCCCCCCCCCCCCCACCATGTATTCCACACATCTAATTCAAATGACAATCTACCATTTGCTATGTTTTTATTTAAAGTTCATGTGTGTCTCATAAGTATAATTACCTATCACTTCTCTTTTTTGTTTTCTTTATAACTTCTACCCTTCCTTTAAAAATCAAAAAAAAAGGTACGAAATTGTCACTGGAAGTTGAATCTCTATATGCATCTTTAGATATGTGTCTGGTATTGTTTGCTATATGTGGCGTCCGTGGCTTAGGCACTGCGAGTCCGACTCGTAATTCCAACGTACCGCGATCAAAACCCACTGCTGGCTGTGTGGATTTTTTAACACGGTATGGGTTGTCGCAGGTCGACCCAGCCTATAATGGGTACCAGGATGGCTGTCCTGGGGAAGTAAAGACAGCCGATGTAATGCTGACCACTTTACCCACTTAGTGCTGATTGGAACAAAGCCGGACAAAAAGACCCCGGGTCCCAGGTTGATCCAGCCTTAAATGGGTAACAGGTACAAGTCCTGGAGAGATAAGGCGGCCAGAATGATGTTGAAAACATCACCTAGCTAGTCTTGACTGCTCAATAAAATATAGATCTAGCCCTATACATATGCCCAATCCGCCTGAAGGCGTGAAAATGGTCCTTTATGCCTGTCTGTGTAACAATAACAGTGAACTGTTGGGGAAACGAGAAGAAGAGATGAGCTTTAAAAAACCAACATTACAATGAACAAAGGGCTTGGTAACGAGCCTTCATTAGCAAATAAATATTACACAATAAAAGAGAAAGAATTAACGCTATATTAAAGGCGTTATAACATACAAGTATGTAATATAATGCAGAACAAGTCAAGCACCTCCCTGTGGGTTAAAGGTCCCCATTGTGAGGAAAACAAGAAAATACTTCTCCAATGAGCATGTCACAAGAGTCGACTAACTGGGGGGCTTTCTTTAAGGTCAGACTGCATCTGCCTGAGAGGCAAGGAACCAACAGTCTACATAAAAATAGGTCATATTAGGGGACATTGTAGTTACTTCAGCAACATTTCCTTATTTATAATTAACCTGTTGTGCGTTATTTCTTGTGGCTTTTTGTGTGTCCTGACGAAGACTTGTTGCAGCAACACCAGTGGCTCCCTTTGTCTATGGCTCCCTTTGTCAAGCATCTAGCTACTATGGTACACTGGCTCCCTTTGTCTATGGCTCCCTTTGTCAAGCATCTAGCTACTATGGTACACTGGCTCCCTTTGTCTATTGTTTCCTTTGTCTATGGCTCTCTTTTGTCTATGGCTCCCTTTTGTTTATGGATCCCTTTTGTCTATGGCTTCCTTTTGTCTATGGATCCCTTTTGTCTGTGGATCCCTTTTGTCTATGGCTCCCTTTTGTCTATGGCTCCCTTTTGTCTATGGCTCCCTTTTGTCTATGGATCCCTTTTGTCTATGGCTTCCTTTTGTCTATGGCTCCCTTTTGTCTATGGATCCCTTTTGTCTATGGCTCCCTTTTGTCTATGGCTCCCTTTTGTCTATGGATCCCTTTTGTCTATGGATCCCTTTTGTCTATGGCTCCCTTTGTCAACTGTTATTTTATAAAACTAATCTAAACAGTGTTTTCCATTTGTTTACATGTTCATATCTCTACCACAGTTCAACCATCTTCATTTTACAGTTGGAAGAATAATTTTCCACATGTTAGGGTATACTATCGACCGATCAATTTGTCCCCTCTGGATTGCTCTTAAAGGTTTACCACTACCATACTTATACTACAAGGCTCAGCAGAGGAAAAGAGGCAGACCAAGAAAAACCTGGATATAGAACATGATTTGACTGGACAGGCCTTAGGCATGCAACCATGAGGTCCATCATGTTTGACCATCAAAAGTGGAGAAAGCTGATCAGACAGTCAACAGCAACTGGTGACCTAATGACACGCACTGTTACAGGATGATGAGAAAACCATACTAAGATTTAAAAATGTCAGTCTGTACGGCAGACCAACAAGGCAGATGCCAGATACCTCGTTCAACCTCTAGAGATGTTACAATTAGAGCTCCTCTAATGGCCAGGTGTCACCTTCAGTACTACTGCGGATAAAGTACACTAGTTATTGAGGCATATACAGTGCTCGCTCCATATTTCTGAAGATGGGTGATGCATTCGACAGCTACATTTCCTGGTGATTTTCAGAAGAAAAGATTTAGTGTACCAGATTCGTTAAAACAAAATCTCGCCTCATTAGAAAATTAAACAAGTGATCAGAGTGTCAACATGCTGGCCACTGCGCCCTCCCTGATCCCTGTTAATGTAATAGAAAATCTGTAACCCCATCACCCTGAGAATGCTAAATCTGGTCACTTCCCACTGTGATACAGCCCCATAAATGCAGATAAATCGCCAGTTCTAAAAAAGTAATTAAATGCCATTTGTTTTATATGTGTGCCTGAAATGTTTAGGAGGCTTGCCTGTGAATATATAAACTAAATAACAGCATTTAGAGGGATTTCCTTGTGAATAAAAAGCCTTTTTAAAGCCAGGGTGACTAAAAATGTCTCCGTAAACCTCAGTGATAAAGGTCACAAGGTCACTGCATGAGTCACCTGATGCACATTTGTTTTAAGAGCTGGGGAATGCATTCCATTTAATGCTTCACTTTTTGTTTACTGTTTGCTCCATTATATACATTTAAAAAGCAAAATTGATAAATACATTTTGAAGCCATTTATTAGTTATCTGTTTAAAATAGTTTATTTTGTTAGGAAATTGGCATAGGTTTATAACCCATTAGTTATAGCATTCACGGGGTGAAAAGGTTCAACTTGAACAAATAAACACATCTGTTATAAAAATGTGTACATGTTATGTTGTGAACTGAGTACTTGTTAGTGTGTACTGTTGACCCTAGGCAACTTAAACTCATTCTGTATGTATTCAGTTCATCATTATGTAGCAGGTCTTTTGCAGAATATCACTCTCATCACAGCCTACCTGAAAGAAACTCTGTCTCTAGCCAGATCCCTACCTTGGTGTACTTCTCTCATTTCCAAGGTGTCACTTAGATCCTATGCCCACCTCAGTTCTGTTCAGCCCCTACCCCTCCTTGCTGGTACCATGCCTTCTGATACTATTCTTTCCAATCAGCTCTGGTACTTGATAAGGCCAAAATTTTTCAGCTTTTGAGACAAGATGCTGTTGACTAGCCAATCTTCCTTGATGTTCAGATCTTTGAGGATGTCAATATTTCTTTTCTTGTTGGTCCATGGTATTGTAAGCAGTTATTACAATATAAAGGCTACGGCTGGTTCTACAATGACACACAATGCAGGTAACTTTTAGGAGACAACTCAAAGAGGCAGAACAAGTAGAACCTTCGAGTATAAAAGAGTTTTGCCATATTTGTTTCCACAGTAAGTGCTGTGCATGGCAGTGATAAGCTTGCTTCTGTCCTGTACTGGACCAGCCATAGCAAACGCAGTGTCTGCAAGATAATCTACACGCTCACTGCCTCAAACACCTGCCTTTAAACAACAAGCTTACCCATCTTTAAGGTATGGCAGCTTCACTTTACTCCGAGCATCCTTTTCAGCATCTGTTAATGACAAATTGAAGGGCAGCTTGCTGGTCAGATCATCCTGAAATTTGAAAAGAAAAACATCAGCCAAAACACAGATGTTAAAAAAACATTCATTTACAGTGAAAGAAAAAGAAGAGAGTCATTTCAATAAAACCCACTCATAATGGAAATGAGATTACTTTGTAACCGTTGGGTGCCCTTAAATAACTGTTATACAGTCGGTCAGCTTTCTGAAGGGCGTTTATTTAAGTCACTGGGTGCTAAGCAATCCCAGAGCCAAAAAAAAAAGACAGTGAATGAAATGGTTAATTTTATTTTATACAGTTTGCAACATCTAGCAATTAACCATTTAAAATTGCTGACCTATTTCCTGAGCCCAGACAAGAGGAACACTTTGAACAGCATTTGAAAACATGTACATTTCACTACAGGGAATTGGGACAAAGGGCGAAAGCTGATGCACCGCTTGATTGATAACAACCACAACATTCCTTACAACACGAAAGAAAGAAATATTAAAGGGTGACATACAAGAGAGAAACATAAAAACACACTAAAATCTAATCTTCATTTCTACTTTGTTCCTACTACCTTCTCAAAGTATAACAATCAATATTTATTATTTCATGAATTAAATTCAGCTAACATGTCTCCAACAGAAAAAAACAATATTCCATGTTAGACTCTTTTAAATAGGATATTTTAGTGGAAGTTTACATTAGAAAATTTAAAAAGTTGTTCATCATCATCATAAACCACTTCTGCCGTTAGGGGTCGTGGGGAGGAATAATTTGCGATCCAGTGCACGTTAGCTGCCACTGGCTATTGTCATGCCGTACAGGCGTAGTGTGTCTAATGTTGTCATGCCGTAAAGGCGTAGTGTGTCTAATGTTGTCATGCCGTAAAGGTGTAGTGTGTCTAATGTTGTCATGCCGTAAAGGTGTAGTGTGTCTAATGTTGTCATGCCGTAAAGGTGTAGTGTGTCTAATGTTGTCATGCCGTAAAGGCGTAGTGTGTCTAATGTTGTCATGCCGTAAAGGTGTAGTGTGTCTAATGTTGTCATGCCGTAAAGGTGTAGTGTGTCTAATGTTGTCATGCCGTAAAGGTGTAGTGTGTCTAATGTTGTCATGCCATAAAGGCGTAGTGTGTCTAATGTTGTCATGCCGTAAAGGCGTAGTGTGTCTAATGTTGTCATGCCGTAAAGGTGTAGTGTGTCTAATGTTGTCATGCCGTAAAGGTGTAGTGTGTCTAATGTTGTCATGCCGTAAAGGTGTAGTGTGTCTAATGTTGTCATGCCGTAAAGGTGTAGTGTGTCTAATGTTGTCATGCCGTAAAGGTGTAGTGTGTCTAATGTTGTCATGCCATAAAGGTGTAGTGTGTCTAATGTTGTCATGCCGTAAAGGTGTAGTGTGTCTAATGTTGTCATGCCGTAAAGGTGTAGTGTGTCTAATGTTGTCATGCCGTAAAGGTGTAGTGTGTCTAATGTTGTCATGCTGTAAAGGTGTAGTGTGTCTAATGTTGTCATGCCGTAAAGATGTAGTGTGTCTAATGTTGTCATGCCGTAAAGGCGTAGTGTGTCTAATGTTGTCATGCCGTAAAGGTGTAGTGTGTCTAATGTTGTCATGCCGTAAAGGTGTAGTGTGTCTAATGTTGTCATGCCGTAAAGGTGTAGTGTGTCTAATGTTGTCATGCCGTAAAGGTGTAGTGTGTCTAATGTTGTCATGCCGTAAAGGTGTAGTGTGTCTAATGTTGTCATGCCGTAAAGGTGTAGTGTGTCTAATGTTGTCATGCCGTAAAGGTGTAGTGTGTCTAATGTTGTCATGCCGTAAAGGTGTAGTGTGTCTAATGTTGTCATGCCGTAAAGGTGTAGTGTGTCTAATGTTGTCATGCCGTAAAGGCGTAGTGTGTCTAATGTTGTCATGCCGTAAAGGTGTTGTGTGTCTAATGTTGTCATGCCGTAAAGGTGTAGTGTGTCTAATGTTGTCATGCCGTAAAGGTGTAGTGTGTCTAATGTTGTCATGCCGTAAAGGTGTAGTGTGTCTAATGTTGTCATGCCGTAAAGGCGTAGTGTGTCTAATGTTGTCATGCCGTAAAGGTGTAGTGTGTCTAATGTTGTCATGCCGTAAAGGTGTAGTGTGTCTAATGTTGTCATGCCGTAAAGGTGTAGTGTGTCTAATGTTGTCATGCCGTAAAGGTGTAGTGTGTCTAATGTTGTCATGCCGTAAAGGTGTAGTGTGTCTAATGTTGTCATGCCGTAAAGGTGTAGTGTGTCTAATGTTGTCATGCTGTAAAGGTGTAGTGTGTCTAATGTTGTCATGCCGTAAAGGTGTAGTGTGTCTAATGTTGTCAATCCATATATACCGTGGCCGTCCTCTTGCTCTTGCAGCTGATCTTCTAAGATGTAGTGCTTGTGTTGGTATCTGATCTTCCTGCATTCTAATGAGATGGCCAAATCACTTGATCTGCTGTTTCTCGATGAATCTATTACAAGGTGTCATTCCCACAATTTGCCTGATAGTTTTTATTATTCACTTGATCCTATAATTTTAGTGTGCCGGATTCGAACCTATTTTACTTGGTCTCACTGCAGCAGCTGGTCACACACACAAACTCTGTAGCTAAAATACCCCCCCTCTCCCGAATATAAAAAAACACTGGCAGGTAAAAAAAAAAAATAATATGAAATCAAACCTATAACCTTCACAACATAACTCTTACAGATTAACCATTTTGTTATGGAAAAACCTCCAGAGGAAAAAACAAGCAAACTATGTCAAACAAACCTGAGGTTTGTGCTGAGATGAACCGTCCTGAGATGTAGCACTGCCAAAGTTGTAGATGTGAAAGCTATCATCTGTGTAAAAGTATTCCCTCTGAAAGTAGAAAAACAAGAAGCATAGTTACAAGACAAGCTAAAAGTTTCATTTTGGTTCAGGATGATTTAAATTAAACACAGATAACTTCATAAGGACTTAGTCTCCTATAGATCATAGAAGGAGTACTGAGTACAGTGCACAAACCTTTTAGCACAGGGGAGGATCCAAATTACATGCACACCAAACATTTTCTCACTAAGCATGCATTTTTTCCCTGGCAGGTTTTCATATTATTACACTTAGCCTGGACAGTCTATTTTTACTTTCAGCCCCTGAGGGATTTTAAATATTTATAAAGATCCTCCAAGTTCCTCACCCTTGTTCATGAAGGCTATACATTAGGACTCCCTCCCCCTAGAGCTCCAGGAGTGGGAAGTAAACCATCCTGTTCTTATATATATATATATATATATAAAACAGCTCTCACATGGACACCAGAGGAAAGAGAAAGAAGGGGCGCCCAAAAACAACATGGAGACAAACGATGGAGAGTGACCTGAATGCGGCATCTCTGACATGGAAAACTGCATTGAAGATTGCACAGGACAGGAAAGTCCTCTCTGAAGCCTCATGTGCCACTAGGCATAAAGAGAATTGATGATTTTATATATAAATATGCCTAGTGGCACATGAGGCTTCAGAGAGCACTTTCCATGTTTTTCCATGTCAGAGATGCCATATTCAGATCACTCTACATCATTCGTATATATATACATATATATATATATATATATATATATAAACGCCCAGCTCGCTAGCGTAGTTGGCTAAACCAGATTGCGCAGTGACCGGGTGACCAACTCCTTGTGGTCCGGGTTCATGCCCGGCAGTAAGCAGAAAAGCCACATTTCTCCCAGATTTACGGTATTTATCATGGAATCTAAGTTGTACCCCACCAGGACATCACACAAAGCTATAGACACCCGGTGACACAAAGTGCCACCATGCAGACGAGGATCACCCCTGGATAGGTCCCAGAAACCCCTTTCAGCCTTTAGACCATGTTTATGGCCAGGCTATGTTCAGGGCCCCCCAGCAAAAGCCAGGGTGGGGCTTCAAATAACGAAAAATTGGGGACGACTAGATGTTAAAACAGTGTTTAACTGACTAGTCTATTCTATATCTATAAGTCTCAAAAAGTCAAAAGCTAGCACTGTGGAAGAGGCAGTAAGTGGCCAGGTACTTTCAGTAATCTTTTTTGTTTAGCTTTTGGCCTGGTTATAATTTTTGAATTTTCAATTAATCTTCTTCTTCTTCTTCTTTGCGTTCACCAGCTGTAAACTCTGGCGGAAGGTTCTGGTTGCTCATCCACTACCGAACTGCAGTCCTGCTCCAGAACCTGAGTGTTGCGTGTGCATCAGTTTTACAGATCTCCTTCTCTTGAATACAGACTGTTGGTTCCTTGCCTCTCCGGCAGATGCATTCCGACTTCAAAGGAAGCTCCCCAATGAGTCGACTCATTACGACATGCTTTTGGGGAGGCAGTGGGTCTATTCTTGTTTTCCCCACAATGGGGCCCCGGAACCCACACGGGGGTTTCAATTAATGTTACGACCGTAAATAAAGTTGTGATAATAGCTTAAAATAGCTGGCCTTTAAACTCTAACAATTATGAAAATCCAAAGGTAGAAAACTCTTCCACCAAGACCCAAAAAAAAAAGACTGTAAAAGTCAAGGTTACCAATCCGTTAGGCCATATTTAAGGCCTGGCTATATTTAGGCCCCCCTGCAAAAGCCAGGTTGGGGCTTCAAAATAACTAAAAATTGCATTCCACATGGGGACAACGCTTTAATCAATTTATTTTGTTAAGAAAAACAAACTGCTTATCCCTGGCTAATTTTCTTCTTTGCCTTTGCAAACAATTTCCGGATGTGTGGAATCCGTTTATCACAAACTTTCAATTATGCTAAATGACTAAACGTGTCCCAACTGTATAATTTGATCTGCTTAAGGCAAACTTTTTGTAAATTCTAATACTGGACATTGGTACAACTGTTCAGCTGTTTTCAGAAACTGTGTGCATCGTTGGTGTTAGAATTTGAGTTATTTTCCCTCCAAATTAACATGTAGATGCACAGAAGAAAAAGTGGTATTTTATGGACATAAAAACAATCTAGTAAAACAGGAAATTAAAGTTTAAAGCAAATGAGCAAAAGGTAGACAGTAATACAAATGAGAGGACAGCATCAAGGAATGGACAAAAAAGTAGTCTGAGAAAGTGTGCAAACAGGACAAGAGACAGAATGTGCTAGAGATTCACTGCATTCAACCTTCACTGTGAAGACGGCACATGATTAATTGATGAACAGAAGTTAAATCTCACAGATTTTAACACTTTTCCAGTGGGTCGACAGTGTCTAATACAGCAGGTGTACTGAGCCCCTCCTGTAGAGGCCATCTCTACAACGGTGGGGGCAACATGTTCCAGAAGTCTACAAGTGTTCTGATCATGGACATCTCTGTGTAATAAGGCAACCACTTGAGTAACTTGACTTCCTGTGCGAACAGAGAACAAACTGTTACAATCATGTGATAAGCTCATCAAAGTGGCTTCATTCTACAGACCAGTGCTTGCAGGTGGTGAGTGTCACATACATTTTTTGCCCAGGTTATTCAGGTGTGTTTGGGAATGAGCAGGCAGATAGACTGGCCCCACTTGGAAGTGCACAAGGCAGAGCTGATTTCTAACCTGTGGGACCAGGTAACAGGTGAAATGGAAGATAGGGGAAACCTGTATCTGGAGAGAATAATACAGCTGGGAGTGGCTGTGGTCTTTAGGTGCCACTCGAGACTCAGAGGAAATGCAAGACGAGTAGTTAACCAGATGACAATGGGTACCATCAGTATGAAAATTCTTCGCTGGCTGTTGAGGAGGGAGACGGAGCTAAAATGGACTTGCCCAGAATGCGGTGATGTTAAATCTTTTCCCAGATAAACCCAGATCAAATAACCAATCAAAGCTCCTTTAAACAGATAAAATAATATTCTTCTATGATACAAAATTACAATATTCTAACAGGTTGCATACTTATCATTATAAGAGAATTCAATGCACATATATTATAATATTATACAATCCCCATGTGGCCCCATTTGTGGGGAAGGGGGAATAAACTCACTGCTCCGTAACAAGCATGTTGTAAAAGGTAAATAATTATGGGCGTCAGAGTGTATCTGCCTGAGAGGTGAGGTACTAACAGTCTGCACAGTAATAGGCCAGATTTGTGGAACAAATGTGCACACAACACCTCAAGTTCTGGAACAAGACCAAAATCCAGAGCGAATAAACAAGCAGAACTTTCCACTGGAGTTTACAACTAGTGAATGCTAAGAAGATATATCATGTACACTTATCTAATGAAATTAAATGTAGTTTATCTGACGTGTATTGTTAACATTTTGTGTCGTGAAATGATAGCCATTACGCATCGGTCTGTAAGGCTGATAACCTGTCTTACCTGTAATCTGCACAAAATTCAAACTTGGACTCGCCCAGAAATATATAGTCTCTTATATCTATATATATAGGCCTGTATTGGACAGCATTATTATGTCTGCCTTTTCTGGTTACTTTAACTAAACTCCATTTTTAAATGTATATCTCTTGGAGATATATTAAGGGAGTTATTTGAGGTTTCTTTGAAACCGATTTACTCCTTGCCCCAGTATACAAGGGACTTCTTTTGTACCAACGCCTGAAGTGTCTAAGTGACGCTATTCTCCTTGCCAGCTTCTCAAGCGTCCAGATGTGTTAATCTGTGCCTGTATAAATTTCACTTTTCAAGGCAATCTGGAATGTCTCAGTTTTTACATATGCTTGGGTAAGTTAATTATAGTTTACGAGTACCTAGAATGATGTCTGTAAAGTAGTCACTGCTGTAGAGAAATCAGTATCGGCTGTGTGATCTCACTTAGTTCGACCGTTCTTGATCGCTAGAGTAGCGGATTCGAACGTAGATCTCCCACTGTACAGACTAAATAACTTATGCCCTCAATAAACCACCCATACTGGTAAAACTTAATACCCTTACAAAGATGTACGGTTGAAACTACTAGAGAATCTGTACATACGAAATGGGGACAGAATTGGGTCAGGGCTTTGTTAATCAAAGTATGTGTGTGCTTGACCCAGATCAATGAGTGCTGGGGCGGTTGGGAAAGCTAGTGAATGCAGGTACTGACAGTAAATATTGGTGTCTGTGTGCAGAGTGAGGGGGAGAGGGAGAGTGATATATGTGTTAGACCACTTTATCTATCTCCACTGTATATCTGACTTGCCTTCTCTTGCACTAAACAGACAGATAAATATAGGAGACTTATGTCTTTTGGTCTGGAGAGGCAATCTGAGGAATGAAACAGGAGAGCAAGGGTGGAGTAAGCAAATGTGGGATATGACTGATGCTTATTCTGTCTTTCCTGTCAAGATGTTACCCTCTTGGTGATGACTAATGTTGAGTTATTTTCTTGACAGGATGTATCTTTTGTGAAGAGCTGGCAGAAGTTTCACAGTCCAACCAACATCCACCAACTATAACCCTGTAGTCAATTAACCCATCACATACTTATTGTCACCCAACTACCAATTGAGAAGACTGTCCTCCTCAAGATGGGGTACAATATAACCCAAACATCATCCAGTGCCAGAGCATGTGTGTAACTCAGGGACAGTACTGTGAGTTACTTGTGGCAGCAAGTTCTGTGTACCTATCAAGTTGATGTGTCCTCTATGGTGAGGTACTCTTCCATTACCTGATCCAGTGAGCAGAATTACCAGGGTCAAAGACAGTCGATTCACCCGGAGCGGAGTGAGGCATCAACAGTGGAACTGGGATAAGTGACAATTATGTCTCAATTATGCCATATTCCCCACAGCTCCACTGGATTCCAAGGATGAACATATGCTTCTTCCAAGACTGTCTGACTGTTTAACTTTGGTTGATTATAGTCATTGTATTCTGGAATCCAGCTGTTGTGTTTTGACATCTACTTCACTATTTTCTATTTTGAATATTATACTAAATACATGCATTCATTTTCATGGCTGACTTAGGTTTCTCTATGTCACCTTTTTAAGTGTTTAGCAGTTGTATGTATATGTATCTTCATTATATGTGTTAACATGGTTATGATAATGAACTATCATAACCTGGGGGCTTTCTTTAGTAAGTAGTGGGGGTGTCCAGCCAAGTGTGCCTAGAAATATTGTAGTTATATACTGATATATTTTGTAGTGCCAATACTTGAGTTGCCCTACTCCAGAGATAAGTTGAGCGTATATTGGCCACAGGGAATCCCTTAGACCAGTACGAGCCAAACGACTCAACATAATTATCTCTGAGTGCTGTTGGTTCTGAAGGAGAAATCCTTACATTAGGCACGCGACAGGAGTGATATGTGACATTTTGTAAATAACAGCAGAGACTAGTAAATTCAGAATTTACAGCAGAACATGAGTGCCATTCTGCGTTGTTGTTTGTTAACAGTCGTGTTTGTTCCTTAGTTGGTAGTTGGTAGCTGTGCACATGTGCCACAAGGTAAAATGGAGAAGCATGATGCTAGACTAAATCAGCAGAGAATCAAGCAGGGATGCTAGACTAAATCAGCAGAGAATCAAGCAGGGATGCTAGACTAAATCAGCAGAGAATCAAGCAGGGATGCAAGAACTCAGAAATACTGCAAAGAGCAGCAGAGAGTGATTGCAAGCAAGTGGCCAGAGTTAGTACAATTGAGGACTCGTCCAGGATCAGCACACATTTAAAAGCACATCAAGGCAAGGATGCTTTGAAACTTAAAACTATTACAAGCAAAGTGTCTGTGAAGTAAAGGCAGTTGGCATAAAGTAAAGTTCAGGGTCATTTTTATGCCTTGAGGTGCACAGTAAAGGTCAGGGCCATTTCCATGCCTTGAGGTGCAGATTAAAAGTCATGGTTTTATCAGGCCTTGATGTGAAAAGGTCAGGGTCATTTTCATGACTTGAGGTGCAGGGTAAAGGTCAGGGTCAATTTCATGTCTTGAGGTGTAAAGTTCATGGTTATTTTCATGCCTTAAGGTGAACAGTTCAGGGTCATTTTCATGCCCTGAGGTGTAAAGTTCAGGGTTATTTTCATGCCCTGAGGTGCAGAGTAAATATCAGGGGCATTTGCATGACTTGAGGTGCAGAGTAAATATCAGGGACATTTTCATACCCTGAAGTGCATCAAACATATGGTGTTAATCCGCTAGTGTGTATAATTTTGTTGTTGTCTCTCACAACACGAAGCAAATCAAGACAAAGCAGTGCCAGCCACCCCATCTTATAATGCCATGACCTAGTATTTGTGAAGGATCAACAGGAGAAAGAAAGCAGGAGGAGGTGAAAAAGCAAGAGAAGGAGAAAAACAATAAGAAGAGGAGGAGGGGGAGGTGAAGATGAGGAGGAGAAATGGAACAGGCAGAGTAGAATGAACAGATTTATAGGAGAAGCAGAAGTTGAAAAATAAAAAGAAAAGGAGGAAGAATAGGAAGATGAAAAAAAAAAAGAAGAAGAAAACAAAGAAAAAAAGCTTATAATATCATTACCTGCGGCGATGTTGTGGAGGAAAGAACATGTGATAGGAGTCGACTTGACTAGAAGAAGCATGGAAACTGAATCTATCACAACCCCAACACTGCCTCCAGTACGTGATACTTCACTTGTCACATCAGCCATGAGATCAACATTAGTCCTTCCTATATCTGCTGTTTTTCTTCCATCAATAAGGGTCATCCTGTGAGATGAAGTTGGAAAGTCTCTTTATATATCATGCTGTAAGGAAAACTGTAGCAATATTGATCAAAAAAAGAAAGGAAAAAAACCTCTTTATGTGATCTGTAGAGGGAGATAAAAGCACTTATGCTGATATCTATGTACATTTAAAGTCTTAAACAAACTGGAAGCTGGAAAATAATATGCTCTGTAGGAAGTAGAATTAAACATAGACAAACTGTTGGATGGCTGGGGAAAACCACTACTTTATTTTCCTAGCATATTAGTTTTAAACAACTCACAAACATTAAAGGAAAAATACTGGCATCTGAAAAGTAGTTAGGTAGGTAAGTTGTACCCCACCGGAACATTACACCCGGTGACACAATGTGCCACCATACGGAGAGGATCAGCAGAGGAGAATTCCCGGAAACCGCATTCAGCCGTTAGGCCATATTTATGGCCAGGCTTTATTTAGGGCCCCCGGCACAAGCTGAGGTGGGGCTTCAAAATAACTAAAAATTGCACACCACATGGGGAGGACGAGATCAGCATCTAGAAAGATTTTTTTAATGCATACAAATTATAACTGTCAAATTTTCTGTACATTCAAAAGTAGAATATGGTACACAAACTGGGTCAGTAAATAAAGCAACTGGTCAAATGGATGTTGATATACAAAAAAAAAAAATAGGTTGTATCACACATGGGTAGATAACATCAAGAGATGGATAAACAGCACCCATGGATAAACAGCAGCCTGACAAAGTATACAAATCAGAGCCTGAGTGAGAGAACATGTTGCAGATTCTTTGCAGCCAACTTGTACTGTGCAACAACACCTGGTCAAATGATTTACAGATGAAACATGTGAAATGCAACAATGGATATCTTTGACATCTAGTTAAAAGCGCATCCTTTATGGAACACTACAGCACATTTGCTGGCTGTGTTGGTTTTACTAGGCAATTTTATGTTTAATAGTTTGCCATTGCTTTCTGCACAGTTGGCTCTCGATACCCCTGTCTAAATCAACACAAGGCGGTCTGCTGCCAAATTACCCACAGTATGTCTGACTAGAAACCGACAATATGGTTCAGAGCAATTTAAAAAAAATCTGATCACTGATATAGAAACGGTTTAAAAAGTGACATATTTTAAAACTTACTTTTTCTGAACATCTAGTGGCAGCCAGTTCTTGAAAAAGTCCGGGTGTCGCTCAAAACACACCAGGATTAGTTTATCACATCTGATTAAATAAAACAAGGAAACAGATTTCTGACAAGAACAGAAGCAAAATAATAAATTATGGAACATGCTGTACACATCACTTTGTGCTTGCATTAATGACATCAATGAACATAAAAATAATAATTAACTTGCATGCGGCTATTACTTTGTGGCTGAGTAAGGAATTTTTATGAACACAAATATAACTATTAATTTGTACACATTACTTTGTGCTCTCATAAAAGACATGATCCAACACAAAAATAACAAATAACTTGCACACAGCTGTTACTTTGTGCTTGAGTAAACTATATAAAATGAACTACATAAAATGAGAAAGAAGGTGCAAATGAAGACCTTTCTCTTATCAACAGACGGAGTTAGTTGCGTATCCGATAAAGGATGTCGCAGAACCAACCCCAGCATTTTTTTTTTTTACTGTTGTGGTTTTTCTAGGCCAATTTATGTCCAGTGGTTTGCCACTGCTTTCTGGAAGGTCGGCTTCTCGATACCACTGTCTAAACCAATGCAAGGCACAAGGCCCGCAGCTGGGATCGAACCCGGCACTTCTGCATTACAAAGCACGCTCGCAACGCCTAGGCCACAGACACTGACAACAGAAGGAAAGAATAATCAAATCAATCAGAAAGCCACCAAAACTGACACGAGGATTACCATTTTATGGACAGACCAGAGCAAGTTATTATTTTACGCCTCAGAACAGGACACATTCGACTTTGCAGGTACATGTACACAATATTTAAGAGTGGCGAATCAGCCATTGTACACATGGTCTGGCACCTGAGACAACCTATAATGTCCTCTAATACTGTCCCAAAAGCAACGCATCAAGGCAAAACTTGCGGCCAAGAGAAACATCGGTGCAAGACAAACTTTACGGGTCGCTGAGGGAATTACAAAAGAAAGTTAAGTTCATACTAGAGACAACATTGCAGATACAGATAATCTCTATTTAAAGTGAACAAAAGAAGAAGAAGAAATAAATGAACAAAAAAACGTGTAGACACTATTGTTTGCTTACAAAAACCATGTGTGAATAACCACAAAAATAAGAACACAATACAGATGTAGTTACCTAGTTCCCAGATGATCAATCCAGTTCAGCAGCAGATGTCTGCCTGGGCACAATGCATTATCTGGAGAGAGAGGTAGAAGACAGAAACACATTGTCTGATATTGACAGAATCGAGACATTGTTATAGAAACACTAAGAGGACAGCAACATTTTACACTGCTTTATGTTGTTATTTGGTGTCTGGGGCTAAGGGATAGTGAATACATTTCATAATTCTGACATACCCAAGTGCCAAGTTAGTTGCATGATATAAGGCAATGAAAGGTGATGAACATGGCTGATAATGATAAATCTGATTAGGATGGCAGATAATGATGAATCTGATTAGGATGGTAGATAATAATGAATCTGATTAGGGTGGTAGATAATGATGAATCTGATTAGGATGGCAGATAATGATGAATCTGATTAGGATGGCAGATAATGATGAATCTGATTAGGATGGTAGATAATGATGAATCTGATTAGGATGGCTGATAATGATGAATCTGATTAGGATGGCTGATAATGATGAATCTGATTAGGATGGCAGATAATGATGAATCTGACTAGGATGGCAGATAATGATGAATCTGATTAGGATGGTAGATAATGATGAATCTGATTAGGATGGCAGATAATGATGAATCTGACTAGGATGGCAGATAATGATGAATCTGATTAGGATGGTAGATAATGATGAATCTGATTAGGATGGCTGATAATGATGAATCTGACTAGGATGGCAGATAATGATGAATCTGATTAGGATGGTAGATAATGATGAATCTGATTAGGATGGCAGATAATGATGAATCTGACTAGGATGGCAGATAATGATGAATCTGATTAGGATGGTAGATAATGATGAATCTGATTAGGATGGCTGATAATGATGAATCTGATTAGGATGGCTGATAATGATGAATCTGATTAGGATGGCAGATAATGATGAATCTGACTAGGATGGCAGATAATGATGAATCTGATTAGGATGGTAGATAATGATGAATCTGATTAGGATGGCAGATAATGATGAATCTGACTAGGATGGCAGATAATGATGAATCTGATTAGGATGGTAGATAATGATGAATCTGATTAGGATGGCTGATAATGATGAATCTGATTAGGATGGCTGATAATGATGAATCTGATTAGGATGGCGGATAATGATGAATCTGACTAGTATGGCGGATAATGATAAATCTGATTAGGATGGCAGATAATGATGAATCTGATTAGGATGGCAGATAATGATGAATCTGATTAGGATGGCAGATAATGATGAATCTGATTAGGATGGTAGATAATGATGAATCTGACTAGGATGGCTGATAATGATGAATCTGATTAGGATGGCAGATAATGATGAATCTGATTAGGATGGTAGATAATGATGAATCTGATTAGGATGGCAGATAATGATGAATCTGATTAGGATGGTAGATAATGATGAATCTGACTAGGATGGCTGATAATGATGAATCTGATTAGGATGGCAGATAATGATGAATCTGATTAGGATGGCAGATAATGATGAATCTGATTAGGATGGTAGATAATAATGAATCTGACTAGGATGGCTGATAATGATGAATCTGATTAGGATGGCAGATAATGATGAATCTGATTAGGATGGTAGATAATGATGAATCTGATTAGGATGGCAGATAATGATGAATCTGATTAGGATGGTAGATAATGATGAATCTGACTAGGATGGCTGATAATGATGAATCTGACTAGGATGGTGGATAATGATGAATCTGATTAGGATGGTAGATAATGATGAATCTGACTAGGATGGTGGATAATGATGAATCTGATTAGGATAGCAGATAATGATGAATCTGATTAGGATGGTAGATAATGATGAATCTGACTAGGATGGCTGATAATGATGAATCTGACTAGGATGGTGGATAATGATGAATCTGATTAGGATGGTAGATAATGATGAATCTGACTAGGATGGCTGATAATGATGAATCTGACTAGGATGGTGGATAATGATGAATCTGACTAGGATGGTGGATAATGATGAATCTGACTAGGATGGTGGATAATGATGAATCTGACTAGGATGGTGGATAATGATAAATCTGACTAGGATGGCGGATAATGATGAATCTGACTAGGATGGCGGATAATGATGAATCTGATTAGGAAGACAGATAATGATGAATCTGAATAGGATGGCAGATAATGATAAATCTGACTAGGATGGCAGATAATGATAAATCTGACTAGGATGGCAGATAATGATGAATCTGACTAGGATGGCAGATAATGATGAATCTGACTAGGATGGCAGATAATGATGAATCTGACTAAGATGGCAGATAATGATAAATCTGACTAGGATGGCAGATAATGATGAATCTGACTAGGATGGCAGATAATGATGAATTTGACTAGGATGGCAGATAATGATGAATCTGACCAGGACGGCGGATAATGATAAAATCTGACTAGGATGGCGGATAATGATAAATCTGACTAGGATGGCGGATAATGATGAATCTGACTAGGATGGCAGATAATGATTAAGCTGACTAGGATGGCGGATAATGTTGAATCTGACTAGGATGGTGGATAATGATGAATCTGATTAGAATGACGGATAATGATGAATCTGATTAGAATGGCGGATAATGATAAATCTGACTAGGATGGCAGATAATGATGAATCACTGATGCTAACACAATTTCATGACAGGAGTAAAGCTCAGTAAAGCATATTTATGCTGCCTTCGAGGCCAAGACAAGAGAGACTATAATCAACTTCTCAGGGGAACAAGCAGTGGAGTCGCTGTTGCATCGTAGGACTGAGTATGCATGCGAATGTCCAATGTACTGTGAGGTAGATGGTGATAATATAAGATAACATGATATTAGGTAACTGAACGTCTTGTATGTTTTTTTATAATGTTAAATGCTGAATGAAGAATCGACATCACAGCACTCAGAGCACTCCTATTAGCGCTCCGTCCCCATCTTCAGCAACAAGTAAAGAGTTCCAATTGGAACTGTCCCAGTAAATGTCTAATTGTATATCCCTGTCAACTTTCTCTTGAGTGTGTGTTTTTTTTTTTGGGGGGGGGGGGGGGGGGGAGAGGAAAGGGGGGAGAGGAACCACAATGGAATGAGCTTCAAATTGTTCAGAAAGCAATGGCAAACTAATAATGATTGTGGTGCCTCCAGATTGGAGCTTTGCCGTCTTTAGGTATATCAGCAGGTGAGATACCAATCTGCTCCACTGGAAGCCTGTCTGAAAGCTATGAAAACAATTTTTAACAGCAGACTACCAAATCTGTGCCGGGCGGAAACAAAAATCACCCAGACCTAACTAGTCTAAAATAGCCAGCAGGTAAAGTCATGGAAAACAAAGGTGCTCAGGTTCATGCTGACCATATCATCCATTGAGGGTCAACTGGTCTATTAGTCTAGCAATAGTAATATTAGTCTTGCATCATATGCCCACTCACTGGGCATATGATCATCTTCAACAAGGTACCAGGAAGGAGGGGCAGGGGCCAAACAACCTGAAGATGGGCACAGAATATAATAAGTGACTCCTTGGATATGAAAGTACATAAGATTGGAGAGCTGGGGAGAGACTGTTTCTTTCAGGCAGATAGTGATGAGAGCAACTGTTCTGCAAAGGACCTGCTACACGATGAGGACGATGACCATGTCGAGTGAGACGCTGATGTGAAAAGGGTCCGTTACTGACTATATAACTTTAGCCTGATTAGTAAAGGATCCAGTATGGATTTAGCACAGCCGGAGGTCGACCAAGCAAGTTATAGATAGATAGAACATCCGAGGTCGTAAATACCACCATCTACATAGCACATACCGAAGCTCTCACCCGATGCATCTTCAAAACCTGACACTGAAAGGTAGAACAGGACGAGAGAAGTCAAGGTTCCTTTTCCTACCAGTGGCGCACTAGGCATATGATGCAATACTTATATTTTTACAGACCAGCTGACCCCGTTAGGCTGAACATCACAGCAGCCAGGACATAACCTGATGGGAGCCACCGTAGGATATAACCTGATGGTTATGGCTGTAAAAGGTCTCATGCAGTTCAGTCTGGCTGCAATCTCACTAGATGGATCAACCATTTCATTCTTTGTCAATATAATCCAGACATGGTCTTATTCCAACTTTCTCTCAAATGCTGGTATTTGCAAGCCTGTCTCTTCTTGTGTTGTTATTTCTTGTGTATTAGCAATCAATTACACTACTGCCGGGTTGCTAGGCCAATTACATGGTGGGGCAGGAATCAAAAGGTTTCCGGTTCACATCTGAGACTTTTTTCTTCAAAAATGACCTTGGCTCCCAGTTTACTCAGCCGCAAATGGGCACGAGGTAAAGTTCTTGGAAGTAAAGGAAACCATCATGATGTTAAGCACATCACATGACACACTGAGAACTGATTGGTCTATCAAATGTAGGTCTAGCCCTATATGCCCAATAGGTCTGAAGGCGTGGAAAAGGCTCCTGTTGTTTTACATAACCTGGTATTCACTTTAAGCTAGGTCAACCTGGGGTCAAAGGTCAAGAAAAAGAAAATAAACGGAGCCTGTATGTGGAACTGAAGCTCATTTATAAACACTTACATTTACCTTGTAACAGAAACAGTGATCAACTCTATTCTGATAATCTAAACACTGTATAACCTTATACTGATAATATAAACAATAATACTTTATTTTAGGATTGGTTCTTTTTAACTCTTTAAATTCTATAAGTTTCACTGCCAAAGATGATGCATATATTTTTTATCTCATGCATTTATTGGACAGACTGAAACAGAGTAACAACTCTGACAATGCAGATTTGTAACAGTTGGTGCAAAAACATAAGTTAACATTTTGCAAAGTTAAAACTGCTTATAAAAGAGAAGAAATGCAATTAACTAGGATGAACATTTTCCTCTAAATGGTCTTCTAAGTGGTCATGATTTCTTTTTTTTACTGTCCTATTTCTAGACTAAATAAATGCACACCTGTTACAAGTATCAGACTGGTCTTCTCCACTCCTGTCAGCAGATCCTGTAGCATTTCTGGAAAAAAAGAAAAAGAAACAGACAACATAAATTTTACAACAATGAAATGTTATAAGTGTAACCTCAGTCAAAAATTCAATCAATCAGGCGCTGTCTCAACATTGGAGACTGGCTGCAAAAATGTCCAACTCTCTGAATCTTGTCTTGATTGTATACTCAGACCGCTGTTTATCCACCTCTTGATGTTTTCAACCAACTTGTATCGCTGCTAATTTGTAACCCTTTGAAAATAAAGTTCGTTCGTTCGTATCTTGCTCTCAACTTTCCACTCCAGTATGGTTTTTAAAAAAAAATGTTATGACTGGTTATATTCTCATACATTCATTCAATCATTTATTCACTATCCTGTTGTGCCATTATATGTCATACAGGGCTCGCAGTCTATTCCTCCATTATGATCTATCATGTGCAGTCAATTTAATATCATGGATAGAATCTAGTCCAGTAGCTTTGGCCTCTCTCATCTTTCATCTTAGGGTTTCTTTTGGCATCCTCACCATCTTAATTCCTTTAGTTCCCAATTTAATGCCTGTTTGATGATTTTTCTGCTGGTTTCTTCTCAGGATGTGTCCAATATATCGCCATCTTCTCTGTCTTATAACTGTTGATACTAGTGGTTGCCCAGACATTTCTCTTTTTTCTTCACTCCTTTTCAATTCATCCTATTTTATTTTAATTTTGTTCTCAGATTTTGTTTCCAAATGCATTTAACTTTTGTTCCATGGCTTTAGTGGTTCTCCAACATGCGTCTGCATAAGTTCAAACTGAAATAACATTAGAATTGAAACCACTTGACTTGGTTTAAAACTATACAATTTAGGGTTCCATATTTTGTTCAGGCTATTAAAAGCTGCGGCTATCCTCCGAATAACAGTCCTAAATTATTGAGGCAGAAAATATACCCTAACAAGGCCTCAGTCACGTGTCAATTGCGCACTACCGGTGATTTCCGCCACCGCCGAGAGTATTCCCCACGCCGCGTGGATTGGGGTTAACTAGATGGCTGGGACTCAAGAGCAGCAGCTACCACATCTCCTGCAGCTTCCTTCATTTTATTTGCTCGTAAGTACTAGCCATCTAGTTTAGCCCCAATCCACGCCACGCGAGCGGTGTGGGGGATACTCCCGGCGGTGGTGGAAGTTGCCGGAAGTTCGCAATTCGGCGGTGGCGTTTTAGTCCCTGGAAGTGCGCAATTGACTTCTGACTGAGGCCCTGTTAGGGTATATTTTCCGCCTCTATAATTTAGGACCGTTATTTAGAGGATAGCCAAAGCTGCTGATGCCTTGTCATTGTATGTCATAATTTCTTTCTCTGCATTTCCTTCACCACTGAAATTACTATCTATCTATATTGATCTGTTTCTTTAATTATTTTTGACCCGAGTGTTACATCTGCTTAATCTCTTGTTGGTGTCTTGAATACATTTATCTTTTCATATCATTTCATGTCACTGCTGTTCTCACTTAGCAGAACACTATCATCAGCAAAATCCAGATCTTCCAACTGTGTGTTCTCCATCCAGTCAATGACTGTGTTTCCAACGCAATAATTTTTTTTAATTATCTATCAATCAATGGTTATGCCAAACAACAGAGGAGATAAAAGGCACCCCTGTTTCACTCCAGAATCAACTTCAAATCAATCATCTGTTCGCACTGCACACTCTGAACCTTCGTACACTGCCTTAATAATATTTATCATTTTCATTGGTTTACCATAGCATTTGAAATTCCCCATAATAATATCCTATGTAAACTATCAATAGCCTTCTTAACCCTTTGGAGACAATGCAGCCGATCTATTGGACTGACACAAAATATTCAAAAAGACGGATGGGCATTATATAATAAAAGCCTTGAGACTGGCTGACAGGTTTTTGTACCAGCCAATCAGATTGGTTCTCGCATTTCTTGCCCATGTGGACTGTTCAATTATGGCTTTCGAAAAAGTTTGATGTGTTCTGTAATTTTACATCAATTTATTTTGGGTGGGGTTACCTGTTCTCAACAATGGCAAAAAGGACTGTAGCATCATAGCAACCAAAACATAGCTGGAGGCAGGAAAAGAAGTAGAATCATGTGCCAGAAGTGTCTGAAGTGCCTCCAAGGGCTTTACTTCCCAAAACACAGGTGTTAGGACTTATTCAAGCTTCATCAATAAAAAATATCACCCAAATTGTTCAGGTTAGTTATGTTTGTTCCTAAGTAAACAAAATAAATTGCTTGCATAAATTATTTCTTCAGAATAGTTAATTTGAATAAATGTTGAGATTTCAGTTAGATTTATATATAGTCTGTTAGCTCACTCAAATTCCTACATGAATATATATATATATATATATATATATAATTCTGTATATGTTAATTATAGCAAACTACTGGACGTAATTTGCCTAGAAAAACTACACAACAGCCAGGGGCTGTTGGGGTTGGTTCTATAATGTCCTGTAAAGGATACGCAACTAACCTTATATGTTGATTAAAAGCTTTATTTTGTATAATTTGTATGTGTGTAAACTAAGAGAATCCCTTCCTGAAGGCAACATCTTTTTAGCATTGAAAATCTAAAAAGGCTCTATCTCCATAGGGTTAATGAACTTCAAAATGAGTTTTTTTTTTCAATAAACCCCTCAAAGATAAGTCTTAGAGTAAATATTTGATCTAAGCAGCTTCTTCGAGGTTGAAAACCTGCTTGTTCCTATCTTAGGATTTTGTTCACTACCTCTTTTATTCTACTGAGAATTATTGTTATAAAAAGTCACTGACATTACTGATAACAACAAGAGCACTATGCAGGAAGCCAAAGAATTATAAGAAACCAACACAGAACTGGTGTCGTGAGCATGCTGCGGGATGTACTAAGGAGGAGATCCAAGCACTTATGGACTAAATGGTTCAATGTGCAATGAGGATAATCTGTCGACTAACTAACTATTACAGCTCTCCTTTAAATAACGGTCGCTAGCTGGAATGCGACGGTCACTTAGTCGGAGTTCACTCCCTTGGCTTCAGTGCAAATACGGAGTGGTAAAGAGGGAATGAAACAAATGATATAGTTACCTGTCATCCTAGGGTTAGGCTTAGGGTTTGGGTTAGGATTTGGGGTAGGGTTAGGGTTTGGGTTAGGGTTAGGGTTTGGTTTAGGATTAGGGGTAGGGTGACACATCACGGAAACGACGGAAGTTTATCGCTCATTACGACATACAGATCCACAGGTCTCACATCTACGGTCGTGGTCAGAAGAACGCAGTCGCTAATGTGAGTCGCAGCGTGTGGTCTACGAGAGTCTTGCGTTGCAAGACCGCGGTTGCTAATGTCAGTCGCAGCGCGTGGTCTAGCTCTAGCAGGCATGTCGACCTCACTTTGTTTTTTGATTCGTGACTTGTCCGCTCTGTATTTGCACTGCAGCCAAGAGAGTGAACTCCCACTAAGCGGCTGTCGCCTTCCAGCTAGCGACTGTTATTTAAAGGAGAGCCACTATTACAGATAACAAAGTAATTCCTTTCCAGTTATTACAGTCAGCAAGATGATCTTGACTGGCACATATTAAGTAATATTATTTTGTCCGACTCAAGTTCTGTTATGTTAACCCACTTTGTAATTGTAAAAGTTGACACCATTACTGTCCCAAAGCTATTTTTAAAAAAATTACATAAGACAAATAGCAACACAAATGACTTCAAGTAATGATTTTACAATATATAGAGAATAGCAAACAAATGCCGTGAAAATACAATGGATGCTGCAATCTCAGTCTGAGTATATAAGTTGTTGAGTTGCTGTGTGTGTACACATTCACAAGGAATGGAATTTGGCTCAGTGCATTCAGTTTTTGGGGAACACTAAATATGGCGAGATCCCACTCTTTTCCACGATATGAGTGACCCTGGCCTCAATGACCAAAAACCACGAGAATGGTTTATATAGATAGTATTGTATTCCAATTAAAAAAAAAGTTTAAGTAGTAGCAGTGCTAGTACTAGTACTACTAACTACTACTACTATCAATTAGAGAATCCGTGTAGACTACACTATTATAGTGACTATCTATACTACACTGTAGTATTAGTAATACTATAGTAACGTAATTCGTCGCTAAAGTTTAGCTAAACTAAAGCTATGCTATAGGATTCGATCTCGAACTTTGTGATTGTGCGAAGCTCTCGGCAGACGGTCAGCTGCTCTGTGGTGAATGACAGAATAAAACTACGTAAAATTGTGTCGACCTACTTACTCTCTTTTAAAAATTTGATTATGATGTTTACATTCTGACGATAAACAGGCAACCTACTTTCGTTTTCCTCTCTATCTGGTTTCTGATGCCGTTTGATACTTTACTTGCTCCTTCTAAAACTTTAAAAACTATTTACCTCCGTTAACCAAGAGTGGCATCCATTTATAAAGGGGAAAATACCGCAACTATATATACTATATAAACTAAGCTTAAATAAGTTTTGAATTCTATTTCTTCATGTCTATGGTTATTTGTTATTTGTAAAGGAGATTTATTTTTTAATTAAATGCAAAAAGGTTTAAATTTGTTTTGTTAAAACATACTAACACTTTTCCGCCAGTCATATTTTTAGATCTGACCGTATCCTACATAAACAAAAATAAACCAGTCGTCTCCCAGAATTGCTCGTTTAGCGGTTTAGTGTTTCAGTTTCAGTTTCCATAATCATGAGTAAAACATTCACTTCCCAGCCTTCGCGCCAAACAAAAACTACAGCAGAAAGACCTGTAAACCGTCGGGCACCTCTAAATCAGCAAGCAGATACTTCCAGCAGGACCGTTGGTACCACCAGAGCTCGCAGTTTGAATATGAATCATCAGATTCAGACCTATCATGGTATGACAGGTATGTGTGGTTTTGTTTGTGCTAGGTTGGTAACCACAAAATATTAGTATTATAAGAGCAAAAAGATCGCCACTTTATTGGACATATCCTGAGAAGAAGTGAGCAGAGAATCACCCTGCAAGCATTAAAATTGGAAATAAAAAGACTGATGTAGCGATGAATGACGTCCAAAGAAAACCAAAACGAACGTTGAGTTCATGAACTTGACGAGAGAAGGCAGAGGTGCTGGACTGAATTCCATCCATGATATCGACAAGATAGAACGGAATGGTGAAATAGACTGCGAGCCCTATGAGACATATTGAATTGTACAGCAGGATAATGTGGATGATAGGTGCTTTATTATTAATCCACAATTTTGCCAAGATTCTGCTTACATCTAAACTACGGTTATTATTAGTTATTAGTTCAGGCAAAAGAAATTGTATCACATTCACAAATGAATAGTCAGTTACAAATGGAGATTTAATTTTTATGAATTCTTTCTTATGCAAACTGCAAGTAAACTGTAAATATGTTTCAAGGTGAGATAATCAACTTCATTTCACTGAGTTTTATTCATTATGGCTCTGTCTATTTCAGTGGAGTGGCTTTTAAGTGGCTGAGTACATCACACAAAGTATGAAAATTACTTTGTCTCCCAATTACTTTTTTAATTGTTTTTCTTTCAGCATCAGGTTTTGAAAAGGTATCTGGTACAAGCCTTGAAGTCGGCTACATAGATGCTGGTGTTCATGGTGTTAGATATTTCATTTGTCCATTGCTTGCATGGATGACCTCTAGCTCTGCTTCCATTGTATCAGACTGACAGGGCTCTCTATCGTGCACTGTTTTGTGGCAGTCTTGACATTTTATCTGTCTTCTTATAATTTTTGTTAGCAAGCTTTTAACCACTGCTAGCTTGCTGTAAATATGTTCTGAACCATTATAGCGAGTGGCTTGATACTGCTTACCTGCTGGCTTGAAGGCCTTTGATTCAAATCCACATTGAGATGGATTTGTATAACAGATCATGTTTCTAGGTTTACCAAGGGGCTCAAATAAATATCAGGAAGTGTCATGGAAAGTAAAGGTGGCCAGAGTTATGTTGACAACATCTTCAACTCCGCACAATTGATGCATAGAAATATCAGTTTGGCACCATGTATCTGAGTACCACTTTTTACTAAAAATATTTAAAATTATAGCATTTAAATTGAGAATATATGAGGAAATCAAAACTGTGATGATAATTGTGCTTCACTACTGAAAGAAATGCCTTCCTGTTTTGGTAGCTGTCACTTTTGACTGTTATGGCATCCTATCTGTCCTATCTCTACTTCTTCCCTTTGTCTCTATGAGTGTCAGTCAATATCATGCTGTTTCACTGGCATTAAGGATTTACCACTGAGTAATTGTTTTTCTGTTTTAGTGTGTGTGTTTTTTAAACGTCCTGTCATGTATAAATAAAAAAATATCACTTTGCTTTGTATTTTTAATATCTATGTAGGTCGCAACAGTGGTTTCAATAATGCACCCACCACTGGCCAACATAATATTGCCACGGATACAGCAGGGAGACTACAGAGTCCTCAACGAACACCAACCTAGTGAGTTTACTCCTTTGACTTTTAATAGTAAATGTAACTGTCCAGTGTTGGACAATGTTGAAAGACTCAGAAAACAATTATGCTGGTTGCACACATTAAAAATTCCTCAGTAGTTTGAAGTCAGATAACCGGCAGGCCATATAGCATAAGCAGCTGCCTAGAACAATTTTAAAAATTATTCAGATTTACCAATTTAAAACAAATAAAAAAACAGCCAATAACTGCCTTTATTACTACTTCTGTGGTGTAGGCAGGAAGGTCTTTGAACCTCAGGATTTACGGCCACATGGCTAGTGCTGTGGCCATGACTGTGCAGGTAAGGATTTTATTTTGCCTCCGACAGGAAAAATCCCTGCCTTCCCGAGGATTCGAACTGCTTGAGAGCTGAGCGTTCCAACCATTTGGCCAGCCGCTACTATGTCTTAAAGTGAGGGAATAATAATAAATAACAAATTAGGAAGAGTTTGGAGGCAACTAAGATGTGGTTCTTGAGACGAATGTTGCAAATACCTTGGAATGCCAGAATAACTAACAATGATTGCCTGTTTGTTTATGTTTATTCAACGGATTAACATCATGGCACACAGGTGTAACCCATAAGTGCTCCTGTCTACTTCTAACTCAAGCCTGAGTCTGAAGAGTCTCAGCTCAGTGCACGAACTCCGTTGCACCAGCGAGGATCCTGAAATACTTTGGGTAGATTTTATAACTACAAATTTTCCCTGGGCAGTGCCGTTAGGCTACTCTTTTTTTTATTTCCAACTGCCAAGAGATTTTTTTACTTGGGCAAAAATACACACAAGCGTCCGATCTTACTAACAAGAGACCAGGGAAAATTACTTGAAAAATCTCAGCCTTTACCGGAGCTTGAACCCAGGACCTCCAGCACTGAAGGTAGATACCAATCCTTGAGACCACTCAGCCCCTAATGATTGCCTGGAAATGGCTAATGAAAGTAGAACATTCTATATAACAATGAAAAGAAGACAAAGTTTTTTAGTCATATGATGAGAAAAGGAGCACCAGATAATATTCTGATGACTGGAAAGATCACTGTTAGAAGAGGCAGACCAAGAGAGATGATGGTGGAAAGCTCAAGACATCAGCATGGAGGAAAATCATCAGCTAAATTGATCCAGAAAACAAAGACTGATATCTGTGGAGATGTGTGAACGCCTGAGCCAGCTAGCAAAGCACTTGATGATGATGAGTAAAAGAATATATGTGACATGTGTCATTGTGGTACGCATCCACATAAACATCTGCTGGTGTTGTAGTTCATGTAGTCTGCTGGGATTCTCCTTGTGGGACCTCAGCAATAATGGTGTCATCTGTATAATCTTAGAGTTGTCCATTGCAAACCAGATGTCTTGCCTACTTCTTTGAGTGTGACTATTTTCCTCATTCTTGGTTCTAAACATTTATGCCACAAATCATGTACATTAAAATACATCTTCCTGTTCACCGTTCCATCCTTATTTTTCTTCTGCTTTTTACTCCGCAATGGATCAGTGAAGCATAGGCCCACAACCAGTTCACTTCATTCTATATTATCGCTTGCTTTCTCATACAGGTCGCTCCATATTTTCCCATCTTATTCACTTCTGTCTCTTACATCAGTTATTTATATTTTCTTCGCCCTTTCCGAGCCTTCTCTGCTTCTTTGTAACTTTCATATATCCTCCGGAAGTAGTCCTTCCCCCCACCAAGTTTTTACGGGCAGACTCTTTATTTTTATCATGATATATCTGTGCATAGTTGGTTGGCTGTTGCCCTCAAGACCAACCCTAACCTAAATTACCTCTTACAACCTACAATGTACAGTGTCTTGATAACAATTCTTTGTTTCCCCTTTAACCTGGGCAACATACTGGTGCATACTATGTTATACACTGCATTTTGTTATTAATACTAGTGTTTGTACATTAAGAGGTAATAGGGAACTGCATGGAAAAATAGGGTGGGTTAAAATCCTATTGTTTCTGAAAATAAATCGTATGCTCTTAGTCTGCTATCATAGTTTATATCTCCTTTGCTGTTTAAGGAATTCTACTTGTTTCACGTACAGATGAAACACTCATTAAATCACAGTTATTCTACAATGTCAAACTCTGTGGTCATGTTTCAGTGCTGGCGGGTACTCAGTGATTCCTCCTAATGAAAGGAAACGGCAGCAGATTAGTCAGAGTAAGTAAACATATTCCATTTTATTGTGAGTTTCCACATCTGACCCACAAGAGCAGTTCTGCAAGAAGACTGTTGGGTACCGATGAAGATTTCAAGAACATTGTTCTGTTTGTGGTCAGTGCTGAAATTTATGCAGAGCAGTTGTTGATCGCTGATGGAGAAGTGTTGAGCTACCAGTGATGTGAAGCTGTGACATTAAATAAACTATAACAGTGCAGTTATGACATTTTTCATTTTTATCATCCAGTATGTTGAAGTATTTTAGCTATGTTAAACAGCATGATGGCCTGGAAAAACCGGTAAGGGAGGGTAAATTTTCAAGAAAAAGTAGTAGAGGCCACCTCTGTGAAGGTGGATAAAGACATTGAAAAAACAAAAAACCATTGGCTAAGAAAGCACATAGAGCTGGAAAATTAGCTACAGATAGGTATACTTTCAGGCGTGCCATAACACGAATGATGAAGTGTAAAGAACCTGCTAACTGGTGATGCTTGATGAAAAAGTGAACTAAGCACAAATGGGTAGTTACAGTAGTTTCAAGTGAAAGTAAGATCATTTTTAAATCGCAAGAATTCTATCTATATCCTCTTCATGTCGCTGTTGACACATCAGGCATTCACAAGTGATCTCCATTGCTGCCGGTCTGCTGCTTTTCTGCCCATGGTATCCAATGTCATTTTACATTCCTTCATTTCCTGTTCTGTTGTCCTTCTCCAGGTTTCTTTAGGTCGTCCACGTCTCCTTTTTCCATCTGCTGTCCACTGGAGAGCTGTTTTTGCCAGAGTGTCACAAGGCATTCTGCAAACATGTCCAAGCCATTTCCATCATCTTACTTTGATAACATTTGCCAGTTATGTACATTCTGTTTTCCTTCTCAGTTCTTCATTTGTGATCTTGTTTGGCCAAAATATTTGTAGAATTCTCCTTAAACATTTATTTTGAAAAGTCTCAAGTTTATGTGTAATTCCCGCTGTCATTTTCTAACATTCACTGTTGTATAATAGTATTCCTAAAATGTTTCTCTTATATATTCTGAGTTTTGCCTTCAAACTATTTCTCTTTGACTTCAATATATTGTTAAGCATGGCAAATGCTTGATTTGCTTTGTTTATTCTTGATGTTACATCCTTTTCAGAATCTCCATCTGGAGTACCTTTACTTCCAAAGTAAATAAATTCCTTAACTTCCTCTATTGCTTCATCATTTAAGATAATTGGATTTTATGTTTTAAAATTATTTCTCATTACTTTAGTTTTACTGGTGTTTATTTTGAATCTTATCTTAAGGGCTGTTTTTGAAAGTCTTTCAGTCTTTTCCTGATTGTAAATTGTAAGAAAGCAGCAGAGAAACTGCTAAATTCCTTTGTATATTTCTCAGCCAGTGGTATTCCTGACAGATGCAAAAGTGGTACTTCAGGCACTCAGGTTTTGAAAATTACCAGGTATATGGACACTACTCTGTGAACTAGGCAACCAGTGAAAGGTAGCTTTGCAGTGGATACCTTCCCACTTTGGAGTTCCCGGAAATGAAAGGGCTGATAAGCTGGCCAAGGAAGGTACAATTAAAGAACAACCGATGTAACAGTCAGAAAGCCACCAAAACTAGCATGAGACTATTCCCATATTATGGGCAGGCCAAAGCAAATCATTATTTTACATCTTAGAACAGAGCACAATCAACTTCGCAAAATTTAAAATTGGCGAATCAGCCATGTGCAAATGTGAACTAGCACATGAGACAACAGATCATGTCGTCCAAGACTGTCCCAGATACAACATTTCCAGACAAAACTTTTGGCCAGGAGAAACATCGGTGCAAGTCAAACTTTACGGGTCGCTGAGTGAATTACAAAAGTCAGTGAAGTTCATCCTGGAGACAGCATTACAGATATAGGTAATTTATTTCAAGCAATCAAAAGAAGAAAGAGAATATTCTTGAATGCACTAAATCAGTTAATCTTTTATATTTACTTAAGGGTAGTTTTAAATAAATAGGTTTTGTAACGATTTTATTTCTTTTTATTCTAAAGTGGCGCAGAGAGAGACAGAAGAATACGAACGGCACAGACAGGCAAATGCTGTCAGACATGTAAGCCATGTTGGAACAGTTGGTAAGTTTTTTCACAAGTCATAAGTGTCAGTTTAATTAACAGGAAGAGGAGTTGCTTGACTCTGTTAACTATGAAGTGGCCATATTTAATATATCTTTTTTTCAAACCTGTACTTTCCCAAAATATAACTTGAACTTTTTCAAAACAAGCTTGTATTTCTCCAAAATATAACTGGCACGTTCCTGAAAGATAACTTGTGCTTTTACAAAACATAACTTTTACCTTCTGAAAACAACTTTTATGTTTCAAAATGTAACCTGTACTTTTGCAAAATACAAGGTCCAACAATTAAGTAATGAGACTAATTCCATGAAAATTAAAATAATCAACATTTAAAGATAACCTGTATTTTATTCAAAGTAAGCCCCTTGTGCATTGATATAGCAGGGGGCACGATCTAACAAACACTGAAGTGACTTCTGTAGTTCTTTTGTTGTTACGGCCCTTAAAAGTCAATGTTACAACCCTTTGGATGTCATAAAAATATTTAAAAAAGCATCCTTTCAATGGTAACTTTAATTTTGGGAATAGAAAATAATCACAGGGAGACAAATCTGGGAAATAGGGTGGATGGTTGAGAACACACACTTGTTTTGGGGGCCAAAAACTCCTGTTTTGATGATGTCTTGTGGGTATTCAACCCGCTGATGTTTTTGGTCATCAGGCAACGAATGCGGTACAAACCTGCAAGCAACATTTTTTTCTTGCCGAAATCGTGCACTAAAATTTTATGAATGGTCTCTCTGTTAACACCAAATTTGTCTGCCATCTTGTATAGGTTCTCTGACCTTTGCAATGAGTTCATCATTACAAACAGAAATTTGGCGTCAAGGTCTAGTTGCATTACTGATCATTTCCACACCAAATTTCAATTGTGAATACCACCTGAAAATCCGTGCACGAAATAAACAATTATCCTCATAAACTTGTTGCATCAATTCAACTATCTCAGTGGCATTTTTTCTGAGTTTTAAACAGAATTTAATATTAACTTTTTGTTCAATGCGGACTACAACAATGCACCTCTGACCAGGTTAACAAAATGGCGGCTTCTTTGTTGTCTGCTTATCTGGCGGCAATCAAAAGTTGCCAGATCATAGATGAAAGTTGCCTCTTTGGATTCCATGCTTTGTTTTGTAGATGGAATTTTTGTCTTGACCATAAGAAAATCAGTCTCATTACTTAATTGTCAGACCTTGTATAATAAATGTTGAAGCAGTTTAAAATTGAGAGGCTCTACTAAATGACACCTGGTTATTTTCCTCGGGGCTTGGTTTCTCTCTGCACACTGCTAGCCACTTAACCAAGAGCAATGCAGTAAGCATGAACCCTGCTACTCCAGGGAATACCCCCGGGGATCTTCATTGAAATAACATGCATGTGTGAGACAATCAGTCCTTAAAATGAGTTTGCAGCCTTTAAAGCGGGAGGCAAAAGACTTAGCTACAGAGACACTCTGATTCCCCCATCCTGTGTATACAGTAAAATTTGTGAAACATAACCTGTGTCTTTTCAACGCTGACTTGTATTTCTCCTAAAACATAGCCGGTACCTTACCCAATTGTTAGGAGTAATTTTCTCCTTGATAATGAATTGGTAATGAGGTTAGATACTAAACATAAATTATTTACTTAAGCTTGGGTGCATGAAATCGAGTGTGAAGTATGATTCACAAAGAATGTGAGTCTAGTGAGCGAAGTGGAGAAAGCATGCCAAATGAAAGAGAACTTAGGTTACGGGCATTGAATGTTCTAGAACACGAGGCAGAGGCAGATTATTTAAGCCTGGAATGATCGAGAATGATCTCTAAATCATAGTCTGTACTTTGCCCAATCATGGCCTGTACTTTGCCCAATCATGGCCTGTACTTTGCCCAATCATAGCCTCTACATTTACCAATCACTGCACTTTGCCCAGTCGTAGCCTTTATTTTGCCCAATAATAGCTTGCACTTTGCCCAATAATAGCCAGTACTTTGCCAAATCACAGCCTGTACTTTGCCAATCATAGTCTGTACTTGACCCAATCATAGTTTGTACTTTGCCCAATCATAGCCTTTACTTTTCCCAATCTCTGTACTTTGCCCAACTATAGCCTATACTTTGCACAGTCATACTCTGTTGTTTGTCCATTCATAGCCTTTACTTTGCCCAGTCATAGCCTGTACTTTGCCCAGTCATAGCTCGTACTTTGCCCAATCACATCCCACACTTTTACTGTTGCAGGTGGTGGTGACATTACAGAGGAACAAGTCAGGAAAGAGCAGGAACGTGCCTTAAGGAGACAGAAGTTGGATAGACTGGTATTTAAAATATTTTCTTACACCAAGAACTTTTTATTAGTGTGTGTGCAAGGAATCATCATCATCATCATTGTGTAGCAGGAGAGCAGTGGGCAGAGAATCACAAAACAAGCACTGAAAAAAGGAAGAAATGTTTTGTTTAAAAGAAACCCTGTGACGAGTAAAAATGAGAGAAGCCAGAGGTACTGGGCCGGATTCGACAGGTGATATCAGTATGGCTGCATAGAATATAACTAAATGGAGGAATCGACTGTAAGCATCCAGATGATGCTGATATAGCTGTTTAAGAAGTGCCAGTTTTTCTGCCTCACACTTGCTGTCAGTTTGTATACCTCACATTTGCTAATATTAGACAGCTGTTTTTCCCCTTTAGATGCCATATTGATATAATTCTTTCGATACATTGAATACATTCTTTATATGAAATGGAGAAATTCTTTATACTAAATTTAGAAATAATGCAGGGAGGACTGCATGGTCTCGAGACATGGTGTCCGCCTAGAGTGCTAGAGGTTCCAGGTTTAATCCCTGGTAAGGGATGGGATTTTTTCACGTAGACTTCTAGTAATTTCCCCTGGTCTCTGGGTAGTAAGATCGGACGCCTGTGTACTTTGTTGTGTACATAAGAAATCCCTTGGCAGTTGGAAATTGAAAAGAGTAGCCTAACGGCGCTGCCCAGGCAAAAAATCTGAGTTAAAAATCTACCCAAAGTATTTCAGGATCCTCGCTAGTGCTACAGAGCCTGTGCACTGTGCTGAGCTTCCTCGGACTCAGACTTGAGTTAGAAGAAGAACGGAGCACTTATGGGTTACTACCCGTGTGCCATGATGTTGATCTGTTGTTCAAAGTTTAAACCTTAAATATAAGGAATTATACACAGGAATAATGAAATGTTAATGCTAGAGTAAATTCTTATTTGGAGTAAAGGAATTAATAAGGATTCTTGTGTAGAAACAAGAAATTCTTTGCCTGGGATAAAGCAACAGTTTGTAAATACAGGTATGTATCACAGTGCGGAAAATGAGAGCTGTCATGATGTAGCAGCTAGATGATTGCCAAAGGTCAATGTATTCCACATGGAGCCAGATTTTGTCAAACATGACCTTGGCTTCCAGGTTGACCCAGCCTCAAATAGGTACCAGGTAAAGGGGCCAGTGTGATGTTGACCACATCAGCCATCGAGGGCCGGTTGGGCTATAAAAATCTGAGTCTATTCTCACAATCCTGATGCACCACTGGCATGTACAGCTACCTCAGTTAGTTTTCTTTTAACTTATCGGTTCTTTTTTGATATCCTGCCCCAGCTGACATCCCAGGACAGTCCAACATTGTGGAGGGTGGTAAGACTGGGTTTTCCTGCTTTCTGATGCTTTTAGTACTGCAAAACATCTAGAACTGGCTCTAACCCTAACCCACCTACATCCCATGTACATGCAGCCTAGGTGCCTAGGTCCCACAAATGCATGCAGCCTAGGTCCCACGACTGCATGTAGCCTATCTACCACCCCCTGAAATATTAGACTGTCCTGTGACCAGTGGATTTTTCCTGTTTGGGGTAGGATATTAACAAAGCACTAACTTATCTTTATGCAGTGTGGAGGTCTTTATGGTGAAGTGTTTGAGCCATTTGGCTTGTGCTGTACAAGTTTTTTAGTTTAATTCTAGATTTCATTTGTGAGTGCAGGTGATTCAGAGATCTTTGTGAGGGTTGTCACTGGAGCTACAGTTTTGTGCTTTATGTGATGCTGTTGTCAAAGAGAAGCCAAGCCGTGTGGGATCACACTTGGTATATAAACTTGAAACTCTTTTCACATCATCTTCAAGATGAAAAAAAAAAAATCCCAAGTCATATTATTATAGAATGTAAAATTGGAATTGATTTTGTAGAAACGTCAAGAAGAGCAGAGAAATGCTAGGAAGAAAGCAGAAGATGCTGAAATTGAGCAGAAGAGGGCTGAGGCAAGAAGAAAGGTAAATCATAGAGTAATGCACCAAGTGTGTTTTTATATCTTGTACTGACTTCTGTATAAGTACAGCTGAAGAATCTCATTTGTCTGTTCATTGAGTTGAGTCAAGAATTGACATCAGGGCACTTGGGGCATTCCAATGCATGCTCTATCCTCATCTTCAGCAGCCAACACAGAGTTCCAATAGTGATGGTACGGGTCACTATCTGGTTAAATGTCTGTCTTGCCTTTCCTCTGAGTGTAGTGAGCCGGCCAGACCCTATGGTTACACCCAGGTGCCTCATTCTCCCCAGGCCATAATAATCTTCTTTCTCTACTGATTCTGTAACTTGTTCCCAAAGGGCCTTGACCACATCTGCCTAGTCATGTATTAATTCACCACTTCTGTTTATTAAATAAGACTTTGAATGATTAAAATGTGTACAGACGGCACACAGCAATATATGAGATGCTGCTGGATACGTAGTTTATTTCAGTAGTTCATTACCCAAATAGCAAAATAATATTGAAGTAGAGTGCTAAGGTACTAAAACAAGCATCACAGTTTATATATCTGGGAACAACATTGACCAGAGATGGTAAATTGATAGAGAAATTAAGATCTGGTGCTGCAAAGTGAACTAGGTATTGGAATTGAGATGTCTGAGAAAGACTAGGAGTGACCAGAAGAGATAAATGAGATGTCTGAGAAAGACTAGGAGTGACCAGAAGAGATAAATGAGATGTCTGAGAAAGACTAGGAGTGACCAGATGAGATGTCTGAGAAAGACTAGGAGTGACCAGAAGAGATAAATGAGATGTCTGAGAAAGACTAGGAGTGACCAGAAGAGATAAATGAGATGTCTGAGAAAGACTAGGAGTGACCAGAAGAGATAATTGAGATGTCTGAGAAAGACTAGGAGTGACCAGAAGAGATAAATGAGATGTCTGAGAAAGACTAGGAGTGACCAGAAGAGATAAATGAGATGTCTGAGAAAGACTAGGAGTGACCAGATGAGATGTCTGAGAAAGACTAGGAGTGACCAGAAGAGATAAATGAGATGTCTGAGAAAGACTAGGAGTGACCAGATGAGATGTCTGAGAAAGACTAGGAGTGACCAGAAGAGATAAATGAGATGTCTGAGAAAGACTAGGAGTGACCAGATGAGATGTCTGAGAAAGACTAGGAGTGACCAGAAGAGATAAATGAGATGTCTGAGAAAGACTAGGAGTGACCAGATGAGATGTCTGAGAAAGACTAGGAGTGACCAGAAGAGATAAATGAGATGTCTGAGAAAGACTAGGAGTGACCAGAAGAGATAATTGAGATGTCTGAGAAAGACTAGGAGTGACCAGAAGAGATAAATGAGATGTCTGAGAAAGACTAGGAGTGACCAGAAGAGATAAATGAGATGTCTGAGAAAGACTAGGAGTGACCAGAAGAGATAAATGAGATGTCTGAGAAAGACTAGGAGTGACCAGGAGAGATAAATGAGATGTCTGAGAAAGACTAGGAGTGACCAGAAGAGATAAATGAGATGTCTGAGAAAGACTAGGAGTGACCAGAAGAGATAAATGAGATGTCTGAGAAAGACTAGGAGTGACCAGATGAGATAAATGAGATGTCTGAGAAAGACTAGGAGTGACCAGGAGAGATAAATGAGATGTCTGAGAAAGACTAGGAGTGACCAGATGAGATGAGATGTCTGAGAAAGACTAGGAGTGACCAGATGAGAGATGTCTGAGAAAGACTAGGAGTGACCAGATGAGATGTCTGAGAAAGACTGGGGTGACCAGATGAGATGTCTGAGAAAGACTAGGAGTGACCAGATGAGATGTCTGAGAAAGACTAGGAGTGACCAGATGAGATGTCTGAGAAAGACTAGGAGTGACCAGAAGAGATAAATGAGATGTTTGAGAAAGACTAGGAGTGACCAGGAGAGATAAATGAGATGTCTGAGAAGGACTAGGAGTGACCAGATGAGATGTCTGAGAAAGACTAGGAGTGACCAGATGAGATGTCTGAGAAAGACTAGGAGTGACCAGATGAGATGTCTGAGAAAGACTAGGAGTGACCAGAAGAGATAAATGAGATGTCTGAGAAAGACTAGGAGTGACCAGATGAGATGTCTGAGAAAGACTAGGAGTGACCAGATGAGATGTCTGAGAAAGACTAGGAGTGACCAGATGAGATGTCTGAGAAAGACTAGGAGTGACCAGGAGAGATAAATGAGATGTCTGAGAAAGACTAGGAGTGACCAGAAGAGATAAATGAGATGTCTGAGAAAGACTAGGAGTGACCAGAAGAGATAAATGAGATGTCTGAGAAAGACTAGGAGTGACCAGAAGAGATAAATGAGATGTCTGAGAAAGACTAGGAGTGACCAGAAGAGATAAATGAGATGTCTGAGAAAGACTAGGAGTGACCAGAAGAGATAATTGAGATGTCTGAGAAAGACTAGGAGTGACCAGAAGAGATAAATGAGATGTCTGAGAAAGACTAGGAGTGACCAGAAGAGATAAATGAGATGTCTGAGAAAGACTAGGAGTGACCAGATGAGATAAATGAGATGTCTGAGAAAGACTAGGAGTGACCAGGAGAGATAAATGAGATGTCTGAGAAAGACTAGGAGTGACCAGATGAGATGTCTGAGAAAGACTAGGAGTGACCAGATGAGATGTCTGAGAAAGACTAGGAGTGACCAGATGAGATGTCTGAGAAAGACTAGGAGTGACCAGATGAGATGTCTGAGAAAGACTAGGAGTGACCAGAAGAGATAAATGAGATGTTTGAGAAAGACTAGGAGTGACCAGGAGAGATAAATGAGATGTCTGAGAAGGACTAGGAGTGACCAGATGAGATGTCTGAGAAAGACTAGGAGTGACCAGATGAGATGTCTGAGAAAGACTAGGAGTGACCAGATGAGATGTCTGAGAAAGACTAGGAGTGACCAGAAGAGATAAATGAGATGTCTGAGAAAGACTAGGAGTGACCAGATGAGATGTCTGAGAAAGACTAGGAGTGACCAGATGAGATGTCTGAGAAAGACTAGGAGTGACCAGATGAGATGTCTGAGAAAGACTAGGCGTGACCAGGAGAGATAAATGAGATGTCTGAGAAAGACTAGGAGTGACCAGAAGAGATAAATGAGATGTCTGAGAAAGACTAGGAGTGACCAGAAGAGATAAATGAGATGTCTGAGAAAGACTAGGAGTGACCAGAAGAGATAAATGAGATGTCTGAGAAAGACTAGGAGTGACCAGAAGAGATAAATGAGATGTCTGAGAAAGACTAGGAGTGACCAGAAGAGATAATTGAGATGTCTGAGAAAGACTAGGAGTGACCAGAAGAGATAAATGAGATGTCTGAGAAAGACTAGGAGTGACCAGAAGAGATAAATGAGATGTCTGAGAAAGACTAGGAGTGACCAGATGAGATAAATGAGATGTCTGAGAAAGACTAGGAGTGACCAGGAGAGATAAATGAGATGTCTGAGAAAGACTAGGAGTGACCAGATGAGATGTCTGAGAAAGACTAGGAGTGACCAGATGAGATGTCTGAGAAAGACTAGGAGTGACCAGAAGAGATAAATGAGATGTTTGAGAAAGACTAGGAGTGACCAGGAGAGATAAATGAGATGTCTGAGAAGGACTAGGAGTGACCAGATGAGATGTCTGAGAAAGACTAGGAGTGACCAGATGAGATGTCTGAGAAAGACTAGGAGTGACCAGATGAGATGTCTGAGAAAGACTAGGAGTGACCAGATGAGATGTCTGAGAAAGACTAGGAGTGACCAGAAGAGATAAATGAGATGTCTGAGAAAGACTAGGAGTGACCAGATGAGATGTCTGAGAAAGACTAGGAGTGACCAGATGAGATGTCTGAGAAAGACTAGGAGTGACCAGATGAGATGTCTGAGAAAGACTAGGAGTGACCAGGAGAGATAAATGAGATGTCTGAGAAAGACTAGGAGTGACCAGAAGAGATAAATGAGATGTCTGAGAAAGACTAGGAGTGACCAGAAGAGATAAATGAGATGTCTGAGAAAGACTAGGAGTGACCAGGAGAGATAAATGAGATGTCTGAGAAAGACTAGGAGTGACCAGATGAGATGTCTGAGAAAGACTAGGAGTGACCAGAAGAGATAAATGAGATGTCTGAGAAAGACTAGGAGTGACCAGGAGAGATAAATGAGATGTCTGAGAAAGACTAGGAGTGACCAGAAGAGATAAATGAGATGTCTGAGAAAGACTAGGAGTGACCAGAAGAGATAAATGAGATGTCTGAGAAAGACTAGGAGTGACCAGGAGAGATAAATGAGATGTCTGAGAAAGACTAGGAGTGACCAGAAGATAAATTCAAGGATGAGGAACTAAGAAATAAAGTCAGCACAGAACCAGTGCTAAATTATGTGTTAAGACAGCAAATAAAGCAGAATTGGGGCTTTCTGTCAATTGCTTGGATTTGCTAGATGCAAGTCAGAGCAGATTATGATAAAAGCCACATCAACACACTTCTGTCTGCTGAAAAATACTAAGCGTGCATAGATGTGTCCTGTTTTATATGATGACCTAATTGTATCAAATGCTCATGTGGATAATGGGCTTCTAGCTCGGCCTGTTTCAAGCAACACATTCAATGGTTACACCACTGCACCAATGTCTTTCTTAACTCCTGATGCCCCAGTCAATAATTACTTTAGGCCTGTAACCCTTTCTGTCCTCTAGAGCTATTATTATTCTAAATGCTGTAAATCCAAGCTTTTATTATTTAATGTAAAATCTGCTTGAATAAGTTAAAATAACAGTTGTTCTGTCTGGACTATTAAAAAATGTGTAAGCGAAAGAAAGCATTTTAACACTGTAGTCTGTTGTGCTTGTCATAAGAGGCAATTAAGGAAGGTTAGAGAGGAGCTGGCAGCTACATCCTGTAGAAAACATGAGGTGCACTACCTAATCAGAATACACAGGACTTGTATGAGCTGATTGATGGTTCATGTTGCAATGTGAGCATTTGCAGAAGGAGAAGAATTGTATTAGGCTAAAGAAAGATAGTGTATGATGTAAGTATTCATGTCCATCCAGCATTAGAGAATAAAGTGCTTCTTCACCTTGTGGCAGAAAAGTAAAGACAGTTAATAAATGAATATATACAACACAGCTGGTGTGAAAGGCAATGAAAGAGCAGATGCTCTGGCTGGCAGTGCGACTATCAGGAATGGGCCATCTATGTTCAGGAGAGACATCATCAATGCCATACAAGAGACTACACGCTGTGAGGCTTTCAATTTTGTGAAAAATGATTTTTCACTGAAAAGACTGCATAGCCTGGGTGTACCAGTTGGAGCCATGAGACAGGAAAACTATGCGAGAGTCACCCTTCATTACATCAGTCAGAATGGAATGGAAGTTGTTAGCCTAAAAACACTTGGAGACAGGAAAACTATGCGAGAGCCACCCATCATTACATCAGCCAGAACGGAATGGGAATTGTTAGCCTAAAAACACTTGGAGACAGGAAAACTATGCGAGAGCCACCCGTCATTACATCAGCCAGAACGGAATGGGAATTGTTAGCCTAAAAACACTTGGAGACAGGAAAACTATGCGAGAGCCACCCGTCATTACATCAGCCAGAACGGAATGGGAATTGTTAGCCTAAAAACACTTGGAGACAGGAAAACTATATGAGAGCCACCCGTCATTACATCAGCCAGAACGGAATGGGAATTGTTAGCCTAAAAACACTTGGAGACAGGAAAACTATGCGAGAGCCACCTGTCATTACATCAGTCAGAATGGAATGGAAGTTGTTAGCCTAAAAACACTTGGAGACATACTCAGGAGAAGATCGGAGCACTTATGGTTGTGTACGATGTGTGATGAAGATGATCCAAAAATGATCCATGAACAGTTAACTATATACAACTAGAGGTCTCTTCCCTGGCTTTATCTGAACATTGTTATAAACTGTTGTATTTGAAACAGGCTGAACAGAATGCAATAAAAAATGGCAAAGTTCCCTCACCTGAAGAGATTCGCAGGTTTGTTCTAATTTCTACTTGTAAAAAGTCCTGGGTTTATCTATTTTTATATAGTATTCATTTATGTTCATTTATTAATATGTATTACTTCATTTGTTAGATTTTACTCTTTCACTCCCAGAAGCAACAATACCATAACTTCCAGTTTGCTCTAATTCGCCCCAAATGTCACTTTTCTGACTTGTCTCTAGTGACTTGTTTACGAGATGCATATTTAATGCTGCTGACTGTTTTCATGCCTGTGCAAATTGTTAAGGAGGTCGAGATATGAAACATTAACCCAAAAAAAAAAAACATTTAGGATGGTTTCCTTTGAACCATACAGCTTATATTTAAGGTGAATTGACCAGAAATATCCATTACCTTCGAAAGCTTTATCTTATCATCCTATTTTGGGATGCAATTTTTCGTTATTTGAAGGCCTACTCTGGCTCTTGCCGGAGGCCGCAATATAGCCTGGCCATAAATATGGTCTAATGACTGAACCTGGTTTCTGGGACCTCTCCATGGGTGATCCTCATCCACATGGTGGCACTTTGTTTCATCGGGTGTTCATCGCTTGTGTGATGTCCTGGTGGGGTAAAAGAAGATACAGAGATAGATAGAGATATCCATGACACATCTGGACAGTGGAAACTCTTAGTTACGTGTGATCACCATCTTATGTCTTATAACAGCCAGCCCAAACTTACTGTGGTCAAGTAAGTAAAAGAAAAAGTGAAGGACCCTTTTCCGCGTCTTAAGGCGTATAGGGCATATAGGGCTAGACCTATATTTTTATAGACCAATCAGCACAAGATAGGTGATGTGGTCAACATCACGCCGACCTCCTTTACTTCCTAGGACTGCACCCGGTACCCACTCAAGCCTGGGTCAACCTGGGAGCCAAAGTCATTTTTTTGGCAAAAAGTCCCGCATCCGCCAGGGAGCAAACCCAGGACCTTCCGATCTGCCACGCCCTATTGTGGTCAAGTATGTATGTCTAATTGCAGATCTGAAGTACCCATAGTTTTATTGCACGCCATGTTGGCTTTTGAGATTGTGGAGGGTAAGGAAGCTCTACAACAGTTTTGTGGAGGTTGTACTTTAGTTCCAGGTGTGAGAAAAGTGTCTACACTAATCTCACTTTTTTATGAGTCCTTTTCAGGACTCGGGACTACATGAAGCCAATGCATGAAAATTACAGTTTAAACTAAATTTTCTAAGAGATTCAGAAAAATCTGAATTCTAAGTCGCAAGTGACACAGGATAAATGTATCATTTGTTTAAAGTAATTTAAAATATTGATCATCTGTAAATAAGAAACAAACAATTTATTAAAGAAATATCATCCAAAATTATTGTTCAAATGTCAGCAGTTTAAAAAAACACCACATTAATAGAAGAAAACAATTCTGTAACGAAATTGTTTCAGTCACTTTCTATTGCTTCTTCTCTTCAAATCATGATGGTCTGTTTGCTCTTCCAGATTGTTCACATGCTGCCATGCATCAGTTTATCACCCAGCATGCATCAGTTTATCACCCAGCATGCATCAGTTTATCACCCAGCATGCATCAGTTTATCACCCAGCATGCATCAGTTTATCACCCAGCATGCATCAGTTTATCACCCAGCATGCATCAGTTTATCACCCAGCATGCTGGCCTGTCCTGGAGAAAAGATCCAAAGAATACTCTTAGCCCACTAGCCTCTAAAATGATACATGCCACTCTAGACCAGCATGCCCCTCTCTTGACCTTTTTCAGCAGATCTTGTGAATCCATTACAGTCATATGTTTGTGCAGTTTTTCAGTCATCAGGAAGCTGCAGTGACCGCCTCTACTTCTATTCTCAAACTACATATTATGGTATCATACGCCGAGTTTTCTTGCACTAAATGTCATCCATTTGCTTTGCTATTAACCCCTAGGCACTTTGTCTGCCTAACACAGACAGATCACATGGTAAATCTCAGACTTCCTGGTAAGCGCATTGTTTTTCTACTTCTGTATCCACTTTTAACAGGTGGTAGGCATATTGTGATGTGGTTAACAGCTGTGCTGTAATATCTCTACACCTTTCGGCCCAACACATCAAGTTTAAGCAAATCTTTAATTAGTCGTCTTTTACAACATGCTTGTTAGGAGCTCTGAATCTATTATTTTCCTTAAAAAAAGGGCTCCGGAACCCACTCGGGGAATGCTTGAAATTCTGTTGATAAGGTGAACAGATTAATGACAGACAATGTGATTTGTGGATTTCAATCTTGTCTTGTGCTGCATAGTATGTTGATGTAAATTCTGTAGTAATGTGCCTGATGAGAAATGTGTCTATATTTTTTAATTAATTGATTTATGTGTTAATTGCCTGGAAAAAGAAAAACAACTCAAATACAGAGGTTGTAGAGCATGGCCTTCTATTTGTGGTAGCCTGTCACAAATAGACATTTTGACATATCACTAATGTATGGAATGACCTGTCGCTAGTAAGTGAAATGGCCTGTCATTATTATTTGTGATTACTTCTTATAAGTATATGCTCTTACGTATCTCTAAATTATGTGATGATATATCTCTAGTACATGCTATGACATATCACTAGTGTATGTGATAGCCTGTCGTTAATTTAAGCGATGACCTGTCACAAGTATTTGAAATCAACCAATCGTATGTGTTTGCTTTGACCTATCGCTAATTTATGTGATGACCTGTCACTAGTATAGATTATGAATTTTAATGTACATATGATCTATCTCTTTATACTCTTGTGACAGTACCTACTAAGCGATCATCTATATATTGGTAACATTGCACAAGCGCTCTGGAAGAATTAAATAGTCACCCCCTTGATTTATCTGCTTGTTTGTTTTGTAGGAAACGTGAGGCTTTTCTAAGACAACTGGAGAACCAGTCATCTAGAAGTGATGCTGCTGCTAAAAGATGTCTCTGATCTCCAGATCCTCAGCCACTGGCTGAATCTGCTGCTCAGATGTGTTCTACCATGCAGGTCCCTTCTCTCAATACACATACTAGCCTGGTTGTTTAACAGCACTGTTGATACTTCCTAAGCGCAAGTTAGGACATTGGCAGGAATCCTGTTGTTTCCATCAATGCAGTCAACTTTACGAGCATGAATAGCATGGAGACTTTAGTTGATTCCTTTGTTATCTGATTACTGATTTATGTTTTTTGTGTGTGACATTTGTTAAGCAATAATATATTGTGTGAAATTTGAGAATTAAATGATGTGTGAAAGATGATACGCAAGAACTTGAATGAAATATGATTTTCTTTCAATTCTTTATCCATCTGCTTTAAGTTTCTGTGGTTTTGAGACCAGTGAATGTATTTAACCATTTTCAACATGTCAGGGTACAATTTTCTTGGTGGGCTGTTTAGGAAAATAAACTGTTCTCATAGCTTTCTGACAGTGGTGCAAAGGTTGGAATTCAAGTTTCATGGCAGTAAGTGAAACATTAAACAGATTTCTCACTCTCTCTCTCTCTTTTTATCCATTTCTCTCTCTCTCTCTTGTTAAAACTCTGGTTTGCTGACATGGTTGGCATCTGTGGCCTAGATGTTGCAAATGTGCTTCATAATTTCAGGGTATCCGGTTCAGTTCCATTTGCAAGCATTTGGGCAGCATGCACTTTTGAGTTGATTTTGGCATTGTTATGGAGACCTGACCATTAAGAAAGCAATGTCAAAGTAATGAATGTAAAATTGCCTAGTAAAATCACAAATAGAACCCCCCCCCCCCCTTTCCACCCCCATAATGCTGGGGTTTGTTCCACAAGGATAGGATGCTAGCTCGCTAAGCAGAGCTTGATTTGGACATCAGAAGAGGGCGGTGTACCAGTAGACAGACTGGCACAGATTGGCCGTAGCTGTATTACAATAGCTGTGGGGGTTTCCTGGGTTGAAGTGTGTTGCCTATCCTTGCAGGGCTTCTTTATTCATCCCTAGCATTTATTGACAGTTATGTGCAATAACTAAACAGGGTGCTTTATTAACTATATTATTACAGTAGAAGGTGGTTTAACTCATCTTTCCCTACATTGAAGACAAGTTATAGTAGCAGTGTAACATCAGGTTTGAGGTTTGAACAACGGATCAACATCATGGCAGACGGGTAGTAACCTATAAGTGCTCTTTTAACTCAACTCTGAGTCCCAAGAAGCTCAGCACAGTGCACAGGTTCTGTACCACCGGCGAGGTTCCTGAAATACTTTGGGTAGATTTTAAACTCAAAATTTTGCCCGGGCAGCGCCGTTAGGCTACTCTTTTTTAATCTCCAACAGCTAAGAGATTTTGTATGTGCGCAACAATGCACACGGGCGTCTGATCTCACTACCCAGAGACTAGGGGGAATTACTAGAAGTCCAAGTCCATGTGAGAAAATCCAAGCCCTTTCCGGGGATTGAGCCCAGAACCTCTAGCACTCAAATGGTTTTTTTTTTTAAACATAGTTTGACTCTTTCAGACCCAGGGGGTTCAACATCAGAAGCCTAAAGGGTAGAAATGTGAGATATAAGAATTGGTGCATCTTGTGTTCATCTGGGCATCTAGGTAGGTACCTGTAAACATGTAATGCATTCCCTGGGACTGAAAGAATTAAACCAGCCTTTTGTATATTGCTTTGTATCTCTTTGACTGGTGTTTCCTGTTATAGTTGCCATATGTTCCTATGTATAAGAAATACATATTTAGAAAACAATTTCATAAATAAGACAGCACCCATATTTAAACTTTCAAAATTTGGAAAACATCATCTTTTACACAGACAGATATGGTAATTACCCTTAATTAATATACATCTTTATGAGATCTTGTCTGCCACAGTTTTAATTTATTGCTGAACTTGTGTACCAGTCTGTAATTACTTGTATGCATTGTGACCCACGTACTACTTTAGTTTAAAGTAGTCAGTGTTGGAGTCCACTGAAGCTGAAATAATAATAACAGGGGTCAGAAAGTGCTGACACATTTAGATATACTGAGTTAATATAACAGTGCCTG